CCTTTCCACATTATATTTCCCAAAATAGGCAAGTTTCCATAGAAGATTTAACAAAGTGGGCAAGGGAATGTTTTAATATCCCATTATCTGAATGGATAGTGTGGCAATAAAGTTGATGATGCAAATAAAGGCTGTACAAATCCAATGGAAAACCTTTTGTAAATGAATTATGCTAGTGCAGGCTAGTGCTTAGGTCAGAACCCATCTGAAGTTGAAAAAATGATGATAGGAAGAAAAACTATGGTAAGATGAATCAACATTTCATGTAAACCATGGGAATGTAGGCAAGAAAATCTTACTAAAGATGAATCCAGCATGGTATTCAAAACAAGTTCAGAAGCTACAGTCTCTAATGATTTGAGATGCATGAGTGCAGAGAGGAAGTTGAAGATTTGCATTTCTGCAATGATGCTTTGAACTCTGAAGTCTGTATTTGAATCCTTCAGAAACATCTAAGTCAGTGTTTCTCAACCCTGTGAATCGTGAAAGTGCATGGTCGCCCCTTCAATAAAATTGTTACGTAGTATAGCCCCCTTCACTTCAAAAACAATTTTGTTGGGTTTATTAGTTTAATTTATTGCAAAGTATATAATTATCAAATAAACATTTATTTACTCAGAACATGTGTTAGATTTTGATATAATTAACAAAATTAAAATTAAGCATTATTCACTGTAAATCCCTACTGCAAGCTTCAAAATTCCAATGCGGAAGGCTGAGGGTAATGCAAAATTCATATTGTATTGAATAGACTAGTCACTAGTATAATGTTATTTGTTTAATTATTGTACAATATAACAAATAAAATATCTACTTATTCTTAATATAATGTTTTACTATATCACCCAGAAAATTGTTTTTTTTTTTGCCACCCAATATGGAAAAATGCCCACATGGGGGCGATATTTCCCCATTGAGAAACAGTGAATGAAAACAAACTTTTTCAGAGATAACCCTGTATTTTCCAGCATGACAATGCTAGGAAAACCAAAACCTGACTACAGTTTAATTGTATATGTGTACTCTCCTGGTTAGCATCAAGCCCAGACCTGTTCTCCTGCAAAAACTGATTTTTGAAAAGAAAGATGACTCAATGCCATCATCACATGTTAGAAAAATTATGTGCATATTTCAATGAAAAGAGAAAAAATTTCTATTCAGTTGCTGTACAAGTTTGTGTCTTCCATGCTTCAATGCCTTATAACTCTTATAAAGTAAAAAGGTGATGCTATTTCATGACGATTACAGAATCTTATTTAACACATTGAACAAAGTTCAAAGAAACATGTTGCAAAGGCTGAACAGATTATAAATTACATATTTTAATAGCTACGTATTATTTTCCCAAAATCCGAGCTTCTGATATGTTTAAATAAGATGACCACTTTGTATGGGATGTCCTGCATTTTAAGTCCATGTCCTGTTTGTTCCACCAGGGATGCCTAAATATCCCACTTTCCACTCAGAATAAAAATTCAAGGGAACAAGCTCAACATTGACCTCATTGCCATCTGACTGTCCATCTATAATATAGCCTACATTTACAGCAGGTTATGCATCATATTAGAAGTGTGTGCTGAAGTTTATTGCCACACCACCACGTAATGAGTTTTATTGGCAGATTTCCAGGAACAGTTTATTTTCATGCTAAGTGAGCAGTCTTTGAATGAGGAATTTGAAACTAAATGTGTGTCCAGAAAACAGTGTGCAGGGACATTTTAAATTTAACACATTGGCAAACTGGCATTCACCAGCGGCCTAAAATTGACATTATATCCCCTGTGATCAAGAAGTATGTGGAATGGTTTTTAATAAAACATCAAATTTGAATTTATTCATCAAAATTTATTTTGTCCCCTTTAAAGTAATTCCCTCCCACTGCAATGCACTTATTCCAATGTTTTTTTTTTCCAATCCTTAAAACATGCTTTAGTTATTTTTGTGAAATTCCTTCATGATTTGAAGGGAATTTTGTTTTATATGGCATCAATCAATCAATTCAAAATGGTTACCACACAGCAGAAATTTTAATTAAGGAAACAGGAAAATGTGCATTGTACCATATGGTTCCACAAGCTCCATATTCATCTGCTAGGTAAATATGGAGCTTGCAGAACCATGTTTGTTGAATTTTTGGCCAAAAATTTGCAAATAAGAGCATTGTGAACCAGGTGCATGGTGCAAAATCTGTGAATTTTCTCACTACAAGCCAGGTTGTTTTCTACAAATTGCTTCATGCAAACAACACAAAATGCTCAAATAATAATCTTTGTTTACAGTTTGGCCAGTTGGAAGGAATTTGTGATGCACAACACCACAACAATTGAAAAAATGGTCAATGTGATCTTGATTTTTTTTTTACTGATTTTGACATGGTCTTTTCAGTCTTGCTTTACCTTTTAAGCACCATTCACTTGATTGTTGAGCTGTTTCATGTCAAAGCTTAGATCCATCTTTCATTAACTGTGATGATACATTTTAAATAACCTCTTACTGGATGATTGGAAATGACAATCTACACTTGAGAACCTTTATAACACAGTAACAGCAAAATACTTTATAACACGTAACGGCATTACCCCTCGGGCAAATGCGCAACGTAAACACATGTTGGAGCTAGTGCATATGTTGTGTTATATATCATTCTTCTGCTTCAATAACAATACATACTTATAAAAATGGGGCGTACCTATAGGCAGCCTTCTCTCAAGTTTTGTGCGAGTCGGTAGTTTGGCAGTTGGAACAAAAGTCATACCTCTATTCCTATCAAACATTCTGGTTTACAAGAGGTATGTTGATGACGTATTTATTTTATGGAAGGCTGAGGCCAATGTCAACAATTTCATAAGCTCCATGAATAACCCATATGGCCTTACCATCAATCTAGATTAGAAGAGTAACACAAGCATTCATTTCCTTGATATCAACATTCCCTGCATTTATCTGCATTTATGGCTGTGAGGAAGTCTACCAGATTTATTTATTTATTCGGATTAAAGAGACATACATTCAAATTACATATATAACAGCTACCACATCTGACATTGAGAAGAACTTGTCACTTTAGTTTATATGATCACTTATCTTTATAATAATTTACATTTTGTTACAAAAATAAACATCTGTGCATTGTACTCTGAATTATTTTAAATTTTTATTAGTGACTGAAAAGCATTACTACTAAGTAACCAAATAGATGCACTATATTTGATTGAATGAAAAATGTAATCATAATGACAAATCATAAAGCACTTTCCATACCTGGGATATTTGTTTTTTATCCTTGTCGTTGATACCATTACCATTTTGGTCCACTTTACAAATTTCAAGTGCTTTGATATCCTCAGTTTGATTACTGATATAAATGTCATTTGTGTTCTCTCACCTGCAGTTTCAGGCACTTCCTGATAGAGCCTATGTAAACTAAGTCTCTCCTGTATATATCACCATGTAGAGGTATCATATGTCAAAACTCTAGAAGTTTAAGGATCCTTCTCATTTCTAAGTAATCTGAAAATGGTGTGGTTTTATTTGTATGTAATGTGGGTACAGTGTTTTGCTATCTGTTTAAATTCAGCATTCATATTGCATTTGTAATATACTATTATTTGATCATCATTCCTTCATTCATTTCTGTTCTCAGTGTTGTCATTTATTTTTCTAGGTTTTATAGTTACTAGCTAACCTCCAGACTAAGCTTTTGTGAAAACTGTGTTCCTGAGCCTTTGTTGCAATATGGGTCAGATCTGCTTTTGTTCTGAATGAATTTTTGCTATTTATCAAGAGTATAAACATTGTAGAGACATCTGCTACAAAACAAAATTGTTGTGGCCAGAGGGTTATTGATATCTGAGATAGTCATAGCAATCAGCTTGGTGTAGCTACTGTTTGAGAAATCACAGCACAGTTGTTTTATACTGGATAACAAAGACAGATGTCAAGAAAAGTACAGTGATGACTCATCACAGTGGATTACAGAAACTGTTGATCCACTGCATTCAGGAGCAGCACGTTCCTGAATGCAGCTCAGATGCACCTCTTTATGAGAATTGTGTACCCAGCACAGGTACAGTACCTCCTCATTGGTTCCATGTTATCTTCACATGCTCCCATGGCCCCTCAGATGCACCTCTTTATGAGAATTGTGTACCCAGCACAGGTACAGTACCTCCTCATTGGTTCCATGTTATCTTCACATGCTCCCATGGCCCCAAAGTTTACCAACCTTATTCCCATCAAACATTTTTTGGGATGAATTAGAGTGAAGTATTCAAACTTGCAGTCTTGCACCATCTTTCTTGGAGGATCTATCAGACAGTATCAAGGACTGCTGCCACCAATATTGAAACACAACCTAAGGCATCATGTGGAGTTGATACAGAGGCAGCATTGCTGTGATCCGAGCAATGGTCCAACAGAATATTAGATGGTTATCTCTAATTCAGTGTTCCTTCAGTGTGCATTTAATATGATATCAAATATGAGTATTTTTTCAGATTAAATAATTTGATTTTTGCAGATTCAAATAAGCAGTGTGTGAATCTTAAAAGATATTTGAAGATTCGTGTACTGTTTTTTTTTTTCTGTCTTTCTGTGCATGTGGAATGTTTTTATCTCACTTCTTTCAATATTTATGAAAAAAAATTATATATCACAATAAAAGGATATATAACAAAAACATTCAAAGAAAACTTAGTGTTAATTTATTAATATTAAAAATAATTGTGAGGATTATTTTCAATTATACAACATAACTATATGCATATTTGATACACAAACACAAAAATAAAAAAACAGTGAAAAATCAATACTGCTAACTTTCAGGGACAGTACCTCAAATTTTTTTTCTGCACATTCTTTTCATATCTGATCTTGCATAGATTAATAGAAATTAAAATATATTTATATATCTTGTTTTTTGATAATAGAATAGTTTTAAAATTTTGTATTTAAGAAAAAAAAAACAAATTGAATGATTGATTTAAAGTTTTTTCATACAGCATTTTCAGTTGGCGCAAATAGATTCAAGTCCATGTACGTTTTCTAAAGCTGAAAGTGAGTATTTTTTATATATAAATATTATAAACTTAACAATAGATTGATTAATATTGGTGCAAATAATAATAATAATCTGGTCATAAATACAATAAACTATAAAAGCACATTTTTAAAGACAAACACTTGCCAGTAATGGTTGTAAGAAATGCCATATTATGCACAAAACTATATAATGCATCACAAGTTGCAAGCTTTTAACACAAACTGACTACTAATATTGACATATCCAAATAGCAGATGTAATACTCAAAAGCTTTCACACAAACTTCTACACACCCAAGAACCATATTACAAATACACATCTTATGCAGTAATAAAATAACACAAAATATATTGTAACCAAGCAACAATGACATAAAAAAAACAATCCATTACAACAGACCAGACATCACATTCATCAACAAACAAAACAAAATCACATACATCATAGACGTAGCTGTTCCAAAAACACAACATAAAAAATACATACACTATAAAAATTAGTAAATACTCAGAACTTGCTATGAAATAAAGTGCCTGTTGAGTATGGATAAAATGAGCGCACACATTTTCTAAATTTTCTTTCAGAATGTGAAGAAAAATAGTTGTAGGAATGTTCAAAGTCTCAGTTTTTTTTTTTTTTTTAGTTGATTTGAAATGGCCACAATGGTCATTTTCTGCCAATTTCTTTGTCATGAAATTGTAAATACCACCTAAAGATAAACCAGTTCAGAGCCTCATTATCATTTGCCTTTTGTGCCAGTTTTAAGATTTTTGTAGCAGAAAGACATGTTTTAAAATAAAATTTAATTACAATTCTCTATTCACTTTTTGAATCCATGATTTGCAGCAACAGAAACACAGTTTACACTAGATGTTATAATTCACAATTTCTGAATATACACTAGTAATACTACAATAGTTGCTGAATACATTTTTACACTATTGTTCTGGTGAAAAAATTATTCCTTAAAACTTACATACTGCACTATGTATATACAATTGAGTTGCAATATGTTGAAACTTTGGTTATGCCAATAGTTTTCTGAAGTCTTGGCTAAGTTTTCATAGATAATAATGTAAATTTATTTTGGTTAACTTAATAGTACTATATAAATTGACACTTTATCTCTCCAGCTATCTATTTTAGTGCTTTTTTACTATGGATAAATTGTCAATCTAACAAATTACAAATCACAGTCTAAATTGACATAACTTTCGTTTTAGACAAAGTCTGTGTTAATTAGTGCTAAACATCAAGTAGTAATAAATCATTTTTTTGTATCTGGATATCATGTAGACAGAGATACCCATTTTGAAAGATTGTGTACATGAAAAATGAAGCAAAATTATTTTTAAAATTTATATAATTATAATAAATTTTTACTAATGCATTTAGCTATTTTTAATTAATAATTTTTTTTAATAATTTATTATTTTCTATATTTAACATATCAGTTTTACAAATAAAACTTAAAATTAAAATCAGAAATTAGAAAAATTTTTGAATTGATGAACCCTATTTCAAAGTATATAATAAGACATTTTATTATATAAAAAGTAATTTTCCTCTTAACTGTAAAATACTACAATAACATGAAGTTGTCTAATTTTTTTCTCTGGTAATTGTCAATAATGTTCTTAGTCCCAAACTTTCATGTGACATCATTTGTACTTAATCATTTTAAATAGAATCACATTTATGTTTAAATATAATTATTATTAATGAAATGATTTGATTTACACTTACAAGGAGAACCCAGGAGGTTGTCATCATCAATTTTGACAAAATTTTATGGATGTGTAGTATTTACTTGTAATTAAACTCTGCTAAAGTCACAGGACCCAATATTCAGGCATTCTCAAGAAAATTTCAATTAGTTTTTCTAAAACTATTAATACCTATGCAAAAGTTCCATTCATGTGTTAATGGTGTGGCATGATTAGTTAAGGCATTATATGAAGAGTGTTACTATACAGGTTTGGATCTTGTGTGCGATAATTTTTTCTTTATTTGTACTTTTATAATTTAATCTTATTGTTATTAACTTTGTTATGTACAATTTTTAAAGTCATTGAAAATTTATTTTTTATTATCATCACTTTATATTTAGAAAATACATATAATATTATAATCACATTTTACATTGTCTGATGTTATGTAGGTTTTTATATTATACATGTCAATATATTTATATTTAATTTCATATGTAAAGATGTTATAATAAGCAACTCAACACCATCCCTACTCTTTGTGGCAAATATATTACCTACTAATAGTATAATGCCTACTAATATATTATATACAGTATATATAATATATTAGTAGGTAGATAGGCCTAATCTAATCAAGAAAGAAAAACTAAATGAAGAAGATTATGCTTTCAGCCTAGACGGTTCAATTTTACCAGAGGTCAGGGTGTTGCTGGAGTTCATCGGATGGCTCCCTTTGATGTAGAAAGGGAAGCTGAACAAAGTTGACAGCTAGGATTCTCTCTTTTCTTTTGCCAGCGATTCCAATGATGGACAGTATAGATAAAACTATTAAGCATGCCAGACAAATTTTTACAGATGTTTTTGCTTATACATACAGTGACCATATTTTGGGGGAAAAATAAAGGACATGTCGAAGAAAATCAAAAAATACCTTATAAAATTCATAAGTTTATAACATTTATTACGAAAATAGTAGCATACAACAATGCATACATTAAAATTTTAAACAATCTAAATTATTACACATACACACATTGTAAAAATTTAAATAACATTAATTTTGATACTTTTCAGTAGAATTAATTTTTTTTATAGCGCCGTTTCACGCTTTAAAGTCATAAAATTCCATACAGTTCATTTGAAAGTTGTAATTGATGGAAATACATGCTTCTAATGTGCTTACTTTTAAATCAGTTTTTTCATTTGTCCACATATTATTCAGCAATGAAAATATTTGTTCAATGGGGGCATTAGATCCAGGGAGACAAAGAAAATTCTACGATTTTTCAAATGTTTTTGAAAACAATTTCTTTTGCTGTAAAATGTTCAAAAATCTCAATCCACCTTTGATGGCAGGGCTGGTTATTCTGTCATCATTCGTCGATCTTTTCGTTTGTGACATATTTTTTTACACATGAAACTTCATCAAATAATTCAACGTCGAGTATATTTACGGACCAATGATTCGAAATAAAGATATAGCTTTCCTCTACTTTCGCCCACAAAGGGATTTCGTATAATGTGACCCATTCAAACACATCTATTTCAATAAAAAACATGTACCAATTATTTAGATAATCTATGCATGTTTGATAAAATGTGTACACAGCATCATTGAATTTTTTGGTTTGTATATTTTCTGATTTTTCTAATGCTAAAACCACTTTTCTAATAACAATAGGAAGAAACCCCTCATTTTTTCTTTCAACTAACTTCAGCTTTAATTAACAAGTGTATCATCCATCAACTAGAGAGTTAAAAAACTATCACAAAAATCCCCATAAGAGTGTCCACCCCCTGGTACTGTCAGTGGGCTGTTTGGTTGGCGACACACTGCACTACTGCGCGCTATGTAGCAATGCAACACTGGTCGTGATGGCGTATACAAAACTAACTTGTTCAATATATTATTAAAAAATAACTTTTTAACTTTGCGTCAACTTTACAAAATAAAGGACAAAATGCCTATTTTAGAAAATAAATAAAGTTAAAGGACAGAACAGTGAAATAAAGGACTGTCCTCTTAAATGAAGGACGTATGGTCACTGTACTTATACAGTACTGTATTTGGTTTGTGAGATATGGATATTCCTATGACATCGATGAGCACTAGTGTGCTGTGGCTATCTCCTTGAAACTGATAAAGAAATAGCCAATTGTAAAGATGTTATTAAAATACACACTCTAATTCACAACCAGTCGAGTCCAACAGTTTTTTGTGGCATTGATAAAATATGCATGGTTTGTGTCTCAAATAATATGCAAAAGAAATATTTTCAAAAATGTTAATGAAGTTTATTTTTGACCTGCTGTTATTAAAACAAAATGTAAAAATTGTGTGAATGAAGTAGCAATGATTAATTGTGTGTGATGCACTGAACCATTATGTTTTAACTGTTTTTTGATAATTACCACTTAAAATGTTGTCATATTCTTGTGAAACAGTAATTATAAGTATATTTTTTGTGGCAAAAACTTTAAATTGTTGAAAAATAATTTTTGAATTTCCTGATATTTTATAAAGAATAATAAATTTTATCTGTCTAAAGCATTAGTTTGAGGACTGTGCCCCTAAATATTGCATGTCAGAATTTCAAACTTTTGAAGTACAGTAGAACGTCGATTATCCGGACTAATTGGGGATGAAGGTAGTCCGGGTAAGGAAAAATTCGGATAATCGAAACGAATATATTAATTTGTCTTTTAATGATAATACAACACATTTTCTTTTCAATGACATATCGGTAATATTAAAAATAAATACTGTATTTAAATTGTGATCAAATTTTCAAGAAACAAATGTTTGTATTGAATTTGGACGACTACTGACCAGCGCTAACAGACTACCTATTGTTTAAAAGGCCCTCTGGTGGCGCAAGAAGACGGATTTTATAAAATAAAAAGCAGTTGAAACTGCATTTTTATGAATAAAAATTTGACAAACTATTTATTGTTTATGACGAGTAAAATTTTTTCATCGCGTTCGCGGCTTTTAAGTAATGCATAAACCTTCGAGGCGCAAGGCCCTTCAGACTGCGAGGCATAGGCGGTGGCCCACGTTGCCCATGCCTTACACCACCCTTGGTCATAGAAATGATGTAATTTGAATATAATTTATTTATAAATACATATGTCAAGTTATATTTTTATTACTACGTAAAATATATTTGAGTTTACGACCACTGTGCTAGGTGGGACGTTGTTGAAACAAAAAAGTTATGCATTCCATCATGTACATAAACAGTGTCGTAATTTGCCAAGTGCAAATCGGCAAATTCGTAAAATTTTTGTTTATTTTGAACAATCCGGATAATCGAGGTTCTACTGTATATGTTATTTAAATATTCAAATTCCAGGCATTCCAAAGATGGAACACTATCAAAACTGAAGCAGAACTCGGTGGAGATTCAAAAACATTTGTTCCCTCAAGTAGACATTGTATCTTACTGGAAACACAAAGATTTTGAAAGGGTCATTTAATAAATTTTAATTTTAATAATTAAAAATAGCATAAGAATTGTATATAACAAATTTAATAACAATAAGATTAAATTATAAATGTATAAGTAATGATCTTTACTTAGCACCCTACTTATCATGCCATGCCATTAACATGCAAATGCATTCTTGAGAAAATCACGATAAAGGCTTTTTTTTAGAACTACTAAGTTCTAGAAAAATTTTAATCATGATTTTCTCAAGAAAGCCTGAATGGTGGGTCCTGTAGCTTTGGTAGAGTTCAAGTAAATACTATACATCTACAAAATTTTGTCAAAATTGTGTTGACAATCTCCTGGGTTCCTCTTGTTAGCTTTGTGTCTTAAAATTTGCATTAGTAAAATTATCTTGAAGTAACTTATTTCAAAGTGTTTTTTAATATAAGCATTAATTTATCATATTAATAATTGAAGTCTGTTAATTATTTATATTAATCTTTTCAGTAAAGTTTCACATAGCTCATCTGTACGAGGTTCAGGTAAGCATCTTAACATTTAATTATTACTTAATCGTGTGATAAACTATAAGTATTTCATATTAAGTTTTGTGAATGGTTTTTTGGTTTAATAAAATTATAGTCTGATGTTAATAAAAAGTTAATTTCAAATTTCTAAAGAAAATTAAAGTTTCAAGAAAGCAAGTGTATTTTAGTTTAATTTTGTTTATGAAGATGTAATATGCTATCAAATCAGAAATTGTTTCAGAACTGTTTTAATAAACTGAACCATACACTATTTTATTAGTTAAAAGATAATGATTTTATAATTGTAATTTGTTATGAATTTTATGTATTTAAGTGTTTTTGTATATTAATCATGCTAATGTATTATGATATAATTTTTAACTATAAGGGAAAATTTAAAGCTGCAAAAGAAGCTTATGAACAATTATTGGAACAAAAAGACTTATCAAAGTGTGTTCGAGCAGAAACTCTGAAGCAGTTAGGTATGAAATAGTTTTTCTGTTCTTGATGATTGAAAAGAAAACTTTTATAAAATAATGCAAAGTCAATTTTTTAATATGACGTTGTCAATAATTATGTTAATATATACAGTCAGACTCCATTAATACAAAGTTGAAGGGATTGATATGAATGGACTTAGATAAATATTTGTCTATAATATTGTAAAAAGTATACTTTCCTTGACGATGATAATGAAATTATGAGTAGTTGTTATCATCTTTGAATTAAAAATTGCTGAAAATTTTTAGTACAGGTAACCCACATATAACACGGCACTTGTATAGCACGGATTCACTCTAACACGGTTCGAGAATTGGGTAAAACCCTCGTATAACATGAAATGTAATAAATTTTCACATACTTAAGTACTAACAGATCACGAAAATTATTATTTTCGTGAACTATTAGTACTTAAATATGTAAATTTTCTTTATCTGCCTTCTGTCGATACATGTGGTCCTTTTCAAAACTTGTTTCAGTGTTTCCAGATCGCGACACTTCTGATTTTGGTGTTGCCAGATGTTTTTCCCTTATTCCATACTTGCTTTATTCTTCATAAGTGCTTAGCACCATATAAGGAAATTTATAAAGATCTTTTAACTAAAAGCAAGCAATCTAAAATAGCATATTTTTTTGCAAAAGGTAGAGCATGGATCTGAAGATAATGCAGAAAAATGCTGAGAGGGTATGGATATCTTGCCAAAAAGAAAACGCCCTCAGTTAATAGTGCTTAGTGATGACGAAGAAAATATTGTTTAATTTATATTAATATGTATCACTTAAGAAAATTTTAAAAAAGATATTCATCTTAATTATGAAAATATAATAGCATGTTTTTTTAATTTTTGGAATCTAACCCCCCTTTTCGTATTAGTTCTTTGTTTCGTATAACATGGATTCGCATAACACTGCAATCTTTTGGAACATAACTCCCATGTTATACGGGGGTTACCTGTACTTTTTAATCAGAAATATTTAACAAATCTTAACTTTTATATCTAACCCCCCTTTTCGTATTAGTTCTTTGTTTCGTATAACATGGATTCGCATAACACTGCAATCTTTTGGAACATAACTCCCATGTTATACGGGGGTTACCTGTACTTTTTAATCAGAAATATTTAACAAATCTTAACTTTTATATATTTGATTAATCTATGTGTTAAGTATTAAATTTCCTATTATAAATTTTTTCATATATATAATTACACTTATTATGTTTATTAATTATAAATGTAAATATTATTTTTTGTTTCTGTTAATCTAGGGTGGATGCATCATACCGTAGAGGCCTTGGGTGATAAACCACAGCGGCAGACTTATGCCCTTCATTGTCTGCAGAAGTCCATTGATGCAGACCCTACTAATGGCCAATCATTATATTTTCTTGGTCGATGCTATGCATGCATTGGAAAAGTTCATGATGCCTTTGGATCTTATAGAAATTCTGTTGATAAAACAGAAGCAAATGCAGATACATGGTGTTCTATAGGGTGAGAATATTTGCATTATAATTTGCTTTTCAAAACAGCTTAGAATGAATTTTGTTTTTAATTACAATAATCTTAGCAAAACCATATAAAATTTATTGAGAATATTTTTGTCTACTATTTAATTAAAGCTTTCTTGGTCTAAATACAACATAGATTTAAGATTTTTCCTTCATTTTAAATGTCCAATTCTATTTATAAATAATAATTAGAATTTTTACAATTTTGTAAAAAAGAAAATATTTTGTAAGTTAGTTAATCTCAACTTGAAATCTGTTAAAACACAGAATAATGCAAACATCAGTTGTTGAGCACCACTATAGAACAATATATTAAATTGAAATTGCTTTTTGTTAATTAATATCCAATAAAATCTTTTAATTTTAGTTGTGTTCAACTCTGATATGCATTGTTGTGCTGTGTATAACTGTTATGACTAAAAGACTTAAATACAGTCGACCCCCGTATAAGATCATTGATTATTCCGTTTTATATGAATTCCATGTTGTACAAGTCACTTAAATTTTACAAATACGTGAGCCGTTCACAGCCCAGTACACGTATTTGTAAAATCTAAGTGACTCGTACAACATGGAATTCATATAAAACGGAATAATCAATGATCTTATACGGGGGTCGACTGTAGCTATTTTTACTAACAAATAATGTTGATATGACATATTTAGTCTGGTTGTTACTGTTCTACTCGTTATTTACTATATTTTGCATTATACAGAAAAAAATGCTTTGGGTATGTTTCTGTATAATGCTTTTGCATTATACAGAAAAATGTCTTGAGTATAGATTATCTGTTTTGTGAAATTATAAGTAAATAGACATCTTAAAAATAAGAATTATGGATAACATAATGTAGTAAAAAGGATTAAATGTGATGGTTCCTTTCTTGCATGTCTATTCTCTACATCTAAATAAATTTATTAAAATGCCATCTGTTACCAAATGAAATCTTTAACTGTAATTATTTTAAGGAATTTATAAAAGCAACTAATAATGAGCATATCAAAAGAAAAATAATTTAGATGACATATTGGTGTAACTTTATTGGTAGCTTGTTTAAAAATTTACAACAGAATGCTTTTTAAATAGAATCAAAATTTATATAATTTTACTTTATAATAGTGAATTAGGTATTCTGTCTTTATAGGATTAGATTAAAGATAAACAGTTACTGGATTAAATCAGGCCACATTATTGCTTCTAATAATTATTAAATACCAAGTAATTTGTCACTAGAGATAGATGTTAGGCACCATCGCTTATTAAATTAATTAATTATAATTAGATTAACATATATTAAATAATTTAGAAAATTCTGGAAGAAAATCAGCCCAAGTGGGACTTGAACCTGTGCAGATACATTGCCAATTATGCTACCTGGACTTTGTTCAATCCTTTGTTTCTAGACATTTAAATTTGATACAATCATACTAGTTACTCGTGGCACTGTCTGGGGATGACTCTGCCATCCACTGCCTATAACACACTATGACACTCAGCCAACTGTTGGTTTAGTAGTAGTAATGTAGCCCAATTTAATTTGGTAATCATCTGGCTTTATATAAACTTCTCAAAATCAGATAATTATACTATGTTTATAGGATTAAATTAATTCACTGTTTTCAGAGACATATTGAAGTTTTTCTCAACAGAATAGCATAATATTAAATTTTATAGATTTGTTTCCTAAGGTGTTTGATTGAATTAGTACTAAATTGATACAAATGATCAAAATAGATAGCAATGTCTTGAGTATAGATTATCTTTTTACAATTCTACCATTGATTATAGTTTATATTTATTCTGTTTTGTTTTTAACTCTGAGAATTCTCATCATATTCTCTATTTGCATATGTATTGTGCAAATAAATCATGGTGATGATGATATCCAATATAATATAGCTTTAAATTTTGTACTTTTATTTTTCTAGTAGAATTTTTTAATACTTATGATTTATTCATTTATCTACATATCAATTATATGTAGGCTGTTTTTTTCCAATCTCCGATGGTCCATAAAACAAAGACAAGTGTAAATAACAAGATGAATTTATTACCAAAAGTTAGGTACAAACATGGTTACTTTTTGACATAATCACCATGAAGATTGAGGCATTTGTCATATCTGTGGACAAGCTTTTCCATCCCATTGTCATAGAATGTTGTTGCCAATGACTTGAGATGAGCCCTAATGTTGTTTTGAAGATTGTCATTAGTCTCAAACCTCTGCCCTCCTAGCCACTTTTCCTGTTCAGGAAAGAGGTGGAAGCCGCTCATCACTAAATCAGAGCTATATGCTGGCTGTTTAAAGGTGGTAAAGACTTCCGCCCAGCTTGGAACTTTTTAATGTGTGAAGACTTCCACCTCTTGAACTGAAAATGTGGCTAGCAGAACAGAGGTTCGATCTTCAAAACAATGTTGTTATGGCCATCTCAATTCACTGGTGGCAACATTCTATGGCAAGGGGATGGAAAAGCTCGTCCACAGATATGACAAATGCCTCAATCTTCATGGTGATTATGTCAAAAAGTAATCATGTTTCTACCTAACTTTTGGTAATAAATTCATTTTGTTATTTACACTTGTCTTTGTTTTATGGACCATCAGAGGTTGAAAAAAAATTGTCCTCGTACATTCTATTAGAAATTTGTTATCCATTATATTTTTTATTAGAATTCATTATATCACAGATCTGCATAGTGTAAAGTATATAATTGACAGTTATTGAATTGATGAGAATCTACTCTAACATATATTTTACATGACATAGTGGATTCCCATTAGTGTAGTCATTTTCAATTTTCTGTTCAGTATATGTCGTAAGTCTTTGCAAGTGACATCAGTGCTTGCTATTCCTGTTGATCTTATAGCCAGTTGAGTTCACAAATGCTTCTAATGAAAATAACTTAATAAACAAATAACCTTCAAATTCTGTCGTATTGATCATTCTGTACATAGCAGTAATAAATCTTTACAAAAATAATTATAACATATAAAAATTACTTATTACAGAAATTACTGTGAATTTATACATAAATTCACAGTAATTTCTGTAATAAGTAATTTTTATATGTTATAATTATTTTTGTAAAGATTTATTACTGCTATGTACAGAATGATCAATATGACAATATGTAGTTTTAAAATTTTTGTGACTAAACATTGTTTTATATATTGATTGATTTCTATTCTCATTAAATATTAGAACATTGATACTTCAAACATTGTTAAACAAATTTAAACTTATTGTAATCAAATATAATAATTTTCTAAACTTTATTCTTGTATATCTTTGTACTTTCAGTGTATTATACCAGCAACAAAATCAACCAATGGATGCATTACAAGCTTATATATGTGCTTTACAATTAGATAAAACTCACACTCCTGCCTGGAATAATCTTGGTATTTTATATGAAAATTGTAATCAACCTCAGGATGCACTCAAATGCTATGTAAATGCAACTAGAGGCAAAGGTAATAATCATTACTTCTTATTTACAAAATATATGTATATTTTTTGAGATATCTTTATATGATCATAGGACCAGTAAATCCAAACTTAACTGCAAGAGTGAAATTTTTACAGAGCCAATTAGGAAATGTACCACCAAGTGGAATTGAAAGGTAAGCTCTGTATAGTTTCTAGATAGAAAAAGAAACTATGATTTATACTATAGTACAGCGATTCCCAACCCTGGGTATGCAATAAGTTTAGGGGTACAGAAAAAGTTAGTTATTATGGCAGAAAAAATAATATGCTATGCTGAGCCTACTATTAATTTAATATTCAACCGCTTTCAGTCTGTTTTTAATAGGCCATCCTCAGGAAACTGTTGTTCTACAATATTAAATTAATAGTAGGCTCAGCAAGTGTTTTGGTGTTTGATTATATTTGTGATATATTATGTATAAAAAATTAATAGTATTAAAAAATTATTAGGTAAAAAATGTTCCTTGCAACAATCACAAACTTTATTATACATTTCAAGATGCCAAAATAGAAATAAAAACTTATGCTGCCGATTGTACAATGCAACAGGTCAATAAATGTTGCGCAGTCTGTCAATAGTAGTGGGGATACCATTATGTATGATTAGTGATTATGCTACACAGACTTTTGATGGTGGGGTATGTTACAGTTATTATCATCATCATCTCAACAATATCCCCATGTGTTGTTTGAAAGAGTATTTGTTTGTTTATAAAAAGTATTCTTTTGTTTATAATATTGTTAGCAAGGAAAAGGGCATAGCTAGTTTCTTCAGATTTTCTCTACAAGCAGTAATTTTTTCATTATTTATTCAGTATTTTTATTAATTTTTTATTGACAAGGTAACACAACGGGCAGTATGATTTTAAAAATCATACTGCCTGTTGTGTTACCATCTTAGAGGTATGAAGGAGTACATGTCAGAAGTTGCAATTTGGCACAGAGTATTAGGTGCCCAAATCATGAGTGCATAAAAAAAAACCAGACTTGTAGGTACTCAGGGACCAAGAACAGAGTCAAAATAAAATTCAAAATGGCGGCTCTCTGTACAAACAGGCAGTGCAAGATTTGCGCATGCGCACCCTTTGGGAAGTTGGAAATGCCACGGGGGTACACTAATGAAATAAGGTTGGGAACCGTTGCTATAGTATATATCATAGATGAACTATAATATTTTACTTAAGTAATGTATTAGTCTAACTTACTCAATATGAAATGAATGGAAGCCATCTACTTGCTAGGAAAGTAAATGCTCCAGTGAAAGAGAATCTGTAGTATTACCAGGAAAATCCAAAATCTCCAACAGTTAAATGTTTTATTAACTGAAGAATCAGAGTTTAATGCTGAATGCTAATGAAACAAAATGGCATACAAAGGGGCTTTTGTAATAAATATTATTGTTAATAAATATTACCATATATTCTGGCATATAAGACGACTTTTTAATCCAGGAAAATCTTCTCAAAAGTCGGGGTTCGTCTAATAGGGCAAATATATCCCAAACTCTATATTTTAACTGTAAAAGTCAGGGGTTGTCTTATACGCTGGAATATACGGTATTTTAAATTACAATAATTTCTTTTGTTTTGCTATGAATTATTTTGTTAAAAATTTATGATATAGATTAAGTATAACTATAAACAGTATATAATGCTAATATTGAATAGTATATATGTTACTGCTAAAGCTCGAAAGTCGTTAATGTGTACATTACCTAGCTAATCTGCAGATTAACTAGGGTGATCCGTTAAAGTTGTGAAAACTGTTCCATTTCTCAAATTACCTAGATAATGTGCAGAGTAGCTAGGTAATCCGCACATTACCCACTAGGCACTTGGTAAAGTGAAAATAAGATCTTTGCCACAAATAAATGTACCACAAATAGGTGTGCTTGTCGCAAAAACCAATTGCTATGAAATTCAAAGTGTCACCAATCTTTAGACTGCACTAATAAGTAAGCACAATTGGATAATGTTACCTATGGTGAGTAAAATGGCGGCTCGTCTCTGATTCCAGCAAAGAGAAGAAAGGAAACAGTGGGGACGCACGTTCAAACCTAACCTAACCTATTCTAATAATTTGGTTGGTAATAATTATGGTAATTTATTAGAATAGGTTAGGTTAGGACAGAACGTGCGTCCCCACTGTTTCCTTTCTTCTCTTTGCTGGAATCAGAGACGAGCCGCCATTTTACTCACCATAGGTAACATTAACTGCACAATTATATCATGCGATCACCAGAAAAAGTATGATAACTTTATTATTTTTCGTCTCCGGTCCAAAAGTAGGGTATCGTTGAAGTCGTCTCGGTCCCCTCAGTTCAGATAGATACTCAGTCCCGAAATTCCATAGGTGGTTATCTATATAATAATTTCCCTAATTGTATTAATATTTTAAATCATTTGATTTTTTGTATGTTTTTTAATTGGTTGATGATTGAGTCTATCAACTAATTTGTCGATTGTTTGATTGTATTAACTTGATTTTAGATATCGAAAATTAAATAAAGAACATTATGTTAATTTAAGCGTACAGAAACGTTGCTGTTGTTTCAGCAAAGATCTTATTTTCACTTTACNCGATCACCCACTGTATTCTTTTACAATCTGTAATATGATCTTTACGGAAAATGTATAGTGTGCATTTTAACTCACAATCGTTGGTAATAGTGATTTTTCACAAGCATTTTTGACTGGTTTAGCTATATTTTCATGATATTCTCATGCTACATGTTATCCATCTAACTGTGTATATAATCATGGATTAAAATGAAGCAAATAATGAGATTGGACTGTTAAAGACAGTCAAGGTTGGAGCCATACATTATATGATAAAATTTCATATTTTATGATTTATTAGTTTGTTATTTGAACATGCATATATATATATATATAACATCTGTGTGACCCAAATGTCTGACCCTCTCCTTGTATGTGTATATATATACATACATACATACAAATGATCAGAAGGGTCGGACATTTGGGTCTCTGATACAAACAAAACTTGGTAAACATGTAGACCTAAACATAATATCACATTGTTGAAATAATAGGACCCACTTCTCAAGCGTTTCTGAAAAATGGGCCTCTGAAAATTGAGTGTTTAGCTTATAAGTCTGGAAGTTCCATAACTCCTCAGAATGGCAATAGTTGAATGGATAAGATGCTACATAGTGGAGTTAAACAATATGGGTTTGATCCTTTGCATTAGTTTAATTGTTAATGTTGTAGACAATTTTCTTATGCAGTCATGTTTGTTACACTTCAAATATAACAATACTGCCAGTTCTGAAAATATGAAGAAATAAAAATTTTATTTAATGACATAAAAGAGTTAAGTCTACAAAGACTTCACTAATGGGAAAATGATATCAAAATTTCTTAATCTCTTGTTTTATAAGCTTTAACATGAGGAATAACAACAGTAATAATAATGCTAATGGTATGGTACAGTAAAATAATTATGTTACACTACACATTAAAAAATAAATAAAAAACAAAAATTGCAAAGGATCAAATGCATATCCTGTAACTTCACTGCACAGCATCTTATCCACTCTGTTCTCACCATTCCTTGGAGATGTGGAACTTTCAGATTATAAGCTAAACACTCAATTTTCAGAGCCCTGTTTTTCAGAAATGTTTGAGAAATGGGTCCTGTTATTTAGACAAGAAGCTGTTTGTGTTTAAGGCTATATGCTTACCAAATTTTCTTTAAATCAGAGACTCAAACATCTGGCCTTCTCTTTGTAAAATGAATTTGGAAAACACACACAATTCTGATTTTGATTACTTTTACAATTTTAAATTCTTATTTAAAATGAAATAATAAACCAAAAAGAAATTTTGTTCATACTGCTGAATAGAATACAAGAACTGTGAAAATTAATTGTTTTAAATTATTTCAAAAATTTTGAAAAACAACAGAAATAAAATTTTATGAAATGCACAGAATTGTTTCTTTTTTTCCTCTTTATTATTTAATGTATTGATAGGACAATTATTAGTTATTTTGTGTAATTTTTATACTATTTATAAATATTATTATATATTAATTATATTTTGTATACCTGTTAAATGAAATATTTGTAATAATTGTTAAAGATTCTTACAAGATTATTTAAGATTATCTTATAAGAATCTTTAACAATCTCTCATTTCAAATAGAAACAATGTAAGCAATTTTGAATTTATTACTAATTGTATGTTCTACTTTTAATTGGTTATTGATTGATTTGAGAAAATACCATTATTAACTTATTGGTTGTGTGAATTAAACTTCAGTTTGTATGCATAAAATTAAAAATTAGCTTTACTTAACAAAATTACTAAAAGTTAAGCAAATGAACAATGCTATTTAGAGCTACTTCAAAGCAGTTAATATGCCAGTGTAAATTCTACTTAATGAAAATAAATGCTCATTTGTGTTTAATTCTATTTGTGTAGCATATTTTGCAATGTGTTCTGTAATTCTAAAAGAGATTATTATTATTTTCCCTTAATAGAATCAACTTATTATTAACTTTTTAAATGTGAACTCTTGCTTCTGAAAAAATTTCTATAAATTTTATTTTACCAAAAATGATTCACAGAATTTGTCAAACATGATTGTAATTTTTAATGTAGAATTAGAACTATCTAAATAGTAATATGTTTATCAATAGTTTTTTTTTTTACTGCTACTTTACAAGGTCCATAATTCTAATGTTTTTAGACTATACCGCCAATATACAAAAGATTAAAGAGCCTTTTAGAAATAGCACAAGAAAAAAAGGGGGGCTTTAGTAGAAGTTGCATCCCACACTCCGAAAAGTTTCGAATTGTTGCCCAAAGACAAGGGAAGACCAATCGGTATTCATTAATTTACGTCGCTTCTTCTTGTGTTTGTTCTGTGGGGTGTTCGTTATCCGATCATGTGTTCGTTGTCCAAACATAAAAATCTTTCGCGAAAGTGTTCGTTATCCGATCTGTTCGTTAACCGATCACCCACTGTATTCTTTTACAATCTGTAATATGATCTTTACGGAAAATGTATAGTGTGCATTTTAACTCACAATCGTTGGTAATAGTGATTTTTCACAAGCATTTTTGACTGGTTTAGCTATATTTTCATGATATTCTCATGCTACATGTTATCCATCTAACTGTGTATATAATCATGGATTAAAATGAAGCAAATAATGAGATTGGACTGTTAAAGACAGTCAAGGTTGGAGCCATACATTATATGATAAAATTTCATATTTTATGATTTATTAGTTTGTTATTTGAACATGCATATATATATATATATAACATCTGTGTGACCCAAATGTCTGACCCTCTCCTTGTATGTGTATATATATACATACATACATACAAATGATCAGAAGGGTCGGACATTTGGGTCTCTGATACAAACAAAACTTGGTAAACATGTAGACCTAAACATAATATCACATTGTTGAAATAATAGGACCCACTTCTCAAGCGTTTCTGAAAAATGGGCCTCTGAAAATTGAGTGTTTAGCTTATAAGTCTGGAAGTTCCATAACTCCTCAGAATGGCAATAGTTGAATGGATAAGATGCTACATAGTGGAGTTAAACAATATGGGTTTGATCCTTTGCATTAGTTTAATTGTTAATGTTGTAGACAATTTTCTTATGCAGTCATGTTTGTTACACTTCAAATATAACAATACTGCCAGTTCTGAAAATATGAAGAAATAAAAATTTTATTTAATGACATAAAAGAGTTAAGTCTACAAAGACTTCACTAATGGGAAAATGATATCAAAATTTCTTAATCTCTTGTTTTATAAGCTTTAACATGAGGAATAACAACAGTAATAATAATGCTAATGGTATGGTACAGTAAAATAATTATGTTACACTACACATTAAAAAATAAATAAAAAACAAAAATTGCAAAGGATCAAATGCATATCCTGTAACTTCACTGCACAGCATCTTATCCACTCTGTTCTCACCATTCCTTGGAGATGTGGAACTTTCAGATTATAAGCTAAACACTCAATTTTCAGAGCCCTGTTTTTCAGAAATGTTTGAGAAATGGGTCCTGTTATTTAGACAAGAAGCTGTTTGTATTTAAGGCTATATGCTTACCAAATTTTCTTTAAATCAGAGACTCAAACATCTGACCTTCTCTTTGTAAAATGAATTTGGAAAACACACACAATTCTGATTTTGATTACTTTTACAATTTTAAATTCTTATTTAAAATGAAATAATAAACCAAAAAGAAATTTTGTTCATACTGCTGAATAGAATACAAGAACTGTGAAAATTAATTGTTTTAAATTATTTCAAAAATTTTGAAAAACAACAGAAATAAAATTTTATGAAATGCACAGAATTGTTTCTTTTTTTCCTCTTTATTATTTAATGTATTGATAGGACAATTATTAGTTATTTTGTGTAATTTTTATACTATTTATAAATATTATTATATATTAATTATATTTTGTATACCTGTTAAATGAAATATTTGTAATAATTGTTAAAGATTCTTACAAGATTATTTAAGATTATCTTATAAGAATCTTTAACAATCTCTCATTTCAAATAGAAACAATGTAAGCAATTTTGAATTTATTACTAATTGTATGTTCTACTTTTAATTGGTTATTGATTGATTTGAGAAAATACCATTATTAACTTATTGGTTGTGTGAATTAAACTTCAGTTTGTATGCATAAAATTAAAAATTAGCTTTACTTAACAAAATTACTAAAAGTTAAGCAAATGAACAATGCTATTTAGAGCTACTTCAAAGCAGTTAATATGCCAGTGTAAATTCTACTTAATGAAAATAAATGCTCATTTGTGTTTAATTCTATTTGTGTAGCATATTTTGCAATGTGTTCTGTAATTCTAAAAGAGATTATTATTATTTTCCCTTAATAGAATCAACTTATTATTAACTTTTTAAATGTGAACTCTTGCTTCTGAAAAAATTTCTATAAATTTTATTTTACCAAAAATGATTCACAGAATTTGTCAAACATGATTGTAATTTTTAATGTAGAATTAGAACTATCTAAATAGTAATATGTTTATCAATAGTTTTTTTTTTTTACTGCTACTTTACAAGGTCCATAATTCTAATGTTTTTAGACTATACCGCCAATATACAAAAGATTAAAGAGCCTTTTAGAAATAGCACAAGAAAAAAAGGGGGGCTTTAGTAGAAGTTGCATATGATAATGAGAATAGATGTAAAATGAATGAAAGCAAGTTTTATTACTGGATAGATCTAATTTTTCATTGATATCAGCAGAGAACTTTTTATCATTAAAAAATACACTGATAATTTATCTAAGTATAATCAAAGGATAAATGATCATTTTGTTCTTTGTTATGGAAGTTAAATCGAATTATTCAACAAGGACCAAGTTATATTGTTAGAATACAGATTTTGTAGTTTTTGTGGTTAAAATGTCTGTTGAAACATGATTTCATGCTTTTAAAATAGATATCATTAGACATTAATTCTTGCAGAAAAGCATTGTTGAATTTCTAATGGTAGTATAATAGATTTTTATTTCTGACTAATACAGTAAAGATTGATTTCAGACCCAATAAGACTTAGTTCCCTCTCTTTTAAAATAAAAAAAAAATCCAGCAACAAGTTGTGTACTTTTTCTGGCAAGAGTTAAAATTGTGGGTTTTATTCATCTGTTATGAGTTTTATTAAAAATACTTTTGGTATTATTAATTATTATAAAATAGCAAAAAGTTTAATTTTGATGGTAGAGACAAATTTTTTATAAAATTGTAAATGTTAATAATAAGTAAAACTCTTTTTTAAGTCTGACCACATTTAAGATATGGCACAACCCCCTCACTAGAATTCTTCATCCCTTTGATCTTTAACCATCAAAAAAACCAGCGACCTACTCTGTGGAAAATCCAACACTCTGCACCTAAGAAAACATGGACCAAACACGTTGAGGAGGACTTCAAGAACCAACTGCTTGATCTGAACCAGGCAAAAGCGGTGGCCATGGATCGAGGGCATTGGAGGGGCATTGTGGAGAAAGCTCAACTTCCTGCGGCACCCACAGCAGCATACTGGTTGCGCAGACACCCGCAACCAAATGCCAGCTAGGGACAAAAGAAGAAAGAGAAACCATCAANCTTTAAATTATGATATAGAAAGCTTATTGTATGAAAATGTTGCATGTTATTGAATGTGTATCATGGGAGTTTGGAGTGAACTTGCTAGGTGCAATGCAAATGATCAACTAAGCTTAAAGTTCCACAAAGCATCATTGCAAATTGCTTTACAAAAGCAGGTTTTGTTCAACAATTTGTTGATGCTTTGAATAAATCAGAATTTGTAGACTATATCAAAGAAGACCAAGTCAATCTTCATTACTGTAATGAGTGATAAAAAAGTGTCATTAAAGGATTTTGTTAACATTTATAAATGATGTGGTTTCATTGTTAAACAAGATGTTTTCAAGACAGTTGACCATATAACATCATTGAGGAAGAAGCAGTGAATTGTCAACAACAAATTGATGTAACCCAAACACGTTGAGGAGGACTTCAAGAACCAACTGCTTGATCTGAACCAGGCAAAAGCGGCGGCCATGGATCGAGGGCATTGGAGGGGCATTGTGGAGAAAGCTCAACTTCCTGCGGCACCCACAGCAGCATACTGGTTGCGCAGACACCCGCAACCAAATGCCAGCTAGGGACAAAAGAAGAAAGAAGAACCATCAAAATTTAATAACAACAATCCTCTAATTCACAAAACTCCCTACAGTTTCAAAAATTTTTGACAAAAATCACAGGAGTTATTAAGCTTTAAAGGGGATGAAAAAATGCCACATGCATATGCACATGCACACACTAATATCCATACATGCAGAAATCTCCCAACTCTTTTTGCATTTCTTGACATTTCAATTTTCATTGAGTCCGAAAATGTAAAAATTTTAGGGGGTTGTTTCTTGACAGATCACTATACTTTTCTTCTGTTATAACAGTTGGAAAAGTAAAATTATTCAAAACTGTTTTTAATTCAATCTTTTGATTTTATATATAAATTCATTGTTAGTATGCTTTCTAGAGGTTTAAACAATTCATAACAACATGAATTTGAATTATTAATTATTACAGAGATTAAACTCTTCTAAGTTTTGCAAGAATTCAACTTATTTGTACTGATAAACTTAACAAACTGATAGTTCTATATAAGTTAATAGTGAAATTAATAATAATTTTAAAAATTTTACTAGACCAAGACAGTTACCTTGTGTGGAGGAAGCATGGCATATTCCTATTTCACAAGAGATGGCTTCACGACAGAATAATGTTTCTCATAATTCTATGGTATGAATAATTTTTATTATCTGTTTGTTATATTTAAATTTTTAAAAAATGAATGTTTTAATTGAATGACTAAAAATATTAACCGTTTTTATATTTTAAGTATTATTGGTCTCTCTCACTGGAATTCAGTTAAATTTCAAAACTTCAAAAAATCAATTACATTTTATTTTATTATTTTTATATTTTTCTTTTCCAAACTGTTATGCAAATTTTATGCAGGAATATAAAACTTTCAAAACTTCAAAATGAATATTTGCTCAATTTTGACTCTTTACAGCAAATTTTCACAGTTGTTGTTTAAAATTTATGATTTCCTAAGAAATTTATAAACATTAAATTTTAAAATTTAATGTCTATAACAATGTCTTTGACATTTATGAATTCTTCATATTAGAATTTTTCTGAAACAATGCTTGACAATATTTTAATCAAAGTTGGAAAAAATTAATTCGGTACTATGAAATTTAGATCCACTTTCCTTTGCTGCTTGTATGAACAAACTTTTTTCTATTATAAATGATTTTAAATATATCTGTATAAATGTTAAAGATGAAATTTGTGATACATTTATAGTGTTAACTTTAAATATTTTTAACTTAAAAAAATAATTAGTTGTATGATTTACTATTAAAGAAACAAATAAGTTATTAAAATTTATTATTTACAGACAAGAAATATTCCTCCTGGTATCACCGGTCAAAGACAGCCATATGTAAATCAACAAATATATAATGTTTCACCTGGTCATTTTATGGTAAATTATTGCATGTTTTGTTATATTTAATTCATTTAATAACTTTCATACTACAATAGACTCTTGATAATTCAAAATTCTCTTTAATTCAATTTTATTTTTATTCTGGCATAATTTATGTAGACTTGCTGAATTCTCTGTTTCTCTAAGTTGAAGTAGTTTTGAGATCACATTTTGCTAAATCAAAATTTAAGATATAGAAACTTTATTTTATTTATTTATCTATTTATTTATTTTTTTGTATGTGCTTTCTTTTGCATTTTCAAAAAGATGGATAGTGGTTAAAGATGTTTGCAAAATGATTTTAGTGCATTTAAAAATGCTTTTGTAACATCAAATTATGTTTTAAAATACTTTCTCCTAGCACGAATAAACAAATTTTCTAAATATTTGAAAAATGATACTTTTTTTAATTCAAACATTAATTGAAAGGTGTATTAAAGCAGTAGAATTAGTAGTAATTTTAATTGCTTCATGGAGGAGAAAAGTATTTTTTAGTGTAATCACACTGCACCTTACACGCTTTCCAGCACTAGTTTAATGAAAACAAATGTTTTCAACCCCATTCAGAGGTCTCTATCAGATTACAAACAGATTAAAATACAAATTAAAAAAAAGAACAGTTCTAATTTATCATGAGAACTCAGTTCTTTTATTCTGTGTTGAAAGCACCTTAATTAATGAGATTTTTTTTTAAAATGTTTGCCAGACAAAATGGTATACAAAGGTGATTCATGTTATGGAGGTTTTTACCTTCAAAGAACATTTAACTTCCTGTAGAAGTAAATATGACAGTAATAGTGGCTGTTTTTTTTTTATCATCTAATTGAAAATCTTTAAAGCCTTAATGTTTCTGTAATTCCAAGACATTAACTAAACAATAAGAATGTATGGAAGACATCAGAGCTTTTTCTAATAAGCTGAAAAAGTTAGACTTCTATATAATTGCCTAAAACAGAAAAATTCTTTTATTGAGAATTGTAGTGCACATTTGATGATTCCCACTCTGAAAGCTTATAACAGTTCAATTTTACCATCAAAAACAACTTCTGGATTGCAACCATCAGTTGGGATTCTTCAAAACTTTAAATTATGATATAGAAAGCTTATTGTATGAAAATGTTGCATGTTATTGAATGTGTATCATGGGAGTTTGGAGTGAACTTGCTAGGTGCAATGCAAATGATCAACTAAGCTTAAAGTTCCACAAAGCATCATTGCAAATTGCTTTACAAAAGCAGGTTTTGTTCAACAATTTGTTGATGCTTTGAATAAATCAGAATTTGTAGACTATATCAAAGAAGACCAAGTCAATCTTCATTACTGTAATGAGTGATAAAAAAGTGTCATTAAAGGATTTTGTTAACATTTATAAATGATGTGGTTTCATTGTTAAACAAGATGTTTTCAAGACAGTTGACCATATAACATCATTGAGGAAGAAGCAGTGAATTGTCAACAACAAATTGATGTAACAGATTTTTTTCACCAAGTGTAAATGTTGTGTTGTTTGGGCATTGTGGAGAAAGCTCGACTTCCTGCGGCACCCACAGCAGCATACTGGTTGCGCAGACACCCGCAACCAAATGCCAGCTAGGGACAAAAGAAGAAGAAGACTAGCATGATTGTGCTAGGGTTATCCAGATGCCACTCTAAAAATTTTTTGAGACAAAATGGTGCTCTATTTTTCAAAGGCAAGTAGCATATAAAAATTACAAAATTAACTAATTTTTATATTACCAACTACATTTATCTGTATATAATCATGATTTCCAAAAGTAAATTAAATAATTTGTTTNTTTTTAATTCAAAATTGTTAATGTTTTTTTTATGATATGTATGTAAAGGGTCAGTCAAATGCCCAAGTAACTCAGCCTTATGGAACAAGTTGTCAAAATCAACAGGAGCAACAAAGTCATATTGTTAAAAGAATAAAATTAAATTCAGGAACTGGACAAACTATTGTAAGTGGTTTTATTTATAAATAAAGTTTTTTTTTTAAATTTGTTCATAACAATTTTAATTCAATAGCAATCAGGTACTCATTCAGAAGGAAATGTTTCTGCACAGCAAAATAATCCATATTATTTTAATCAACAACAATTGCAACTTCTTAATTTACAACAGAATCAGGTAAACATTAAATATATATAACATAGCTTTGAGGTATTTCTTTATTTTGTAACTACCAAGTGATCAAATGAAAAGTTTACTTGCAATTAGTTCACTTTGTGACACCATATTTGTTACTGTCCTGCTACATGTTATGAAAAACACTTAAATTTTTATATTTATTTACTGTTGATTATGTTACTGTGTTATGTATATTTATTTACTTGTTACCAAGGAATAATAATTGACTTTTTGACAGTGTTTCCAAGTTTACCTCTCACAAGTAAACTTTTTGTTTGATCACTTAGTATATTTGTACTATTTGTACTTCACTCAAAAATAAAGAAATGCTATAAAAAAAAATCAAATCAAAAACTGTTTTTTGATATTTTGATCATATTTATTGTGCATAAAATTAATTTTTTTAAAATAAAAATAAGAAGAGAACTAATAAATCTGAAAATGATGCCTTTTTATTTGAAGCTTTTTCAGCTAAAAACTAATTATGGATTTCTTCCTAATTTTTTCTTAATCCTTACCAAAAATTTCCTTTTAACTATGTATAATTTCTTGTTATTTTTCATGGATCTGTGATTAAAAGTTCTTTGATGTGTATAGAATATTCTTGACCTGGAAAAATGACAATAATTGCTCCATATAAAAATTGTATGTCTTATAAACTCACTTGCTTGAACATAAGTATTATTTGTATTTAGAAAGATCTGTTGAGCACTTTCCTAAGTTAATTCTACTAAATGATTTCTGCTAAACCTCATTTAGATGTAAAGTTATCATAACAAAGATAGACAAAGCAATAATTTCCTTTTTCAACATGACCTGATTACTCTCCTACATAAAAGCTATGTTCTTTATTGGTAGATACTATACTTGAATATAATAATAATAATTTACCTTAATTGGTTAATATTTAATACTTTAAACCAAATATATCAATTAAATATTTTATTTTATTTAAAATAAGAAATGGTCTGTTGTAGAATTGGTTTTTTTAAAATATGTTTGATTCTCTTACTTTATTGTACATTTGAATGTGAAGCTTCTTTGAGTACAAACCAAGTAAGAGAATTAAGAAAAAAGTTCAGATAAGACAAAATAACAACCAGATGTACCATATTTTCACAGAATGATCATCATGTGGCATAAAAACTGGGGAGACCAGCTTGCCACAAACCCAGGGTTACCAGCATCCAGGTTAAACTGTGACTAAAATATAAAATTAGTCAGATCAAATAAAAATAGTTGTTAATTAAATGTTAAAGAAAATATTCTCTTCCTGATTTTAAGACAATAAAATAATTAACAACTTATTGACATTAGTCTACCCTGACCTTAAAAATAACATGTTCCTCTCAAATTTCACACACAGCCCATGTTAATGGGTGTAAGCTGAGATAATTTACAGCAGTTTCTTAAATTTAATATGTATATTTTTGTGTTTTTGAATCAAATAACAACAAAATACATAACAAAAGCATTTTTGGAATTTTATGAGTATTTTATGTTAGAAAGAAGACAAAATGAAGAAATTAAACATTACATCAAAAACTATGATTACATGTTTAATTTCTTTGTTTTGTAATGCTGACAGTTTTACAATAAAAACTGGCTGATTTTTATCAGGCAACTCTTTTTTTTTTTTTTTTTTTTTTTTGTGCCCTCACTTAAATTGACATGCTGGTTTTTACCATATGGAAATATCTGATTTCCTGGTCACCCCAGATATATCAGAATGCCAGTCATTCTGCAAAAATACAGTACAAATTCTAAAAATCTTCTGATTATTAAAGATGATTATAACATTTGAAATTTTGCATAGGGTACACTAACTCCACAACAAAGAACATTAATGCAGCATCTCCAGCAACAATATCAGTTGATGCAGAAACAAAAACAAGTAAGTATAATTTAAAATTAAAATTTTTTTTATTAAGGTGAAATATTCTTAAAATATGAGAAATTTGCCACCTTATATACCTATCCCTCTTTTTATGTAGTCTTGGAGTAATATGGTTGACAAAAGAGAACTAATCTTCTTTTTACTTTACATGGAAAAGAAAACAGTTTATCTGAAAATTTTTTAAATTTAACTTTTTGTTAAAATTGTGTTATTGTTAAAGAAGCTACTCTTTTTATTGAAAGACTGGATTTAAAATTACATATGTTTAGATCAAGAGTTCATTTATATTTTTAAACACAGTGCATTACTATATGTTGATTTTGTTTCCTGTGCTATCTTGTGTTTACTATACTTATATACAATCTGTTACAAAAGTATAGGAACACCATAAATTTTGTGTTTTTTTTTCAAAATTTATTTTGAAATTATTATTGGAAATATTATTAATTATTTTATATCATTATTTTAATTATTTTATCAGATTTTTTACAATTCATAAAGCAGCATAAATGTCTTTTTCACAAATAGTCATTTTTTGATATGTTACAAAAGTGTAGGTANGTATAGGTACACCACTTAGAAGTCTCTTAAAAATTTCATAATAATAATAATTAAAATTATCACCACTAGAGTGAGATGTCATCATTTTTAATTGTCATAGTGGCTTTTTTGAATGTTTTATTGAATGTTATAAACATTTTCAACAATGCCTTGTGGAACTGTACTTCAGGAGCAAGAAATACATGAAATTTATTATTTGAGTGGTTCAGGCAAGTCTCTGAGGCAAATTGCTGCAGCTGTAAATAGATCTATGAATGCTATTTGAAATGTTTTGCAAGAAGGTGAAAATTATGGGCAAAAAAAGAAGTCAGGATGGCCTAAATGTTTAACATTCAGGAATGAGAGATATGTTTTGAAGCTTATAAGTAATAAAAACATGTCAACAAGGCAAGCTGCTGCTGAATTACCAGTAGATGTATCTCATGCGACTGTTTGGATAACTTTAAAAAACAATGACAACGTAAAATATTTAAAAATGAAGTTGAAACCACCTTTAACTCCCAAACATAAATCAATGTGTTAACTGGGCTAAAGACAAGATGGGATGGACTGAAAAATGGCAAGAAATAATGTTTAGTTAACTGGACTAAAGAAAGATGGGATGGGCTGAAAAATGGCAAGAAATAATGTTTAGTGATGAGAAGAAGTTTAATTTAGATGGCCCTGATGGGTTTTCATATTATTGGCATGATTTTAAAAGAGAAAAAGGAGTTAAAATAAACCAGCAACAAAAAGATGGGTCTGGAATGATTTGTTGTGGTTTTGGATGGGGAGGTAAAACTGATTTAGTATTTGTTGACAAAAATATGAACTCAGAAAAGATCAAGAATTATTGTATAATAATATGATTACATTTAGTGCATTAATTGGTGGTCATAAATGGAAGTTGCAACAAGATAATGCTTCCATTTGTGCCTCAATGTCAACAAAAAATTGGTTTAAAAAAGAAAATATTGATGTAATTGACTGGCCTTCACATAGTCCAGATTTAAATCCCATTGAAAATTTATGGGGGATTTTAGCAGCCGTTGTTTATAAAAAAAAGGGAAACAATATGAATCTGTAAATCAGTTGAAAATTGCAATAATGCATGCATGGGATGAAATTAAGGATGAACAATTAAAAAAATTATAAACTCCATGCCTAACAAAATTTTTCAAGTAATTGTAGCCAAAGGAGGTGAAATCAGACACTAAAAATGTTTAAAATATATTTTAAAATTATTTTTATGTAATTTTAGAAAGTGTACCTGTACTTTTGTAACCAACACACTAACACCTAAATGCTAATTCCAGCATATAATCTTTAATGTTCCAAACGTTTTCAGCTGTCTTCCAGAGGCCCTCTTCAGGAAAGAATTAGTGATGTAACAAATATTCGGTTACTATTCGGTATTCGGCCTATTTAATCACTATTCAGCCGAATACCAAATACCTAAAAATGGGAGTAAGAAATAACAAAAAACACAGTAAATTAATCATTTTGGTATTTAGATTTAATGTTATCGGGTTAGTGTTGTTTGTTTATATTCGTTTATAACTTATAACATGCACAAAATAAAAAAGAAAATATTAGTCACATGTATTCACAATTTATAATTACAAGGATCAGCATATGTACACACCTATTCATTCGAGAATCCTCACACATCTGAGGGTCTGGCTCTGCCTATCCTTCTTTTTAAGCGCTTGTCTTTGCTCTTCCCTTTCTCTTTCCTCTATTGCTCTAGTCCACATATGCCTATGCATACATCATAATATGATACTTTCGATTATGCACTCATAATACACTTCGATGATACACTCATGATACTTTCGATTCGTCACTTTTCCGTCATAGATCTCCCATTTTACTATTACGTGACTCATAGCCTGGTGATAACGGAGAAAAGAGACAGATAGGACATTGGTATATGTCACAGTTATGATTTCACACATTCGAAACAGCTTGGTAGCCCGAACGGTCCCAGGCTTTCGCCTGTGCATGCTAAGTGACTTTCATTTTAAGCATTTAGCTTTCCGAAGTCTGTGACAACAATTGTTTGGCATTGACGGCCATGAATTTCGTGCCAATAAGTTGCCTCAACTTGTTTGATTTATGTCGTCAACTCAATTTCATATTTATTTTCACTTTGCGGTCTTTCTCTGTTTTTTTTCAGTTATTTACACGTGTAGGTCATTTCATTGTTATCCACATTTGATATTATCATTTATCACATACTGCCATGACGCTCTTGTCTGTCCGCTACAACTATCAAGAATTAACGTGATTGGCAAAGCGTAGTGACAGCGGGCCAATAGAGAGCAGGGTCCTTGCCATAATGCAGTTTGCGCACCAATTTTCGTACGTGCATTAATCAAGCCAAATAATTTGGCCGAATATTCAGTATTCGGCGTGAGCCCGAATATACTATTTGTTGCAACACTAGAAAGAATGCATAAATACAAAAACAGTTCTATCGTTTGAAAAGCCTTAGCTTTTGAACATAGCTGTGTTCCAATTTTTTAAACATTCAAATGATGTTCAAAACAAAGATCGTTAATTTATTTATGATTTATTTTTAAAATGTAACAATCTTTGTTTTGAACATCGTTTGAACATTTAAAAAATTGGAACACAGCTATATTTGAAAGCTAAGGCTTTTCAAACGATAGAACTATTTTTTGTATTTATGCTTTTTTTCCTTAAGAGGGCCTCTGAAAGACGGCAGAAAATGTTTGGAACATTAAAGATTATATGCTGGAATTAGCATGTTAGTGTGTTGATTAGTATACCATTCCAGTTTGTGTGTAAGTTTTTTATGTATACTTTTGTAACACATCAAAAAATGAATATATGATGCTTTATGAAATGTAAGAAACGTGATAAAATAATTAATATAATGATAAAAAATAATTAATAATATTTCCAGTAATAATTTCAAAATAAGTTTTGAAAAACACAAAATTTGTGTTGTTCCTATACTTTTGTAACAGACTGTACAAATAATGCTAATGATAAATGATGATAGAATAAAAATAGCTCCTATTTCTTTTATAAATTGCTTATTTTTTGTTTTATTGAAGTTGTGGATCCTTATCAAGCATTTTTCTACAAAATGTATGTATTGTACTTTTTTACAGAAATTTTTTTAGTATTTTACATATTCTTTGGAATGTATCCACAATACAAAAAGATGTTTAGGTGTATAGAGATGTTTTGAAAGATATGTCTACTACAAATAATTTGTCATCTTTTAATTACATAAGTGTCTTGAGTCTTCCAATGTCATTTAATAACATTTAAAAATTTGGGTGATTAAAAATTAATATACAACAGGGGCTTGATAAATGTGAATTTACAACTCACAATATGTATGTATGTAAAAGAATTTTGTGATTCCTTTGTTTTTTATTACAGAATATTTTTCAATATAAATGTTAAATTGAAAATTCGTGTCATAGTTATATTATTATGAGTTTAAAATACTGAAGAATGAGAAACTTTATTTTATTGAGAAATAATAGTTTGACAATAACTGAATTGGTAGATTTTTGTTAGGCTATTTTTAAATTACACAGAAATTAGCAAATGGACAAGCTACATATTTTTTTTATTAACTAAAATTATTAGATGATGATTCTGTTAGAGGCAAATAGCAAATCTGTTTTTAATTAATATAAAAAGAGTAGCTTGATTAAAACCATCAGTTTAGTCTGTCTTTAGATAGTATCAGTGTTTTTGTTTAACCTACCTATGGTAATAATATGCTTAAAATATCAAAATTATTGTAAGAAAGACCCTGTATTATCATGTATCAAGAATTTTTTCCAAAATTAAAATTTCAGAGCATCATTATTATACAGTTGTAAGGTTCTTGTTTCTAATGAATTAAATAATTATTCTAAGCTCCCAATTGGTGGAGATATACAAGGCTTATCAAGCTGTATTAGAATATTGGAAAATTTGATGTGAGCTCAGTATTATAACAGAGTTTAAGATAATTATTTAAATCATTATCATGTATTTATTTTGACAATTTAAGTTCCATTTTTACCCAAATTACAATATTTAATGTTGACTCTTCAGTCACTACAGTATATGATATTGGTTTATACAATACAAAATTTCTAATGTAAATAATAAGTTTTTGTTGTTGTCAAGAGCAAATAAATAAAGTTTTACATTTTATTTTATTTTATAGCAGACTACTACACAGCCAAACATCATAAGGCCTTCCCATCAGCAATCTCTGCCTGTTTCATCTAGTGTATCAACAAATTTTTCTCCTGCTGATTCACGTACAGTAATTTCTGGTCATGCTGGAATACCTGTAAATTCTAGAACAGTGGTTCATTCTGACACATTGAATCATTCCAAAACAGTGCCTGTTCAGTCACAACTTAGTCATACTTCTACTGAAGTTAATAATCATGTTTCATCTGCAAATCAAGCAACAACTGGTACTCCTTTAATAGAAAGTACTACACCATTTATAAATAGAAGGCCACTGACGACAACACCTGATCAATCTGTTCATAATACCTCACCTTACACTGCCAGTAATCAGGTTTCAGGTGGTGTTCATGATCTTCAGCAGGCCAATTTGCTTAAACAAAGACAACAAAATGCTTTACATGGCACTATGTCTGGAAATGTGAGTACATTATATTCCATTTAATTTGAACTTTTAAATTTTTTATGCTATGAATGTTGTTTTAGTAATATGATTATTCCATTTGTAATGCAATTTTTTCCATAAATTTAAATAAGATAGGACTGTATAACTACAGTAAATTCTGGTTTTATATGATCTTAAAGTTATGCAATTCAATAATTTATCTTTCATGAGGACATCAAGACTTTATGGAAGGAAATATCACTTAAATATATAGACAGCATATGGATGAAGTTGTATCCTCAGTTCTACAATAAGTATGGAGATTCTGTTTGCTATAAAACAATTATCACAGCTATTATAGTGTTAGAATGGCCTCAATATCTGGCATGGATGAAGTTCATGAGAAAGAAGTTTGAAGTGATTAATAAAATATTGAGATTGTACATTTGAGATGATTGCACTGTTGTAAGCAGTATGACCATATGACTGGAATTACTGAGTCAGAGCAGAGATGTAGAGTACTTTGTGACTGCAGAATATGAAAACAACCTGAACATGTTTTATCAATATAAACTTTGTAAGATTAGTTAGAAGTAGAATCATTATTTGTTACCAAAATTGATTTGATGTTGAGGAGTCTGGTTGATATTATTTATATCAAAGAGAAAAGATGACAGATTATTATAAATGTTAAAAAAACTATAACTATCTTTGTAACACAACTTTTTTACCTTGAAATCTTAGGAAGAAATGCTAATCCATATTAAGACAAAATTTTTGTGGAAGTTAATTTTTTCCTGAAATAGAACCAACAGTATGACATTTATCTGCTTTGTGTACTGATGAGGTTACTGCTACCATTACCCAATACAAAATGAGAATTATTTTTATGCATGAAAATGAGTCTTTGTGTACTTTTACACACAGTGCAAATGACTTCTAAACAAGATTTTCTCCTAGATTAGTTAACTTTATAATAGAATCTAATTTTACTGTGATGCTTTTGAGATTATTTGATTTAGTTTTTCTTTAGGATGTATGAAGACTTCATGGAATCTCTCATTATCAAAGCATATTGCAGCCATTCACATTATTCACAATAAGTATATACATTTATTGAAAATTCAGAGTTCTAATTCAGACGGATATGTTGTTATTTCACATAGTTAGAAATAATGAACAACATATATTTGGTTGTTCATTATTTACAAATACAAGTGTAAATAAGACTATGATTTACACCATTTTTAAAAAATTTGTTAATTATTTGATTATTCTCAATTTGTAATTGGAATAATTAATAAATTTAAAATAATAGTTTTTTATAATATTTATACAATAATTAAGCAATTATTTTATTACATTTAGTACAATTTATTACACTTTTTATTTTAACAAAACAATTTCTTAATGAAGAAATATTAAAATTTATTTGATAGGTTCGTCCTCCTTCGACATGCCAATCACCGAGTTCTCAGGAAGTTACAAGTACTACTCTTATGTCACCGTTAGGTGAACAAGATTTTCAAACCGTTCTTTCACAAAAAGAAATAGCATTAGCAGAAGGTTTATTGGCTCAATTCACAGGAGAAATAACATCTAGTAAAACAGATAATTTAGAAAAATCAAAATTATCTGAATCTCAGGATATTGTCCAAGATTCGTTAGACAATGTCCATTCTACTGTTATGAGTCCAATTAGTGGGGATTTAGATACATGTAAAATTGTTGAACATCAAAGAGAATCAACAGAAGTAGAAGATATTACAAAAAGTAATCAAATAAATGAAAAACAAGAAACTTGGTCAAATTCTTCAAGTAAACATTTAATTGAAAATAGTTCTAAATCTATTAGAAATGAACTGAAAGTAAACACTGTTTCTATCCCAAGTGTTCAGCAGGCTCTGAAACAAAATAGTACAGAAAATCCTTCTACATCAAGTATAACAGCTCCTGTGTCACTCTCTATTAATATGAGTTCTTCCCAGCTGCTGGCAGCATGTAAAGGTTTTGAAAAGAATGGTGTTTCTAATACAAGTATTATGACTGAATTATGTCCTCCTCCAACTCCACCAGATCCTCCTTATCCACCACTGCCAAAAGATAAATTACTACCTCCAACACCAAGTGTTTTTGTAAGTGAAACAATACAATTTTATTATAAATTATTATCAGAAATTTATACAGTTGAATCTTTTTAATTTAAACAATCAACCCAAAACAGTTCAAATTATAAAATATTTGCTTAATGGTTTTTTGAAAATTATATCACCAAAAATATGAAATAATGAAAAACTAGTTTATAGTGTTTAAAAGTTTTCTCTTTTTTTTCTCTCTACTATTTTAATCACTTCAACTTTTTTAAGCTAAAGATAACGTCATGTATGTTCCAAACTTAAATATTGAAAAAAAAAGCTAAACATTTCTGTTGTCTAGATGTAAATGTCACTAAAACTGTGAAACACGTGACAAGTTTCTTCTGTGTTCAAGGAGTGTACAAACATTATTTTCAAGAAATCCTGAAAATGCATGCATTCTGTAAATAAATTGACCACATGATACTTTCTCTTTCCAGTTTTCACTTGCAAAATATGATTTAATATTTATTTTAAATTTGTATTAAGAAAAATTCAAATTAACTTTATTTTTATCATTAATTTAAATATAAATTTCAATAAGAATAATAATTGTTTTAAATTATTCAAAAAGTTTAGATTAATCAGATTCAATTGCACTTTATTTCACAAATTTTTTATTTGAATTTTTTTTATATTTATTCAAATAGATTGATATTTCATTAAAAGTGTATGTATTAAACATGTACATTTCTTTGACTAGCTAAATTTTATTTTCAGTTTTATTCATTTTTTGATAATTTGATATATTACAAACATTTAAATTTTATGTTATTTATTTTATTTTTCAATGCATTAATTAAAGCAATGAAATGCTAATCCTGATCATTTTTATAGATTCAAAAATGTTTTTGTTAAACTCTGTTAGATAAAATTAAATGTGTTCATGCACTTTAAACATAAGTTGTTTCTTTAATGAAATTTAATATATATTAAAACTTAAATTTTGATATATAGCAAGTTAAGTAGAATAATTAATTGTTGAGTAGAAATTTGAATCATAACAAAGTTAATTTTATTGTTAAAATACAGAGCAATAAATATAATGTATAGTTGTTTAAACTATTCATTATATATATGTTATTCACTGCACATATTATGTATACAGGACAGTCATGATTTACACAAGGATTACTTTTCTGGAGTGTCTATATAATATTTTGTGCAAATTACAAGTATAAAAGAATGTCAAAGTTTATGAGGAGTGCAAAAGTAATCAGGAGCATAATAGATTTTCGTTTTATACAGATTAAATTAAAGATGAAATTTGTGATGAAAATTTACATGTACTGTGTGAGAAAAATTATTTTCATAAAAATTAGGCTGAATGTTACTTGCATAGTGTAGTTAAAAAAAATAATTAATAATAATAATAGAAGCAATTTGTAAATATTCACTATGATTTGATTTGTCTTTTGACTTTTTGAGTTGATAGTGAATTTCTTTTTGTTTAACCATGCATGAGCATTTATATATTAGGTTAGTTTTACACATAGAGCAAGCTTTATTTATTTGTGTTACATACAGTAGAGTATCGTTTATCCGAAAGCTGGTTATCCGAAACGTCTGTTATCTGAAAGCATTCCAGTTGGCAAATTTAAATTTTCGCTAGTGCTGTGGCGCTGCAATCTTCGGCTATTTCTTGGGTTACTCAAATATTTTACGTTTTTGATACTAAATTAACATCTGAAGTATAATTTTTTATTGTTTTTATATTTTTCAATATATTTATTTTGTTTGTATAAAATAAAAAAAATAATTTTTAACGATACAATAGTCTTCGTTAGGCTTAACATCGACGAAAATTCAACGCGAAGCGACACGCAACGGAGAAAAATTTCAACATGGGATAAATTAATATATTTTTTCGTACATGATTCGTTATCCAAAAAATAAGTTATCCGAACCACCCCAGTCCCCAATTGATTCAGATAAACGACGCTCTACTGTATTTGTATTGTATTACTCAGAGATGTATTGTATATAACTTTGAACTTCATAATAACAATTTGAACAATTAGTAAGATATCAGTAATTACCTTATATTAGGATAAGCTGATCAATAATGCATACAGTGAAATATTCAGAAAAAGAAACTATTTATATGAATAAACAAAAACTGAAATGAAAATACAGTAGTCTCTCGAAAACTCGGCACTCGATAACTCGACCACACCCTGGCAGGGCAAAAAAATCCTTAGTTAATTAATTTTCATTATAGCTTTATGCCTCATAAAGTATATTTCTGAGGTCTGTCTTATCAGGTAAATTACTGTACACAGTGTATTCATTAATTTTCATTTGATGTAGTAAAGGCTCTATGCCTTCATAAAGGACGTACTTTTCCTTTGTTTAAGGGTATTTGGGCAGTTTATTTTCTGTTGTATTCTCAAGTAAACAATACATACAAGTACAGTACAGTATTTTCCGAGGAAATACTCATACTTATTTTTTTTAACCCCATTCCCGATAACCCGGCATTTTCACAAACTCGGCCACCCTTCGGTCCACATTAGGCCGAGTTTTCGAGACTCTACTGTATTACATTTTTCTACAAATTGACATATTTGATTTTTTGCTTTTTGTTTTGTCCTTCAATACATTTATTTTCTAATGCAAAACAAGTTTACATATGTCGTCAATAAAAAATTCAATGATTTTTTTGGCTAATCTATGATGTTATAGCTTGCTATAATTCATTAGTTGGGGTGAAATAAGTTCCCTTGAGATTCCTTTTGAGGATAGGGAAAAAATTAAAATCAATCAGTGTCAAGTCTGAGCTATAGGGCAGATCCAACTCAAACTTCAGCTTCCCAAGAGCATGAAGTGTTACATGAGCAGTATGCAGTCTTGCATTATTATGCAGCAACAAAGTTTACTTCCTAACCCAATACATCCCTTTACTATAGGTTCCTTGTTTTTTTAGTATACCATGTTGAATTAACAGTATTCCCAACTTCAAAAATTATATCAGGTAAACTTTGTGAGTTCCAAAAACAGTTAGAGGATATTTGTATTTTATGCTGTGTTGTTTTGTCTTTGGGGTCAACATAATAGATGCATAGACTCATCTCCTATAACAATATTCAAAAGAAATTGATCTCTCTCTTCACAATAGCACTTCAACAGTTTTTCACAATACTCTACTTGCTTTTGTTTGTTTTGTAGTGTCAACATGCATAGCATCTGTCAAAAACAAAGTTGTGAAGCCAAACAGAACAAAGAAATAGTTGAACCTGTCTATCTCGAATCTCATGGAAATGAGAAAAATATTCAAGATAAGTTTCTAGATAGAGGTTCCTGCACAGTAAACAGTAATAGATTTGATTGGAGGTATGATATTCTGTTAATACAATAGCAAGTACAGTACATACTTGTATTATGTATAAATAAAACATTTTTGACATATCTTAACAGAAATAGTTTGTCAATAATTTCTAATGCCTGACTTTCTTCAACCAATAAGATGCAAGCCTAACTTGTAGCCTTAACCCACCAGTGATTGAGTGAATAAAACCACTGAACACTAGTAGTTGGTCATGAGCTCATGCCTCACCAGCTAGATAGCCATATGGAGTTTTCTGGGTTTTCTTCATGTTTGTAACATCTAAGTAGGGGCCAGTTTCTCATAGAAAGTTATAGAATCCCAGGAGGCATCTCCATTTGACAGATCACCCGTGTATCACATTGTTTTTCTCTGACTGGCTAAGAGTTTGCCATAAACAAAGAAATCAAACCAATGTTAATCACAACTATGTATTGTATTGCAAGAGACAATTTGATACCAAATTGTAGTTGCTGAGCTTCAAACTTGTATTTTTAATACTAATTGACACTTCACTCCATAATTTGAGGTATAGCAGTTTTGGGAAAAAATTATTTGAGATAAACATGGAAAATATATTGAATTTAGTCTGAAAATGCAGAGGAAAAAATAAATTTCAAGATAAACATGTTTGAGATAGACTGATTCAACTGTATTCTAGTCTACTTGCTATTTGCTTTTGTGTGACACAGTCATTTTTTTTTAATCAATTTAACTTTTTTTGATGATTGTCACTGAAACTTGTCTTCCATCATGATGATGATGATTGCAATAAAAGCATTACCAAGTCCACATTTATGAAATTTAATGGCCCAACAATTTACTGTAGTTCTATCGACAGTGTGTTCACCATACACAGCCTTTAAATTGCAATGAATTTTAGTTTGGCATTACATTTACAGCATTTAAAAATTTAATTATAACACATTGTTTTAATCTCATTAAGTTATCATTGGGCTGCAATTTGAAAAAAATGTAGATCTGTAAATTCTCACTGTTGCCTGTCCATTTGTCTTTCCTTAATCTCAAGAACTTAGATATGAAAATGAGACTAGATATACTATATACGAACTTCCAATGTTTCGGAAGTCATTGTTTCAATTCAAAAAATTTTTCCAAAAGGTGTTAGATAGATAACCGGTGCAACTCTATTGTTAAAGGAAAAGTATGATGTACAGGGGTGTGAGACACTACTAATTTGAGGTGGAGAGCATATATTTTAAATGAAATAAATTTAAAATATGATTAAAAATTGCAGCTCAGTATTGTGATGTCACAATAAATAATTGCTCATTATAACATGGCATCACATTAAAACTTGTTATTGTAATGTAATTAAAGGAATAAAATTTACTACTGTTCTGACTACAAGGTCATGCTGCACATGCATTGCTTATCAGCCTATCTTTGTACTATTAGAATAGTTGCTGATTTTTTACATGAAAAAAAAGAGTATGTGTAAACTTTTCATAAGTAAATTAAATTTTTACAGTTAAAAAACAAAAAAAAAACTAAATTCAAATTTAATTATTTTGTTTTTTATGAAGAAACTTAATTCTGTGATTTTTCTTTAATAGTTTGAGCCACCCAGTAACAAGAAAGTTTATGAAAATTGAAATAAAAAATATTTTGTTTTTATAAGGTCTTTATTTTATATATTTATGAACAATATTGTACTATTTAACATATTATGTCATAGTTTTTATCTATTACTGTTCCCTATTCCTTGTTCCTGCTTCTTTCTCATAGCCTAAAAGAACTTTTTAAATTTAAAATATATGTTTGTTATTGAGGAGACTAGGGAAGCTTCATGAAACTCTTAACTTCAATTTTTAGTAAGTATTGACAAAAATAATAACTCTGTTTAAATAATGATGATGGTGTTTGTTAATTTTTTGTTTCTTACAGCTGTCTGTGTAAGAAATTTCTGATTAAAAAATATATTAGTAATTATAAATAAATTAATATTTAATTTAGAAAGTTCTGAAAGAAAAGAATTGGCCTGGAGCAGGACTGAAACCTGCAGTTCCCACGGGTTGTGGGAGTTGCAGGTTTGAGTCCTGCTCCAGACTAATTCTTTTCTTCCAACTTTCTAAAAATGCATTAGGATACTAGATAAAGTAATTAAAATGAAAAAAATTGCACATTATATTTTATTTAGATGCAATTATCAAGTAGAAAACCATGAGAATAGAATTCAACAAAACTTGGCACCAATATAATATTAATGAGATGATAATAATAATAATAATAATAATAATAATAATTACAATAAATTAATTTTATCCAATAATATAATATTAAGATTTTTGAGATTTTCCAAGTATAATAATGATTTTAGGCAGAAGTTTGCTATTAAATCTCTAGCCAACCATAAAACCAATTCAAAGTTCTTTAATAACTGAAGAATGTGTGATTTTTCTTACTAAATTCCATAAGAATTATATTACTATTTTTTAAACTGGCTGTTTTATTAGTAAGTTCAATACATAATTATTAAATTTACTATCAGTATCAATTATTGTTAAATGATTTTATATATATAATTTATTTCATATTAAATTTTATTTTTACTAATTACATAATGGTTTATTTATAAAGCTTGAAAATAAGAAAGATGCATTTTCTCCCCAACTTCAAGAGTTTTGTTTAGCTCATCCAATTGCTGTGATACGTGGCCTTGCTGCAGTGCTCAAATTAGGTATTTATTATATTTATTCAAATAATCTTTTAAATTAGCTTATATATTTTTATATATCATTTATAAAATTTATAATATGTATATATTTTCAGATTGTTGATAATAATTTTATTATTAATCTTACCTGCAATTCTATTATTTGAATTACCAAATGTACTATAATTATGTTAAAATTTTCAAGCTTCATTCCCTGGTTAAGAAATTAATTTTAAATTGAATTTTTTAATATTTTAACTGTATGATTGGCTCTTGTAGAGATGAACTGTGTAGGAAAAAATTTTCACAATTTTTTTTAATTCTGAAATAAAGCAGAAAAATTAGAGCAAGTATTTAATATTAATGGTTAAACGAATATTTATGTATATTTTATAAAAATCATTTTCATATGTTTATGTATCTATGTTACCGGAAAGGTTTGAAGTTTATTTCAAACAATATTGTTGGACATTAATGAAAAACAAATTAGACAACTTTAAGATTGTCTAGACAATGTCTGATTTTTATTTCCAAATTGTCTACTTTTTGTCCCAGCTTTGGTTCTCTAGTTGAATAATGTTGACTTCTACAGTCTTATGATATTTTATAATTAGAAAACCAGAAAAAAAAATTATAAACACTTTCTGATAAGAAATTTCCAAAGATTGATATGAGTAAATCTAACTGTGCCAGTACCAAGCTTTGATAAATCAAAAGGAGACACTAGAAATATCACAGGACATTCTGGACCCTACTACTGATTGCTAACAAAGTAGGGACAAAATGTACAGAACATGCAGAAAACCTATACGTTGCCTAATTTGTTTTCAAGAAATGTCGGCAAACTTACCTTGGCGACTCTAGGATTTCTGATCTTAGCAAGATCTCTTCAGATTTCACTGGTAACATAAATACAAGATCAGATTCAATTTACTACTAATTGTAGGATCTTATGTATAACAATTTGCTTTTTTACAAAAAACAAAACTTCAGCTTTATTTTAATGCTTAAATATACATCCACCATACAAAAATACTAATCCAATGCACAATAAAAATTACAATAATAAAAACCATAAACATTATTTATATTAACATGGAATTTAGGAATTTTTATTCATTTTAGAGATTTTCTTCATCTTTATATTTATTGAAAAAAATAATAATCAATTATTAGTGTGAGATCTGGAATTTTTAGCGATGTTTCCCTAATTATTTCCCTTCCTAGTGCCTAAAGATTCGAAAAGAAAAAGAAACATCATCGCTGGGAAAATTTTATAACCCTCCTTTTTAAATATAAACATTCACCCACCAGGCACTCATTATCATACTGCAAGACTTAAAGTTTACAATTAACATCCGATTTTGTCACTTTATTTTGATCCCTGGAACACCTTTAACCTCCACACTGGCTCCAATAACCTTTACCTCCCACAACAAGGCATCCCATGACATATTTTCCCACCACAAAGCTATAAAAGCCGCTTTTCCCCCCTCAGGGGAGTCTCTCACCAATGCCAGACAAGTAGAAGCCAGACTCTACTGAGGAGCTATTGTCAGAATTTTTACTAAGTGCGACTTGCGATGTTAAGTCACAATTCTCTTAACTCTGTGCCTCCAGCTTCGGACCTCATGAGAATAATCAAGAGGTATGAACTCGAGCGTGTAAACTCTCTTTTGGCTCCTCCTTGTACTCGGAAGTTAGAAAATCTCAATAGACATTCCCGGTAGATATTGTAATCGTCCAATTGTTAAATAATAAATTTTTGTTTTCCTTGTTAAATGGTGTCTATTGCACATTCATAGCTGACGCCTTACCGACGACCCCTCTCAACTCTTCCACTTGATCTGAAAGAAAAAGAATCCTGACCTTTCAGGATAATAGAACGTAAATCAGCCATCCTTGGACAAGTGGGCAGGTTTAACCAACCTGTTGCCAACAAAAAGAGGTACGACCTCGTCATACCTCCAGCGTCCCACATTAGTTTTTAGAAAGTGCTTTGTAACAGATTTAAATATATCTGTTATATTTAAATGATTAGTTATTAAAGACAGTGTAAATACACTTTCTTAAATGACTAATCATTTAAATTAAATTCTTACTATTTTGATTCATACAGTATTGAATTCAAAAATGATGATTAAATGTTCTGAAATAGTGGTACCCAAACTGCAAGTCTGGCCTGTGAACACATTTGACACATCACTTATAAGTGATAGAAATAAGCCTACTTTTTGTTTTTGGTATATGGAATGAATTTACACGACACAACGTTATTCTATTCCATATACAGTAAATGAAAAGTAGGCTTATTTCTATCACTTGAATTTACACAACACAACATTATTCTAAATGATAGAAATAAGTCTACTTTTTGTTTACGATATATTGAATAGAATAACGTTGTGTTGTGTAAATTTATTATTTACCAAACAAATATGTAGTGCACAGGAAATAACAGCCTATAATAATTATAAACTAAATCTGCAAAAAATATGTATCTACATTGCATTTTATAACATAGGAAAAACAATAAAATCATTATTAGTATGGAAAGAATTTATATTAAATTTTAAAAAATTTTGAGTTTTTTTTTTAAAGATGAATTTGCATGAAAATTAGCTGTTGTGTTTTCTTAATAATTCTGTTAATAATGTCTTTCATAATTTTGATGTATGATTTATTATTTGATAATTAATAACTACATAATATATACATCAAAAAGTTATTCACTATATTAATTAGTTTATATTTACTGCTGTAAAAAACTAACAACAACAATTCTGTCATAATTTTTTCAGATTTAGGCTTATTTTCTACGAAAACTTTGGTGGAAGCCAATCCAGATCATACAATAGAAGTAAGGACCCAGGTATGACATTTTTATTACATTACGAGATTGCTTGATATAATTTATAACAATTTATTTTGTATCCATTGAGTTCTTCATTATTTTTACTGTATTGCATTATTCTATATATTTATATCATGAAAATTAATTATTTTCTCATAATATAGCTTAAGAAAACTCTAACAATTTAAAAATTTTGTGCACAAGTCTGATCAGTTGTGTGAGATTTTATTAAAAGTATTATGATATTTACTTTGATAATGTAATATTATTAATATAAGATATCATTGAATGCTCACGTGAGTTTTCTTTTTAACATCTTGTTTGGCTGAAACAAAGAACAAATATGAACAGATGATACACATATATGACATATTATGTATTGAGTTTTGGAAAATTGTCACTATAGTACAAACACCAAAAACAGTATTTTTTCAAATAAATTTGTCAAATATAATGTTGCGAAGTCTACAGTTCCAACTCAAAAATTCTTTGTATGATGGGATGTAGATAGATAGCTTAATTTATGAACTTTTGGAGTGTAATAAAGTTATAAATTTTAATTTCTACTATTGGCAATTAGATCAAGTAAGAGTCTTAAACAAAACACCCATATTTTCTTTCAAAATTTTCTAAATTTAATAAGAGATGGTATCTAGCAGCTATCTCTGTGCCAAATTACTCAGTATTTAATTATTAATAAAAGCAGTCAAGTAGCTCAGTTTAATCCAGTAATCATTTAACCTTAATATAATTATTGGACTTTGAGGTGTTAATATAGAATAACACATGTTCTCGTGTCAGTTTGATAGTATGACAGAAAATGAAATAATTACTCTGGTATGTTAGATTATTCATCATATACACTGACTTAATAAATTAAAATCAGAAGATGCTAAGGTTGTTAAAATAATTTAAATTAATAAATAAAAAAAATTAAGCTTGAAGTAAATTACCATACTGTACACAACCTTTCTTGAGTCAAAACCAAAACTTTTTATACAGATATAACCAATAAATATGTGACATGTTACAATTACCTCCTGTTAAGGAGGTAATTGTAAATGAGGGCTATTGCATAGTTGATTAAATGCAAAATTTTATTTTTAGCATATTTTGGGAAAAGTCATAATAATTTGCTTAAACACTCTGAATAGAAAGTTTTAGCATATTTGTATTGGATTTAACAACCCAATATTTTATTTTATTAGGTGTGATTTGTAAGTTTTGTGTAAAAGGCAATTCTCAAGTTTACAGTTAGTAAAAATTAGAATGTTATCATCATAAAGTGTGAATTTTATTTAATGAAAAATAAATATGAAAATTTGTCAGAAAGTCTGATCAGTTTAATACTTAAATAATTTTTCTTCTATTCACTCAAAATCAAAACTCAAAATTTGATAAACTAGTGATAAATGATAAAAAGATGAATAGTTGGTATTGATTTTGTTTCAAGTTGCAAAAAGTTTAAATCCCAAATGGTTTAAAAGATAAAGTAATTTAGCATCAGATGATGTATCAATGGATTTTTAACTTCTACAATAAAAATACAATAAATGAGAAATCAAATAAAAATTAACAAGGATTGAAAGTGAAGTTAAAGATTTGGATACTTTTTAAAAATCAAGTAGAATCCTTTTTTTCATATACATGAAAAATTGTGCTATTCAAATATGCAAGGTCTACAAACTATATGGATAAAAGAATTTATACAGTTTTAAGAGATAAATATCTATTAAATTGACTGTTGGAAACATTAAACTATTTCTTTATTGTGCAAAATTATCTTTGTTTTGTTTTGTTTTATTTTATATTTATTATCATGCTCTCAAATTTTGTATGCTTCATTTTTTTGTGGGCATGATTAAACGGTTTTTTTCTTTTTTTAAAAATTATATGAATTAATAGTTTATCCTTTATTCTGACCCATGCACTGGATTTATCATTTCCACATATATGAAAAGCAAACTTGTATGTGACACAAATTTCAGCAATGTCAGGGCAATGCATGACTAAAAGTATATAAAAGTAATTAAATGAATATGATTAAAATAATACACATATTATTAACAACTAAATAAATACTATACATATATATTTTCATTTGTTTCATTTTAGTTATAATTATTTAAAATTTTTATTTTACATTTTGTATTTACAAAAGTAAAAACCTTTTTATCATGATTATAAATGGCAGATCAACATTAAACTTTGATATTATTTCTAATCTGAAAATATTGTTTGTTTTTATTTTAAACATATTAAAATTTGCCAAAAATTAATTGAAGTAGCTTTAAGAATATTTTAATCATTTTAACCATTAGATGTATGAAAACTAAGATGAATGCAATAAGAAATCAGACAAAAACATAAAAACTGATTGACTTTAGTTTTCTTATAGCAATAAATAAATTTTATATTATCTTGTAGCTTTTACAACCATCTGATGAAAATTGGGATGCTGAAAGGAAGAGACAAGTTTGGAGGTGTGAAAGTCATCGTTCTCATACAACGATCGCCCGATATGCACAGTACCAAGCATCTTCATTTCAGGAATCATTGAGAGTAAGAATATTTCTAGTTAGCTGTAACTATTCAAAATTTTCCTAAAAGAAAACACTTTAGCATTTATATGAAATTAATGTTTAATAATTTATAAAATATTTAAGATATATAATGATAGTTAGAAATTTACATATTCATATCCTGTTCCAAAGCATACAGATTTAATATTAATTTGTATTGTATTGTTAATAATTTATTAAATTTATTTTCACTTTTAATATTTCATGTTTACTTAAAATAGAGTATACTATCTGATTCATAGATCAAATTATTTTGAATAAAAGGAACATGTTTCTGAACCATGTACATGGTATTTGTTAATATCGTGCATAGGTGTAGCATGTAGACTGAAAAACAGATTTGATATCTATGAAAAATAAAAAAATTTAGATGTTAAGTAAAATGAAAAGGTTCTATAAACAGTTGTTTATATAATAGTTTTTTTTAATTGAAATAATAGGAAAAACTTGCTTAAATAGGAAATAGTAACTAAATTAATTTAGTTACTTAATGTTTTAGATACCAAAATTAAACTTTTTTAATTCATACAATATAAATTAAGTAGGGTTAATTCTTAAGATGTATTGGTTTAGATGAAATCAGTTTAACTTTTACCCACATGTTCACATTGATAGTTAAATTCTTGTATTTTATATTAAGAGGATTTTTTCCATTTTATGTGAAATTTTTAATGATTATTTACAAATGTGCAAAAATTATATTGCATTGTGTTTTGTATTATAAGCGAGGCTGTGGCCGAAGTTTTCATCTCTAAAACGTGAACATCAACCACCGCTTACAAGATAGTGGTGTTCGACATTCACATTTTAGAGATGAAATCTTCAGCTGTAACCTCGCTATAAATTTATAATTTTTATTTAGATGAACAGTGCACTATAATAGCTGCTATATTTCTTCAGAAAAATTTTTATTAAGTAGTAATTAATATACTGAAATTAGCATCTTCTTATCTTAAATTCTTTCTACTTGATTGTTTGCTGTTCTCTCAATTGGTTGTAGTTTCCTTGGAACCAAGCATAAAATTGCTATTGAGAACCTATTACACACTGTCTTTTAACCAGTTTTTATTGGTTTTAAAGTTTTTGTTTTTACTCCTTTTATTGGTCAAGTTCTTTTATATTTTAACAAAAAAATTTATTTTTATTTTACAGTTTTACTTATTTTACCCTACATTTTTAAAAATCAGTTATTCCAGTTAGTCACCATTAGTTATATTTTTAGTTTTATCATTATACATAATAAGACTGAAGAGGGGCATATGGCTCAAAATGTATATCCTTTGTAAAAAATAGAAAATAAAAATCCTCTTTTTCTGTTAAGAGGATTTTCCTGTGTGAAAAGTTCTCAATAGCAATTTTATGTTTGGTTCCAAGGAATGTACAATTAAATAGTTTCCTCATTCTTACATAGTTTTTGAACTGATCTTGCTTCTATTTGAAACAATTTTGATACAAATTATATTTTCTTGTTACAGATAAATAAATTTGTATTATTTATTATTTTGACTAGTTATATTAATAATTATTAAGTATTTTTAATGAATTTAAATATTATTTGTTGTAATATAATGCATTAATAAAATATTTAACATGTCATAATGTATCATATCTAAACACCATCTACTAAATTTTTATTTCTGACAAATAAAATATAAATGTTAACTATTATAGATATCAAATTATAAAAGTAATTGCATTCAAATATTTTATTCAATGGTAAAAAAATAAATAATTTTTAGTTTTTGTCAGTATTTTAGTAAGTTAAGTGAATAAAAATTTCCACTTCAACTGAATAAAAGCAACAATTATTATTTATATATATATATATATATATATATATATATAACTTATAAAACTTACATGTGTGTACGTGTGTGTGTTTCTAAACATTCTAGAAACATATTTTTCCAGAAATTAAAAATAGAGTTGTCATTAATGTATTTCAAGAAATGTAAACACAGCTGAATATTTTACATATGTATGTATCTATCTAGAAAATAAATTCTAGAGTTTCCACTAATATATCCCTAGGAATTTCTGAACATTCTAGAGATATAAATGTTTCCAGAAACTAATTCTAGAGATATAAATGTTTCCAGAAACTAATTCTAGAGTTTATATTAACGTATTTCTAGGAATTTACACATTTCTAAATATTCTAAAGATACGTATGTTTCTAGATTGGAAATTTTAGAATTACCACAGATGTAGGTTGTATTTCTTGGAATGTATACATTTCTAAACGTTCTAGAAAAATTCTTGAATTATTTCATATAGGCTATATACAGCATTTNGGATAACTCGGCCACACCCTGGCAGGGCAAAAAAATCCTTAGTTAATTAATTTTCATTATAGACAGCTTTATGCCTCATAAAGTATATTTCTGAGGTCTGTCTTATCAGGTAAATTACTGTACACAGTGTATTCATTAATTTTCATTTGATGTAGTAAAGGCTCTATGCCTTCATAAAGGACGTACTTTTCCTTTGTTTAAGGGTATTTGGGCAGTTTATTTTCTGTTGTATTCTCAAGTAAACAATACATACAAGTACAGTACAGTATTTTCCGAGGAAATACTCATACTTATTTTTTTTAACCCCATTCCCGATAACCCGGCATTTTCACAAACTCGGCCACCCTTCGGTCCACATTAGGCCGAGTTTTCGAGACTATACTGTATTACATTTTTCTACAAATTGACATATTTGATTTTTTGCTTTTTGTTTTGTCCTTCAATACATTTATTTTCTAATGCAAAACAAGTTTACATATGTCGTCAATAAAAAATTCAATGATTTTTTTGGCTAATCTATGATGTTATAGCTTGCTATAATTCATTAGTTGGGGTGAAATAAGTTCCCTTGAGATTCCTTTTGAGGATAGGGAAAAAATTAAAATCAATCAGTGTCAAGTCTGAGCTATAGGGCAGATCCAACTCAAACTTCAGCTTCCCAAGAGCATGAAGTGTTACATGAGCAGTATGCAGTCTTGCATTATTATGCAGCAACAAAGTTTACTTCCTAACCCAATACATCCCTTTACTATAGGTTCCTTGTTTTTTTAGTATACCATGTTGAATTAACAGTATTCCCAACTTCAAAAATTATATCAGGTAAACTTTGTGAGTTCCAAAAACAGTTAGAGGATATTTGTATTTTATGCTGTGTTGTTTTGTCTTTGGGGTCAACATAATAGATGCATAGACTCATCTCCTATAACAATATTCAAAAGAAATTGATCTCTCTCTTCACAATAGCACTTCAACAGTTTTTCACAATACTCTACTTGCTTTTGTTTGTTTTGTAGTGTCAACATGCATAGCATCTGTCAAAAACAAAGTTGTGAAGCCAAACAGAACAAAGAAATAGTTGAACCTGTCTATCTCGAATCTCATGGAAATGAGAAAAATATTCAAGATAAGTTTCTAGATAGAGGTTCCTGCACAGTAAACAGTAATAGATTTGATTGGAGGTACAGCATTTAGCAAGTACAGTACATACTTGTATTATGTATAAATAAAACATTTTCATTCTCAAACAAGATTTATTATATAAATAGTACTTTTATAAATATTCTTATTTAATAAAATATTTGAATATGGATTTAAGTAGATATGAATCAAAATCTCTAATGAATAGACATTTTGCCTACTATATAACAATAGTCTAAGTCTAATAAATTTAATTTGTCTTTAATGGAATAAATAAAATTTTAATGTTTTCCATTTTCTTTTATGCTGTATTAAAGATGTTTTAATATTTTTCATATTTTTGTCTTAAACTATTTATAAAATAGAATTTTTTGATACAGAGTGCAGCACAAAAATGTGACAGTTTTTGCAGAACTTGTGCGGCATGGGTTGTTTTACAACAAAAAACATGAACAGGGAAAACAGTAGTATTGTGCAATTTATTGATTATCAGTTATTTTTAAAAAAGTATTTGTCAAGTGACCTCCATGACAATGAATACATTCTTGCAGTCTGAACTGAAAATTGTTAACGATGCTTTGCTTCAACGCCATGAGAGTGCATGGTTTGTCATCATACACTCAGGACCTCAAGTATCACTGTAGGAAGTAGTTGATGACCAAAAGATCAGGGAACTTTGGTGGCCAGGCAACAACTCTAAATTGGGAAAAGATATGTCTGTGAAATATAATTTACAAAATGTTCATTGATTCATTAGCAGTGTGTGTTGTAGCACCATCTTATTGGAACTAAATGTCATCATTGTGCTCAAGGGTCATTTCCACCATGTTAGTATTTCTAGGTATCACCTAGCTGTGACATATTTCTTTCCAAAAATTCTGAATCCAGCCTTCCATCCATCCATCTTTCTTAACATGTTCACGGTGTTACGAGGCACATATGACTCATATGGATATGTCTAGTTAGGGCTACAGACATAATTGCTTGTTTTTCAGTGGGGTGGCGCATATGTTTTGATAACATAATTCTACCAACATCATACTTGATATGTCAATATTATTTTATTAGGTGCAATAAAATATATTAATTTAATAGTACGAATCATGGGTGACTCATAACGCCCAGCAGCTGCCTAAATGTTTATCTACTGATGCCCTGAATGTGTTAAAAAGTGTGGACTATAATTGGCTCATACTTTTTTAAAGAAGGCAGACACCACAGCACACTAAGACTTTCCATTGTGTATTGATTATTCATGCATCTGAATGCTTATCATTCCAATTGAAGAAGTTCTGCAAAGATGGAAGTGCACATCATCTGACAATCAATTTGTTCTAAATATCTGGATCAGCATTCAAAGTGTCACTGAACTTCGATAAAAGTGCAAAGGAATTTTGTAGAGAGGAAACTTGAAGTCAGAGTACAGAATACACTGAAGACTTCTGCCTGGTATGAATATTGCAGCCAAATAATATCTAGCAAAGTAAATGGGGTTCTGCTGCATTGCTTGATGAATGCTCTCAATATTCTCTGGTGTACAGACTATTTGTACAAAACTGTAAATTGATCTTTAACACTGCCAGTGTTAATTAACCTTTCCACCCACTCTAGAATAGTGTTATGGGAAGGAATTTGTCCATGTCTTGCTACATTAAAATTATGAAAATCATCTGGACTTAGATTATCAATTTGTATTCAATAAATGCTTTTACCGTGAATATGCATTTACCACTGACCAATTTTCTATGTTGTTCACAGAGATGGAATGTTAACTGCACATTGGCAGTTACAAAGCACAAAACACTTTCTGCCTATATATACAGCAATATTTTGAAAACAGTCACATTCTTGTGCCACACCATACATTACTATTATGAAAGTTAACAAATACATATTTCTACATAGGTTGTTTCAGCTGCAAACATGCTCAGCCATGTTGGTCATGTGATATTAGGAATGAATACTGTTCAGTTGTATATGAAAGTTCCTGGAAGCAGGACACCTGGACATCAAGAAAATAATAATTTTTGTTCAGTCAATATAAATATTGGACCTGGTGATTGTGAATGGTTTGCTGTTCCTGAAGGCTATTGGGGAGTTATTTATAATCTTTGTGAAAAGTAAGATTTCAAGAAGTATTTGAATTTTATGTGAATTTTACTTATCATAATGAAGTTAAATGAATGAGATAAATAAATAAATAAAAATCAGTGTTAAAAAGTATATACATTTTTAAGTAAAAATTTAATCTTTGTATGATTTTCTTTGCATTCTATTTTAAAAAATTTAAATTACTATTATTTAATTTTGTATTAAAAATTCTGTTGCAACTATTTATTATACTCTTTTTTTTTCAGGAATAATATCAGTTTCTTACATGGTTCCTGGTGGCCTCTTCTTGATGATTTAATGGCTGAAAATGTACCTGCCTATCGTTTCCTTCAAAGGCCGGGTGACCTTGTATGGGTAAATGCAGGCACTGTACATTGGGTACAAGCAGTGGTAAGTATAAAAGCAGATTTTAACTGTTTTCATTTTGTCTATCCCAATGCCATTTATTACATTATAACTCAACAGTGATTTGTTGTTCTGTATTTATCTAGAAGTTTGGTAAAAAATTTATTTATTTTTTACCAATCTATGTTAACAGATGAGATTAAAATTATCAATGGGAAATATGATGGCAGTATATTTAAATAGACTACTTATTACCAAGATCATATGTAAAATTTATCATCAGATGGAGTTTTACACAGCAGTCAATTTTGTTAGTTGACTCAGCTTCAGAAGATTGTGTGAGACTAGCAGGGGGCCACTGGGATGATCCCTAATGACCATTTACACTGCAACAGGTTGGTGAAACCTGGATTCGGATTGTCGGATGGTTTAGGAGGGAAAAATGTGAGTGGGGAGTGCATCGGTAAGCCAATAGGCGTCCTTAGAACAATGATAGACAGGCTTAACAAAAATAACAAAGCATTTATTGGATAACTAAGCTAGGTTACATGAGGCAATAATTAAATTATAATGCGGTTAAATATGAATTAACTATACAAGGGTTGCTCTTAACAGCTCTAACAGCTATTTCGAGAGAGAGAGTTCACAAAGCTCTAAAATACAAATACCTCTTTGAGGAAATAAATGATATGTGTGCATTGAATGGGTCATAGGAATCATAGTCAGCGCAGGAACTGTAGTATGGCGATAAGTATGGAAGTTTGAAGTTGTGGTCTGCCGTATGTCAGTGTCTTCTTTTGTTCATTGCATCCAGTGTATGGAGACAAGATGCACACATTAACAAGTATAACTTCCTTTTGGATTGACCTGAGCTTCTGGGGGCTCGAGCTTTTATACTGTCTTCGTAGGAAAGGAGCCACGTGATTGACTTCTGTTGACACCAACGGTGCATTCCGATCACCCAAGTGTCAACTTTCCATGTAATTGTGAAAACAAACGATGACCTCCAATCTAATTCTCACCAGGAGTGTTTTTTTCTATTGGAGTTGTTTACAATTTTTTTCTGACAACTGCGTAAAAATTGCGGATCTCAAAATTGCAATACTAGATTTTTAATTAATTACTATATTTGACATAGAACAAACTTTTCAAATTCAAAACAATGACAAATCAAAAAAATTATGAAATAAGTGAAAATATTTTAATTTTATGCTTTAAATAAATGTAATTTCTATTATTTTATTATTTTCTTCCAATATAATTGCATGAGAAGAAAATATAGTATGATTTATGTATGAAAAGAAAATTTTTTCAATAAAAATATTATCTTTATAGGGTTGGTGTAATAATATTGCATGGAATGTTGGACCTTTAATTGCCAAACAATATCAGTTAGCAGTTGAAAGATATGAATGGAATAAACTTCAAAGTTTTAAATCAATTGTGCCAATGGTTCATTTAACGTGGAATTTTGCTCGCAATATCAAAGTATCTGATCAAAAATTGTTTGAACAGATAAAGTAAGAAATAATTTAAAAACATTTTAAAGTTTGTTTGTAGTTTTATTACTTTAAAAGTAGCCAAAATAAGAACATTTATAATTATCTAACTTTTTAAATTTATAGATATTGCCTTTTGCGCACATTACGTCAATGTCAACTAACAATTGATTTTGTGAAGGCTTTAGGAAAAGAAATCAGATGGCATGGAAGAGGAAGAAATGAAGCTGCTCATTATTGTGTTAATTGTGAGGTAAATATTTTTTAAGCTTATTTTGCAATTTTTGTTGTATAATGACATGGATTTCTTAAAAGCTATTATGTATTTTGGTGAAATAAGTAAATTTCAATAAATATCTTAATGAATGATTAGACATGATTATCTATATATATAAAATAGAATTTCTGTTCTCTATACATTTCCAAAGCATCTGAAAAGTATAGGCTACCATGATACCTGGATATCTTTTGACACTTCACAATAAACAAAATGGTAGGCTAAAATAACTTAACTTTTATTAGGTTTTCATTTTATATTTATGTTCATTATTATCTGCCTGGGCAGCACTGGACATATTTTAGTACATATGCAAAAAATCCAGCAACAAGTTGATTAAAGGTCATGACACACTACGTGATTTCTCGCCTCGGAGACATGTCTCGAAATAACAGCAACCTGTTGACATTCGAACACATGCAGAGACAAGTTGCTGGAATCATACAATAAACATTTCTACCTGGAAATCATAAATTTTTGCTAATAGTGCAAAAATTGAGTATCTTATGATATTCTTTGATAGTGGTTATATTGTAAATTGGTTCTTACGATTGAATTAATGAAATTAAACGTTGTGTCCTATCAACTGTCAATGAGTGACTATCCTCCAATTTTGTTTTTGTGTTGTAAAAAGAACTCTACTCATTTGATAAACCTACATGTGATCTTTGGTTACAGCGAGCAATGGGAAACAAAAAGCCCCTGATGACAGCTCTCTCACTGCTTGAGAAACAGGTTTTTCTGTATCACGGCCTTAACTTTCCTGGCAACATTTAAAACTGCATGCATGGCACCATCTATTGTGATATTGAAAACTTTTTATATTTTAAAATAATAATAATTATAAAATGGCAAAAAGCTTAATTTTGAGTGTAGGAATGGGTTTAATAAAAAATTGTAAATGCTAACAATGAGTAAAATCTTCAGTAAATCAGACCCTACTCAAGATAGGACACATGACTTCCTTTATCTCCCCCCTGTCGACCTTTAATCACCAAAATGTAATAGTATCAATCCCCTAATACACAAACTCCCTGCAAAATTTCAGAAATTTTTGACAAAAAGCACATGAGTTAATTTAAGCTTCAAAGAACACACACCCATACATAACCCCCATCTGAAATTGTTTTACATTTCTCAATGTTTTCCCCTAAGTCCAAAAATTAAAAAAAAAAATGATACTCCCTAGATTTTTACAACTGATTGTCATACTTTCCCTTTGTTATATATAACTGTATGGAAAATAAAAATACAGGTATTAAATCAACCATTCAAAATATATTCAAAACTTTAATTAATATTTAATAGTTTTCATGTGTGTCCCATCAGTATCTCTGCAAATCTCAAATCTGTTATTTATATTGTGGAATACATCTACAACCATTCCATTAATGTCCTTCTGCAGATATTGTAGATCCCACTACTGTCATTTCATTCTTTTCATACAATAAAATATTTGTGATTAGAATGTAATATAAAAAGAAAAATTGTTTTTAATATTTTAATTAATTAAGCAGGAATTTAATACTAGTATTTTGTAAGGAAATGTCATAAAATCTTGTCAGAAAATTTCAAAGAAAAGATTTATATTGTCAAAATATAATATAAATACAACAGAGAGAAATAATATATTTTATAATTGATATTTTTCAGGTTGAAGTGTTTAACATTTTATTTGTGAGGGAAGTAGATAAAAAACATGTTGTTCATTGCCTTGATTGTACAAGGAAAGCAAGTCCTACATTAGAAGGTTTTGTGGTATTAGAAGAATATACAATGGCTGATCTTACTGAAGTGTATGATAATTATGTATTACATCCTGTAAGTTTATATTTTGATTTACATTTATTATTGCTTATATTTATCATTCATTAATAATTGTTTTTTTTATATTTTTTTACAGTTACCCCATTCTACTCCTAATAATTCATCATGACATGAATAATAACTTTAGATTATATTTACATTCGTGCAAAAAAACTAAAATAGCAACAATATGCACATCCCAGTACAAGTAAAATATTTAAGATGTTTCATACATATTCTTTTTCATCTTTTTTTTGAACAGAATTGCTACATATGTGAATATATAAATATGTGTGTAAACATATTATGTATGACTAGCAGTTTATTTTGAATGTACATTTGCTGGTCAGTCTTGAAATTGGCAACAACCTTGAATCAGCTAAGGACTGAGAGGATGTTGTGCAATGCAGGGAACCACAAGCACCGTATTAATAGTACCTTCATTTGTAAATATCATAGATTATGTCCTGTCATCAGTTAAATTGCAACATTGTAATTAATTAAATCACTCTGGTTCATTCTAGTGATGATACAGAAACTATTGTTTCTAACTGCAGTACAAGATTGAAGAAATCTATCAACTATGCAAAAAAATATATACCAAAAAAAAAAAAGAGAATTATGTATGAGCTGTTAATTTTTCAACACCCACATAGGTTTATAGAAATATGAGATTCTCTATTTAGGTGCTCATTTTCTGTGAGAAGTAAGTACTGTTTGCCAATGAATATTTAAAGTGTTGCCAGATTGTTCTTATCACTGCCATTATCTGCAGACAGATATTGTGATAATCCACAATTTAAAAATTGATATATTCAGTAAAGCATCTTTATATGCCTTTTGTATAAGAAAATATTATTTCATTGAAGTGATTGACTTAAATGATTGTATAGATTTTATTAGTTTTGTTTTTCTTTTTAATTATTTTTCTTTAACAGTGCAGAATTGTGTTAAATGTGTTTTAAATGACACTATCTCAATTCAGTCTTCACTAATATTATTTTATAAAAGATTGAGATATTATTGTTGCTGCACAGTTATATTGTTTTGTGTGTATAGTTTTTTTTTGTAATCTATAAAATATGAAAAAATCTGTTATTACTTTTCATCCCTATCTATCCAATTGATCTCATCTTTAGATATAATTAAAAACGAAAATGTACAAGTTTGAATATTTTCCTTAATATTTCATGGTATTTATGCCTTAAGTTTGTATTTAAAATTCTATAGAATGAAATAAATATCTTAGCTCTAGCTAATAAGTTCAGATATTTATTAATAATTTTCTTAAATAATTTATAATCAGATAAATTGTTGTTTTAATAAAGAAAAATTATTGAATAATTTTTTATTTGAATTTTTACCAGAACAATCAGCCTGTTAATCATGTTTAGCTTTAAACTTACTACAGTATTTTCAACACTATGATGTTCATTTTTAATAAAAAAGAAAAAAGGAATAAATTGCCTTTTGCCAAACAATAATTTTTTGTCTTAAATTTTTTCCCGACCTTCACATTTATAAAAATACTTTATCAGAATCAAGATTCCCAAAATGTATTTTTCAAATTTTATTTATTTAACTGACAAAGATTAAATTGTAACCTGCTATATTTGAAATAAATATCTGTTACATGTTCAGAATAGTTTTTAACTATTATGATAAAGGCCAAAGACTCGTGTCTCTATTTGATATTACTTTTTACATAAAATATTTCAATTGAACTATAGCTAACTTCAAAAGTATAAAAAAAAAATACTTGAAAGGCTATGTGTGTTTTAGTAAAATGCTGCATATTAATAATACAAAGATAAAAATAATTACTCATTATAAAATTTTAAATTTCTTATGTAATACAATTAAATTAAAGTTTAAAGTTAGTAATTTTAATTGTATAATATCATATGATAATTTACATTTAAATTTAATTTAAATGAGATACATTGGCAAAATGAATGGATTATAAATTCCATGGTTTAAACAGGTTGGAACAATTACTCTTATAGAATTAACTTACATATTCTCTTTGATAAAACAATTCAGAAGATAATTCATATCCATCTGTGACAATGTTGTTAGTTATTATCTTTAGATGTTTTCATGCAATCAAATAACTTACACAATATTCAAAAATAACTTATGTCTATATTATATCATCTATTTACATAATAAATTTTAATATTAAATACCTTATATATAACTAATTAAATAAAAGAAAAATGCAGTCTGGTAACTTGCACAAAAAAAATACATTACATAATTTTTTTCTTCAATTAAATTACAAAATTAAATCTTTAATGAAAAAATAACTGATACAAAGAAGTTAAATTAGAAGAAACATTCAGAACTATAGATAATTAGTACACCGTACAGATAATGTACAGTATTTGAGATCTTATACATTGCAAAAAGAAGAATTTGTAATATTGAAAATAGACTGAAGTGCCAAAAAATTAGAAATATCTAATGATGTATAGCTTTTCTGAGTCCGAATAACAGCGGTCACTGCACATGTCTTGAGTTTTTGCACAGGTATTTCAAACACGTTTAATTGCTCATAATTCTGTAACATTTACTGGATAGTTCTGCAAGGCATTTGAATAAGGTTTGCAGTGTTCCATAAATGCACCTGGGGTTCAAGTTGCAACTGAGGTGGCCAAGGAAGTTGCTGAAAATCTGACCTTTATCGAACCACTGTTGCGTTACCTATGCCTTGTGGGAATAGCATTATCCTACTGGTACACAATTACCGTCGGGAAAATATAGCAAGCATAAAGAGTGCAAAACGTCTGCCACAAGATTAGTACTGTATATGTCGCTGTAGTCTTACCATTAGTCCCTGTATGCCAATAGAACATACCAAACCAGGACAGAACCGCCACTTGCTTACGCAACACCTTGATGGATTCATGGCTTCGTATGCTTGCCGCACGAACATGACTCAGCTCGAAAGAGCCGGAAACGACATTTATCTGACCATATAACACTGCGCCAGTCGTCCACTGTCCAATTTCGATGTTCTTTGGTCCAGGTGAGGCCCATTGCATGATGCCTGGGTGTTTTTTTAACTCCGCCTATGCCCTATGGGCACTAAGAGGGCCTCATTTTAGCAACCCCGTTATGAGTTCGGCCAGATCCACAATAGAGCGGCCGGGTAGTGAGGGACGGGGCCTGACATACTATCTGGACGGACCGCCCCGAAAAATTCCTGGGGATTTCTTCGCCCGTCCGGATTCGATCCCGGGTCCTTCAGAGCTGCTACCTTGGCCGCTCAGCTATCCAGCCGTCCAATGATGCCTGGGTCTTAGTTGCCAACCCACTCTGATATCACTATTATCAAATCCCAAGGAATGCAGTGTGCGTTAACTGATGAGTTCAACAGCACTGTTGAAGTTTGATGTAATTTGGCGCAGATTTGTTCGTTGCGTGGGTTACCACTCCTTGGTTTTAAAACCCAAGGGACCTATTCTGAGCTCTTCCGATAACTCGACGAGAGCGATTCGATAAGTCCCTTAGCAAAAGGCAGTTAACGAACCTTAGACAAATCGCTATTCTGTGCTCCACGTTAAGTGGAACACAGAATAGCTGATTTCGCTACGGGTAGTCGGTCGAGATGCGTCTGGGTTCCACGTTATCGATAGCTGTTACACTTTAACCAATCACAGTTTAGTTAACATCGTACTTTTGTCAAGTGAAGCAACCCGCTATTTTCTAAGTGAAGCACGTGATTTTAGAATTGTCGCGTACCAGCACTAGTGAAATAGTTTTGTTTTAAAATGTCTAAGAAAGGGCAACGAAGCCAGCGAACTAAAAGTCACCAGTTCGAGATGCTCGTTAATTTTATGGAAGACAACCCTAAATTAGATGCTTTCTTTACCGTAAAAGATCGCCAAACATTGTAGAAAGAAATAGCCGACCGTCTGAATTCCGATGGAGTCGGCTCACAAAAAGACCCAGAAAGATGGCGAAAAGTAACTGAGAGCTTAGTCATATATTTGTATATTTATATTCTATCATTTTAATTTATACATTTGCGAATGAAACCTATTTCTGAAATAATGTTCACGCTATAGCTACAGTAGAACCTCGATTATCCGCCCTAATTGGGGACTGGGGTTGGTCGGATAATTGAAAAGTCGGATAACCGAAAAGTATGAAAAAATCCATTACAGTAGAGTCTCGATTATCCGACCCAATTGGGGACTGGGGTTGGTCGGATAATTGAAAAGTCGGATAACCGAAAAGTATGAAAAAATCCATTATTAGTGTAGTATATTATTATATCCCATGTAATTAGTATATTAGTATATCGCTATTAACCTATTTTGCGTTGAATTTTCATCGATGTTAAGCCTAACAAAAATTTTTTAAAATAATAATCGTCGCTATTGTATCGTTAAAAATTAGAAAATTAAGCTTCGTTTAAATACTGGCTCCCTTTCATGGTCGAATGAGTGTTGCCAGCTAAAACACGTAAAAATAATATTAAAGTAGCCAAGACATAGCCAAATATTGTAGCGCCACATCACTAGCGGACATTTGAAATTTGCCGACTACGACAGTCGGTTAACCGAGGGGTGGGTTGATCGGGGGCGGATAATCGAGGTTCTACTGTACTTACTTTAAATTTTAACAAGAAAGCAATTACATTATTCATACAATATTCATAAATAGTTAAGGTAATTATTTTTAAGCAATACAACAACATAGTTTATTAACTCTCTCCATTTGCTCGTGAAGTAAAATCATTCTTACACCAAAAGACCGCCGTGTTGTTTACACTTTCGTTACGTTCCTAATTCAGCTCGAGGATGATCGATAACAAAAGCTTAGTTATCGCACGTGGCTATCGGGACCGAAAACGAAACGTATGGCTCGGAATAGCATTTTCACAGTTGATTAAACGCAAATCACGTGGTTCCGATAGAAACTGGTTTTTATCGTATTCGTTAGCTTAACGATACTACTCAGAATAGGTCCCCAGATCTGGATTTTTCGACCTTCTCTTGGTTTCGAGGTTGTTTTTTTCTAATTTTCGTAAAATAAAATAAAATAAAAGATGTCTGAGACATCTTTTACTTTATTTCAATAAATAAAAAATGACTTAAATAATAAAAAAAATTTAGATTTTAGAAACAAAAACGAAAAGCATGGTACTTTATTTGCTGAATCCTGAATCACGTGGAGTTAAAAACACTCAGATATACTTAAGCACCTGCTCAAGCTATGAAATCATGCCCCGCAATGATTTGCTATCATGACACAAGCGGTAACATCTTAATTCCAGCTATTTAATAAAAAATCCGGATGGCTTACGTGTATTTTGAAATTAAAATGTATCGCTTTATCCAATAATGTTTGTAACATTGTGGTTTGAAAATGTATAAAGTAGTAATATTTTTTATTCTTAAATATGGGCATGATATATATATATATGTTGTATATTTTCAAAATATACAGTACATCGTAAGTTTGTATATGAAGTGGCGTAAGTTTTAAAACAAAAGTTTTAGGAGAATTAAAATGATGGCAGCTAAACATATTGCATTTATTCTATTAATTCTTAAATGTGAATAATTATATACAGTATTTAATAAGTGTAACTTACCTACAACACAATGTTAGTGTTCTAAATTTTAAGAAATGGACTTATTGAGTCTAATACTGTATATAAATTATCTGTGGCAATTATGGGTTCGGCCAGGCCCACAATGGCGGCGACCGGGTAGTGAGGGATATGTCGGCTTCCGTTTCCCAACATTAATTGCGGAAAACGAATTTAACCAGTTAGATGACGAATGGCGATCATTTCGTTTAGCAAAAGATTTGGTCATACAATATAATAGTATACCAGAATATTGGTTCTTGTTGCGCAATATACAGCATGGTTTTGGTAACTGTAAATATGCTCTACTATCTCAATTTATGACGCAGCTCACAGTTCTTCCACATTCCTCAGCCAGTGTCGAGAGAATATTTTCGCAAATTAACAACATTAAGACCAAACAAAGTAACAGGTTAACAGTTGAATCGTCAAAGAACAGGTTGCTTGCTAAACAAGCAATCAATAGGGAAAATCTTAACCGTTCGCTGTATGAACCGGAACCTAAACTAATTAGAGATGCAGTACAAGAAATTTGCCACCAAATGCATAAGAAGCGAGAAGAACAGCATAAAGATTGTGCAGAACTGTTAATGGAAGAAGAAGAAACAGAGTAACTGTGAAATAACATTAACTACTGTGTAAATTAGATAATAAATGGTTTTTTAAATTTGTATTATAAAGTATCTATAATTACATTTTAAATCACGAATTTTTCTGGGTAAATAATCTGGGTTTTTTTCCATCCAGACCCAAGTTTTTTCATATATCGCCAGTGGCATCCCTGGTTATGACGCGGAATCCTTTTGAAATTGGACATCAAGTAGCATTCGTGTAGTCTATTTTTTTGTAAGATTTTGGTTAACTAATTCATACATAATCCGTAATATTGTGAATCTATACGGATGAAGTTTTTCAAATACAGTGGTACCTCTTACTTCAAACGTTCCAGAATTCGCATGGCGAAAGAATGTGCTCGTTACGTAAACGCCCTCTGTTATGCGCCCAAATCGTCTATCGTTTTCGTTGTGAAGGCATCTCTCGCATTACACTCCTGGGTTTTCAGTACTTTTTTTCACCTTATTTTTGGTGTATTTGGATATATAGGCTTATGTAACTCTACCTATTAACTATGACATTCAAGAAGAGTTTGATAACAATGAACCTAACAGGAAGCTTGTAGTATCACGATTGAAGTGAAACAGGAACTCATCGCAAAGCATGAAAGTGGTAAATGCATTCTGGCGGCAAAGTTTAAGATACCAAATTCGACGGTATGAACCATTCTTAAGAACAAGAAAGCAATAAAAGCAGCAAATGCGGCTAAAGGTGTGACGACCTTGATTTCCAGAAGAACTCATATTATTGAGGAGATGGAAAATCTCCTAGTATTGATAAATTAAAAGCAATTGCTTGGTGATATCTCGGAGAGGATTTGTGAGAAAATCGAGCAGGCTGCATAGTGACCTTAACATACGGGACATCACTCCACACTAAGGTATAATAAATGCAGTTTTTATTGGGCTGCAATTCGGAAAAATTGTAAACCTGTAAATTCCCACTGTTCGTCCTTTTTTAATCTCGAAGATGAAATTAGATACATGAAAGTCGAGACCAAATATGGAAAGCTTAGGGACAGGAGGCCCCTATTAACTGTATACTAACTTCTAACTCACACTGGAAGTCACGGTAATTCAATTCAAAATTTCTCCTGAGTGGAGTTAGATTAATAACCGGCACGACTCCATTGCAAAGAGGAAAAGTACGATGTAAAAGGACAAGACACTACTAATTTCAGGCGAAGAACATGTACAGTATTTTAAATTAAATAAATTAAGAATACGATTAAAAATTGCAGCTCGTTTTATTAAACATTAATTTATAACATTAGTTTTATAAAACGCAAAATAATTGCTCGTTTTATTAATTAAACATTACGTAATTTATTGATTGGGTCAAAGTATACCTAGGTAACCCCAATGGCCGTGCTTCGGTTAGGTTAGATATTTATGTTTAGATATTTGAACTCAGGGGACCGAGACGAGTTCAACGGTACCCTACTTTTGGACCAGAGACCTAAAATAAGAAAGTTATTATCTCCGGGGGGATAGGTTAGGTTTGTTGGACAAACCGCGAAAGAGGCGCGTAGTAGTAGCCGTAGGCCCCGAGGAGCGCGGGGGCGTGAGAAAAGGACTGAACTCCAACTGCACACGATCAGTGTGCTCGTGGATCAAAATCTGCCTTTGTTGAAGGTATATATGGCCGACTTGCCGGACTGCATGTTAAACACCTGATAGGCTTAGCGGAGAGAAATTTCTAATGGGGAAAAATACTTCGGACGGCTCCCTGAAACGAATTAAACTCAAAGTACGAGGCACCACTCTATAATTGTATAATATTTGTTCACAATTTACAACCAATCATCGCTATTCTCCAGGAATGAAATGTTGATACGACTTTTATGTTCTATTGGTTCCGTTATGTTTAAAGTGTTCGACTCAGAACAGTCTGGTGAAGGCCATTAAAAACTGCCCGAAAACGTTAGTTGTGGATTAAACGTTTAGGTAAATGTTCACCTAGGTACAATACACCGTCATGACGGCACTTCCGGCCGCCATCGTGTTTATGAACGCTAGGTCCACAAACAGTAATGCTAACAGTGTAAAATTGTAAATGCTAACAAAACCATATTGTAAAGAAGTAAAAAATTATTTGTACTCACGATTGACAAATTTTCATTTATTTCTTTTCCTTTTCTTCGAACTTGAACGTGATTCTGCGACATGCGTAGTATTCACTTGTGTAATCTTACTCAATTCTTCTCCCTTACGTTTCTCTATGCAAATTAGATGCCATACGAATGAAAAAATAGTTCCCTATGATTTTTTACCGAATTTATCTTTAAAATTATCCTTCAAACGCCGAACTGCTTGCCTTACATTTGTGACATCGAAATGAAATGGATTCTCGATCCATTCTGTAAATTATTTTGCGACGACGACCATCGCATTTCGTGCAATCTGCATCTATAGGTTGTAGACCGAACTTTATGGCAAACTCAATATCAGACGAAATTTCTTTTGTCGAGATCTATTTCAGGAAAATCTGATTCTAAATAATAATAAAAAAATCCTTTCGTGTCCAGTTTGTACATAAAAACTGTTGACCTTTGGGTAATTCAGACATTACAATATAAAAAAATTATAATACAGTATTAGAAATTGATCTAAATGATTTAAAAATCGATGCTGGAACAGGTTTTGCCTTTAAATATTTTGTAATAATCTAGTTTAGGAATAAATAATATATGAGATAATATTAAATTTTAACTCGGAATAATTTATTCACAAACTCCAAGAAAAAATTCTGAAAAATATTAATAAAATAAAATTGATCCTATTTATCAATATAAATTAATATGAAGTAATAATCTAGAAACTAAATGATGTTAGAATTATTGAAAATCCAAAAAATGACATCAAGGATTTGAATTTGAACATACGTATTCTATTTAGGCCTAAACACATTAAGAGACTTTTAATGCAAATTATTATATTGTTGTCGTTTGAAATATATTTAATTTAAAATAAATAAATAACAATAATAATTTAGTTTATTACACGATATATTTATTTTCTAATGTTAAAGTTGAAAATTTCGTAGAAATTCGCTATTGACGAAAACAGTATTAAGGCAATCAAAACACGTCTTCATTTATTATCAAAATGAATTCAATTGTTATTACATTGTTAAAGTTTTTCGTGTATAAATCTGCGCGCCGTTAAATAAACATCGCAGTTGTTTTCTGAAATAATTTACGTATATTATGGCGACGGCAACAAAATAAATTACGTTCTTCATTTTAAACCAGACTTTTCTTCAAAGAAGTCCATAAATTCGTTACGAAATGCCATCAATTACCACGAAATTATCATTAAAAATACCCTTTTTCGTATGGTAATTTAGCGGATAGATTTATAATTAATTTATCACGCATTTAAAGCTATTAACTGTTGAGGAAATATTCAAATTATATCATCTCCGAGTTGGCGTATGCAAACGCAGTTACGTAACTTTCGTAATTTCCAGTTTCGGTTAAACATTTTGGAAAATCTACGTTAAATTTCTGAGCATTAAAAAAACATTTAATTCAGGACCGGTTTTAAATGGAAAGTAAAATGCCAGCATAAATAATACTAGTTATTAGGCGATTTTAAAGTAGAACGGTAAATGCCGGAGGTACGAGGATGTCGGATGTAAAGATAAAGTCGAACGGAATCAATCTTTCGTAGCTCCGGAACATTCCATTCGTTTCCCTTTATCGTCAAAAGAAGAGAAACATCATACCTTTATTTACAGAAATACGTTTTTATTGTAATTAAAACGGGTCTACAGATGCGAGTGGAAATATCGTCCAACCAGAACTCGCGTCTCAAATAAACTGTTGAAAACATTCATTGATGCAATTCTCACAAGAGACCCATATAAGCGCAGCAGCGACCTCAGTCGTTGGAAATCAACGGAAATTGCATCCGTAAAAGCCTCCATTTCAATCGATTTCGAAGACAGATTCAAAAAATCGCGCAATTTTAATATGGGGAAATTTCCCTCTCTTTCGGGATCGAAGACGTTTTTTCCCCGTTCTCTCGGTTTCCGAGACGACGCGCGCGGAATCGGGACAGCGGCGGCGGCGGTGGCGATTTTGTATTCCGCGGCCGCGTCCGCATCCGGGAACGGCGCAACACCCGGACGCGGGAATATTGCGCGTCCTTCGACCGTCCTCCGCTCCTCGGCCCGCGGCTGACCAATAATAAATAAAGAAACGGGAGGTCGAGGCCCTTTTAGGTGACTTCCACCGAAGGGGGCGGCGAGCAGTCCACAGTCTGTTCGAACTGGCAGATGCCGGTGGCCGGGTCGAACAGGAGGCCCTGTTTACAATAATGAGAGAACTTCTTCCCTCTGACGCATCGGTAGAAGACGTGACAGTCCCGCGCGTAGTCCGGATAGAAACCGTCGGGTTTGTCGGCGCAGGTGAAGGCGTATCTGTCGGGCATGCCGTGCGCGTGTACGTTGCCGGCGCGCGCCGTCTCTTTCCGGCAGGGGACGCGCTTCCGGCAACCACCGGGGGGACAGTCGGAAGCCGCGGGACCGTCGCCGGCGCAGGCCGTGTATCCGCGGCAGTCTCCCGTTCTCCCGCCGCAGTCGGGGACGTCGGGGACGCGCTCTCCCGGGCCGCATCTGACGTTTTCCGGAAGATCGCAGCTTTTGGTGGCGGGGTTGAAGAGCAGAACGCTGGGGCAGGTGTAGCTCTTCCTCAGGCGCCGGAAGCAGATGTGGAACTTGCGACATCCGCTCTGGTAATCCGGGAAAAATCCCGTGGCTCCCGCTGGGCAGCGGAAAGACGAGGACGGAGTTTCGGGCTTCTGCGCTCGAACCGCAATCTTTTCGGACGGTTCGATCCGATTGGCAGAATCGACGGCACTGCAGTTGGCGTCGGAAGCGTCGACGCAAGTGACGATCCTCTCGTCAAAGACTTCTCCCTCGCGACAGTAGGCGGCCGAGGCCTTTCCCCCCTCGCAGACGAAATACCTGCGACAGTAAGTGGAGGGATCAGGGTACATCCCGTCTTTCCTCCCCTGGCAATCGAAGCTTCCCGCCTCGGCGAACCAAGGAGCCGAGTCCGATCGACCGCACGTTCCCGGTCGACACCGAGACGATCCGACGTCGAAAATTCTGCCCGGGGGACAGACGTAGGAGAAGACTTTGCCTTCGGCGCACACGTGGAAGACCCCGCACTGGTCCGAGACGAAGACGCCGTTTTCTCGGCCGCCGCATTCGAACTGCCACTGGATGACGCGCGAGACGGTGGCAGATCGGCGCTTGGGGAGGTCGCCGGGGCACACCCGGTCCGAAACGTGGCAGCGTCGCTTGGTCGACCGGTCAATATGTCCGGAAGGGCACCGATAGGTGGCGCCCTTTCCCCGCCAACATTCGTGGTAGAGGGCGCATCCGTCCCCGGATTCCGGATAGCGATCTTCTTCTTCCAGAGGGCATTCGAAGGTGGCCAGGACGGTGGGAGGAGTGCAATCGGCCGAGCCCACGGGAACGCACTTCCCGGATCGATTGTCGAAAACCAGACCCGCGCCGCACGCCAAGGTATCTGCCATGCCGAACGCGCAGACGTGATAGTTGCGGCATTCCGACTGGAAATCCGGAAAGAGTCCTACCCTTCCTTCGCACGCGTTCGGGAGGGAGACAGAAGGACGAGAATCGCCGCAAGCCACCAGAGACGAAGAGAGGCATTTACCTACAGAGCGATGAAACGCGGTTCCCTCCGGACAGAAGGAAGTCACAGAAACTCTACCTCTCAGGCACAGATAATAAGCGCCACATCCGGAATCGACGTCTCCGTACACTCCGTCTCCCTTATTTCGACACTGCGCGTCTCCGACCGGTCGGCACGACGACATGGAACGCGGCCGACATACTAAAGCACCGGGATCGAGAACTTTCCCCTGAGGACAGACACCCGAACGGACGGCCGTTCCGTTTTCGCACACGGCGAATTCCCTGCAGTCCCGGTCGAAATCGGGCGCGATTCCGTCTTCGCGCTCCCTGCAAATATCCGTCCGCCGGCAAACGACTCTGTAGGAAAAGTCGCAGGATAACATCTCCCGGTCGAAAGCCAATCCAGGAGGACAGTGAAAAGATTTGGAACGTCCTCCGATGCACAGGTAAAAGGTGCGACACTCGTCTCCGTAATCCGGATAATATCCGTCGGGTAATCCGGCGCAATGGAAAGACAGATCGGCGCATCTGGCACCTTCGACGATACTCGAGCAAGAAGAAAATCTCCGGTCGTAGATCTGTCCCGGAGGACAGAGAAATTCACTTTTAATTCCTCCTTCGCAAGTGTAATATCTTCGGCATCCTCCTTCCGCGTCTTCGTACGTTCCGTCGGTCTTACCTTGACAATTCAGAGTCGCGCAGGACACTCGTCGGCCGTCGACACAAACGCCTCTTCTCCAATCGAACTTGGTTTCGGGAGGACAATTCAGACGGGTTTCGACTCCTTCTGCGGAATGAAATCGTGGTAGAATCTTTAATTTCGCACGCTTTAATATCCAAGTGATCGAACGCCACCTACCTTTACAGAAGAAGAAAGATCGGCAACCGTTTTCGTAATCGGGATAAACTCCGTGGAAACGGCATCTGGTCCTCGACTTCTCTTTCCTCTCCGTAGAATTGCTACATTTTCCCACTCGATCAGAAACGCAGTAGGAGAGAGCCGGATCGTAGATTTCCCCGTCGTTGCACCAGAAACGAGAGACCCTCCCGTTTTTACACACGTAAAAATACTTGCATCCCGAACGATAATCGGGATAAGATCCGTCCGGGCGTTTTCCGCAGTCGAAAGCCAAGAAGGGGGGCGAGGTTATGGCCAAATTCAAAGTGGCGGCGGGAGAATACACGTCGAAATTCTGAAAAAAAAAGGAAAAAAAAATGTCGGTTGTCGCACGCGACGTGGCCGCGGAAAAAATGGACGAAGGACTTACCTCGGAAGTCAAATCGCGGGACACGACATTTCCTTTAACGATGGTTATCGTGGCCAAAACTGAAAGACATAAAAGTAATTTAGATACTTCTCCTTTATACATGACTGCCGAGCCAGACAGCTTCTTTCGGAGTTACTTTCGTAAATCATGCCGCTTTTGTTAAATAAACGGGAAAGTTTGGCTCGTGTCGAAATCGAAACGGGATAATTTCGTTACGAAAAATAGAGAACGTGGGTAAAATCTGTAGAAAGTGGATTGTCTCTCCTTTCAGACAAACGATGTGATGACATCGTCTCGTTCCGGGTTAGTTGCCTTGGACGAAAGCCAAATGTCTTCTCACCTTCGTTAGACGTCACGTGCGTTCTCCGAACGGATGCCGCCCGAAAACAGAAGAAAGGAAAGAAATTTTCGCCAAGATTTATGGCCGAAGGGCATTTCCCGACACCTTTTTTTCAAAGGCCATCCCAAATTTAACGCGTTCGAATTTAAAAATGGAAAAAAAAGCGCGAGTTTGGCGCGTAGGCAATTTTTCGAATTTTGCCGGGAGAAGAAAAGTCGACTTACCGACAATAGAACCCATGTCGAGAATGTTGCGAATAGAATGCCGCTTCTATTCTGCAGCGGCGCAACCACGTCCCACACCTGGGTCACGTGGTACAGATGAGCTTCTTTTCGGACTGCGCAGATTGGCGCCATAAGCTAGCTTCTACTCGGCGCACCAATCAAAAGAAATTTTTTGAAGATGGTCGAATTCCAAAAATGGGAATCGACTCTCTTTATCTTTTCTCTCTTAATCGTATATGGAAGAAGACCGGATACGCCAAAGGCACCAGCTATAATAAAAGAAGCGCATTTTCTAACCACCGAGAAATAATTATGCGAATTTTCAAAAAAAAGAAAAAAAAATTCTAACGTTCGATTTTAAAATCGAACTGGAATCGAGCGTCGATCGAATTTCTGGTAGCGAGAAATTTGCTGCCGACGACGACCTAACGTGTTTACCACGCGAAATGTCGCCCGGAGTGACGTCATGTGACAAGAATATCCGGGTAAGTGAAAGTTTTCTCCTCACGGTATCACGTTCACTCGTGACAACATTTCCGGGAGCGTGTGGATCTGGGGTCGCGACCTTTCTTCCCCCTCTTTCTCCGGTCGGGTAAGGTTGTGTGGGAGGGCACCATCGGGGCACGAAACTATCAGACCCCGCGACGCCTTTGTTCTTTTTCTTCTGCTGCACGATCACAAAACACACCGCGCGTGGACATCCAAATTATTTTACCGTTTCTCGAAAAGTCCTCGAGCCCAGAATCGTGCATTTTCTTTCGCCTCCGTAACCATTACGTAAGTTCCCAGATCGAGGACGATTCTACGCCTTCCGGCACGCTTTTCGGCAGAACGCGTACGCGTCGCCAAAACGCGATTTCTATCCTTCTACCACTAATCGAAACCTGTTAAATTTTGCAAAGATAAACAAAATCTTTTCCGCTGAACACGCAGTTTTTTCCCTGCAAACGGTTATAAAATATGGCGCGCGTTTCGTCGACGGGCCGTTTTTCGCGGCGGCGTCATTAAAAGAATTTTTAAAATTGGAAAGAAAGCCGAAGAACAATAGCCGCGTGCCTCTTCTCCCCCCGGGAGCCCAGAAGCTAAGAGCGGTCGCCACTCGAATAGGCGAAAGCCGAGTTTCTCGGATCGACGCCGTGACGCAAGAGAAAAAGACCAGATCCGCCGTGACGTCGAGGACGGCAATGGCTATTAGATGTCACTGCCGGCGCGAGCCAATGGCCACCCGGGAAAGAAGTTGGAAGGACGAGCGGAGGACTAATGCGAAATGCGAAGGGATTCCTGTTAGAGGCTAGAGGGGGGTAGAGAGTTGCATCCCTGCGGGTTGAGTCAGCGTTCGGTTGATCCCGGAACCGAGTGCAGCCCCCTCGCGCATTCACACGTTCGACTATCAGACGGATGACACGCCGATTATTAATGGACGTCCGGGGACAGTCGGCGCGCCTGGGGAATTTCTCGTCTTTCCCCGTGCCGAAAATGTCTAAAAGACGTTTATCGGCTTCGACTCGATCGTTCGTCCTCCTTCGATATTTCCATTCGAAAGCGTTCGGATGCGGTTAGTGCATCGAACCCGGATTTCGACATTTTCTTGCGTTTCCGGATTGTTTTCGGCCAGATCCACTCGTCTTCCTGAAAAGAATTATCTTCAATTAAGTAACATTCGCTGTCCGGATTTCAGCCTCTTCCTGCTTTTTCCGCAAACTTTGCATATTCGTTATCCTTTCACTTTTCGTTTTTCGACCGAGTCACCATCTTTCGTTCGATGTTCAGTTCCGCGTTCTTCGTCTCGTGCTGGATTTATGCGTCGTTTAATGAATAATTTACATTTCGGAATTACAATAATAATGCCGAAATTGAATTTTATTCTATATTATTTCCGTTTAAACTTTGATTACCAAGGATTAAAGGTCGCGTTCTTGCCAGAAGATAACTCGAACTGCCAGATTTTTGGACTATTTTTATGCTAATTACGAAAATTAATAATCGAATGAACTTGTCGCTAGAGTTCGTTTGGCTAATTATAATTGTTATTCGAAAAAAATTATATCGAATATTTGCGTAAAAAATATTTTTTATAGCGAATTTTTCTATTATCGGAATTTTAAAAATGTTTTAATTGTCGAACAAAGTACTTTAAAAAGTCGAATATTTAAATATTTGTTTTTGTTCGTCTTTACGACGAACGAAAAACAAATTTTTTGGTTTGGACCACCATGAAATTCGCGGAAAAGCGAAATAATTTGTCGAGACGAAGCTTATAATTTGGAGCAAACAAATAAGAANTAACAAGAAAGCAATTACATTATTCATACAATATTCATAAATAGTTAAGGTAATTATTTTTAAGCAATACAACAACATAGTTTATTAACTCTCTCCATTTGCTCGTGAAGTAAAATCATTCTTACACCAAAAGACCGCCGTGTTGTTTACACTTTCGTTACGTTCCTAATTCAGCTCGAGGATGATCGATAACAAAAGCTTAGTTATCGCACGTGGCTATCGGGACCGAAAACGAAACGTATGGCTCGGAATAGCATTTTCACAGTTGATTAAACGCAAATCACGTGGTTCCGATAGAAACTGGTTTTTATCGTATTCGTTAGCTTAACGATACTACTCAGAATAGGTCCCCAGATCTGGATTTTTCGACCTTCTCTTGGTTTCGAGGTTGTTTTTTTCTAATTTTCGTAAAATAAAATAAAATAAAAGATGTCTGAGACATCTTAATTACGTTAAGGGGACTTATCGAATGTCCCGTGTATCGCTCTCGTTGAGTTATCGGAAGAGCTCAAAATAGGTCCTCAGATCTGGATTTTTCGACCTTCTCTTGGTTTCGTGGTTGTTTTTTTTTCTAATTTTCGTAAAATATGAGTTTTTAAAATATGACTTAAAATAAAATGACTTAAATAATAAAAAAATTAGATTTTAGAAACAAAAACGAAAAGCATGGTACTGTACTGTACTTTATTTGCTGAATCCTGAATCACGTGGAGTTAAAAACACTCAGATACACTTAAGCACCTGATCAAGCTATGAAATCATACCCCGCAATGATTTGCTATCATGACACAAGCAACATCATCTTAACTCCAGCTACTTAATTAAAAATCAGGATGGCTTACGTGTATTTTTAAATTAAAATATATCGCTTTATGCAATAATGTTTGCAACACTGTGGTTTAAAAATGGAGAAAGTAGTAATATTTTTTATTCTTAAATATGGGCATGATATATATATGTTGTATATTTTGAAAATATACAGTACAGTACATTGTAAGTTTGTATATGAAGTGGTGTAAATTTTAGAACAAAAGTTTTAGGAGAATTAAAATGACGGCAGCTAAACATGTTGCATTTATTCTATTAATTCTTAAATGTGAATAATTATATACAGTATTTAATAAGTGTAACTTACCTACAACACAATGTTAGTGTTGTAAATTTTAAGAAATGAACTTATTGAGTCTAATACTGTATATAAATTATCTGTGGCAATTATGGGTTCGGCCAGGCCCACAATGGGGGCGGCCGAGTGGTGAGGGATATGTCGGCTTCCGTTTCCCAACATTAATTGCGGAAAACGAACTTAACCAGTTAGATGACGAATGGCGATCATTTCGTTTAGCAAAAGATTTGGTCATACAATATAATAGTATACCAGAATATTGGTTCTTGTTACGCAATATACAGGATGGTTTTGGTAACTGTAAATATGCCCTATCATCTCAATTTTTGACGCAGCTCACAGTTCTTCCACATTCCTCAGCCAGTGTCGAGAAAATATTTTCGCAAATTAACATTAAGACCAAACAAACTAATAGGTTAACTGTTAAATCGTCNAACACGCAGTTTTTTCCCTGCAAACGGTTATAAAATATGGCGCGCGTTTCGTCGACGGGCCGTTTTTCGCGGCGGCGTCATTAAAAGAATTTTTAAAATTGGAAAGAAAGCCGAAGAACAATAGCCGCGTGCCTCTTCTCCCCCCGGGAGCCCAGAAGCTAAGAGCGGTCGCCACTCGAATAGGCGAAAGCCGAGTTTCTCGGATCGACGCCGTGACGCAAGAGAAAAAGACCAGATCCGCCGTGACGTCGAGGACGGCAATGGCTATTAGATGTCACTGCCGGCGCGAGCCAATGGCCACCCGGGAAAGAAGTTGGAAGGACGAGCGGAGGACTAATGCGAAATGCGAAGGGATTCCTGTTAGAGGCTAGAGGGGGGTAGAGAGTTGCATCCCTGCGGGTTGAGTCAGCGTTCGGTTGATCCCGGAACCGAGTGCAGCCCCCTCGCGCATTCACACGTTCGACTATCAGACGGATGACACGCCGATTATTAATGGACGTCCGGGGACAGTCGGCGCGCCTGGGGAATTTCTCGTCTTTCCCCGTGCCGAAAATGTCTAAAAGACGTTTATCGGCTTCGACTCGATCGTTCGTCCTCCTTCGATATTTCCATTCGAAAGCGTTCGGATGCGGTTAGTGCATCGAACCCGGATTTCGACATTTTCTTGCGTTTCCGGATTGTTTTCGGCCAGATCCACTCGTCTTCCTGAAAAGAATTATCTTCAATTAAGTAACATTCGCTGTCCGGATTTCAGCCTCTTCCTGCTTTTTCCGCAAACTTTGCATATTCGTTATCCTTTCACTTTTCGTTTTTCGACCGAGTCACCATCTTTCGTTCGATGTTCAGTTCCGCGTTCTTCGTCTCGTGCTGGATTTATGCGTCGTTTAATGAATAATTTACATTTCGGAATTACAATAATAATGCCGAAATTGAATTTTATTCTATATTATTTCCGTTTAAACTTTGATTACCAAGGATTAAAGGTCGCGTTCTTGCCAGAAGATAACTCGAACTGCCAGATTTTTGGACTATTTTTATGCTAATTACGAAAATTAATAATCGAATGAACTTGTCGCTAGAGTTCGTTTGGCTAATTATAATTGTTATTCGAAAAAAATTATATCGAATATTTGCGTAAAAAATATTTTTTATAGCGAATTTTTCTATTATCGGAATTTTAAAAATGTTTTAATTGTCGAACAAAGTACTTTAAAAAGTCGAATATTTAAATATTTGTTTTTGTTCGTCTTTACGACGAACGAAAAACAAATTTTTTGGTTTGGACCACCATGAAATTCGCGGAAAAGCGAAATAATTTGTCGAGACGAAGCTTATAATTTGGAGCAAACAAATAAGAACAGATGAAAGTGGAAGAAAAGATTTGATTTGATTTATCGAGTCTTTCCGAGAAAAGTTTTATCCCCGAGAAACGCGGAGGTGCGGGGAGGGAAGCTCGGGCCCGATATTTATGTTCCGGATGTAAAGTCGGAAAATCGTACCCAACATTCTCCCTCTAATCAGTAAAGCGGGTGACCTTTGATCTCGTGACTCGTGCCGGGCTCATCACGGCCTCGTGCCACTTGTCTGGCCCGAGGCTCGTTAGTGTGACGCCCGCTCGCGTGCCGCTGACCCCCGGTCCACCCTCACTCGGACGACCGAGTTCCGTACAGACGTTACCCGTACCTGATTGGAGACCGAGTAATACACAAAATTCTCCTCCTCCTTTCCAAAAAATACTATAGTTGGTCCGCGTTTCGGGCGCTCGACCTTCGACCTCTTTTATCTTTATTCACGAACTTCGCAAATTATTGCTTCTCGTCCTTATTAATAAGATCATTTTTTTTTCCCCTCTTGAGTTGCGAGTGTCGATCGTCTCCGGGATTCCTTAATGAACTATTATCAGGCAAGCTTTTCGTGTTCCAGAGCTAAAGATGGGAATATAAAGATAAGTTCAAACTGTTATTAGACCGTTTCTGTTTCTTCTGCACGGGGATGAAGTTTGTCCATGGAATGCCTCGCGCCATTTCTTTCCGAAATGGTCAAAAATTTAATAAAATTTCCCAAAAATATTAATTGAAATTCCCAGTTTATTTCTTCTTATTTTTTTGCGAAAATTCCTTGTTTTCGCAGCGTGTGTCATTTATCTTTTGACACACTTTCCATATCAGGTGACGCAGCACGCTTCAAATTTTCGTTATTTATTGCGAATTACCAAGTCGTCCTCGGAATTTTCTTTCAAAAATGGCAGTCGCACGTAAGTTTTTAAACGAAATCTAAAATTTGAAGCCAGTTAAATTATTTTAACTGGCTTCAAATTTTAGATTTCGTTTAAAAACTTACGTGCGACTGCCATTTTTGAAAGAAAATTCCGAGGACGACTTGGTAATTCGCAATAAATAACGAAAATTTGAAGCGTGCTGCGTCACCTGATATGGAAAGTGTGTCAAAAGATAAATGACACACGCTGCGAAAACANTAATGTTTTGCTATACAAAATATGTAAATTATTCCAATTTTTTGCGTCGATATTTATCAGTGAGTACTTCTTTTCCCTATAAAGGTTTATAAAGGAAAAGAGGTATTCAAAGCGAGATATTATATATCAGTGCTCTACACATAAGGAAAAATTTACCTGTAGCATCCTCTATAGTAGATCGATTCAAAAAACAAAAGAAAATTGGAATTTTCGGTAGTTGAGCATTAAAAAAAAATCCGATTCTTTGTAAAGGCGTGGCCGTAGGGATGTGCTCAGTCTCGATTTTATCAATTTCAAATAAGCTCGACTTCGATAGTCAGTCGAAACTGCATAGTCAACCCAAATTCGAACCCGGTCTACAAGATGAACGTCTCATCACGTGATTGTACTGCCCTCGGAGATCGATCGAGTCTTGAGCCTTTCGCAGTCCTAGTTATGTGAAAAATGGCATATCCTTAGAACAATCGTTATTTTATACGTAGTTAGATAAAAGCTACGCCTGTAATAATGTTCTACAAAGTCTACTTATTAATCAACATTAAAATATTTATTTAAAGCTATATTTGTAAACAATATAACATATTAGACATACCCAATTTAACGTCACGAATCTTTAGATTCGTGTCGTTAATTCGGTAATCCTTCGTCAAACACTTCTGACGACAAAAATGTGTCTGATGTCTGTTCTAATTTTAGTTCGAATCTATACACTAATTTACCATTAAATCTTTTCCTCGAAAGATTATTTCTTTCAAAGTTACTAATTACTATTTGAAAGAATTTTTAACGATTATTTCAAATAGTAATTAGTAACTTCGGTAGATTATTGTTTCTAACAAGAAAATAACATATTGTCCCGATCGAATATCAAGCCATTTGAAACATACAAAGACAACCGATAGGGAACAAACTCCATACAGTATATCTGGTACAAAGAAGGGATTCACAGGGATGCACATGCCTTTACCCGGAAAAATTCCTCAGAAGGGAGCATACAAAGACAACCTTCTCACAGGTTTTTCCAGAGTAAAGCATACTACTTCGGGTAGTAAAAAATTTTGTAAGGCAAATTGTTTCTTTTCTGTACCCCTTCTAAAGATTTCTGGATCCGATATTGCTGGTACTGTATGTCAGTGTTCGTGTATTATCAAACTAATCATCAATTGCTAACTTTGGCAGCAAATTAATGAAGAATATGGAGATTAATGGAGAAATATGGGGAAAACCATCTCGATTAATCGAATTCCAATTAATTCGTTCCTATAAAAAAAACACACAATCTTAAAAAGTTTACAAATGTTTTATAACTTTCAGCAATACTTTTTTGCAAGAAAATTTTTACTGTGGCATCACATTTTAAGATTTCTTTTTATCTTCCTTCTCTTCTAATCATTTCAGAATCCTTGTCAGCTGGTGTCTCATGATGTAAGTGTGAAATTTTCCGGGATACTGTTGACAGTATTTTAAATATAAAAACTTGGCCGGATAATCTAGTTAAGCGTTAGCCCTCGGGAATTTTTCACAATTCCAGGCCCACAAATGGGGTATCGGGGATCATGCTCTAATTAGGGGTCCAGTTGAACCCACGACATGGCTATGTCTATTGGTGCCCATTCGACGAACAATCGACTTAAAAAAAATCTATTTTCTTTGTAACAGTAGGCAAAGAATTCACCGAATTGAAATTTAAATAATTATAAAGATATGACAGTTGATTGGCACACGTAAGAATTACAGCAACCACTCCAGCCAATGAAACAATGTTTTAATTTAACATTATTTCCGACTTTATAGCAAAATTATAAATATTCATAACTTGTTTTGACAATTTACGGAATTTACGAGTAAATTTCTGTCGAAATATTTATTTTTATCCGGGAATAAATTTCATGCAATTTTAAATTATATAATGTATTCATTATGACGACTATTCATTTCTATATTCAAATAGTCTGTTATTATGAAGGCGATTTTGTATAAAGCATATACTTTAAAAAGTCGAATATTTAAATATTTGTTTTTGTTCGTCTTTACGACGAACGAAAAACAAATTTTTTGGTTTGGACCACCATGAAATTCGCGGAAAAGCGAAATAATTTGTCGAGACGAAGCTTATAATTTGGAGCAAACAAATAAGAACAGATGAAAGTGGAAGAAAAGATTTGATTTGATTTATCGAGTCTTTCCGAGAAAAGTTTTATCCCCGAGAAACGCGGAGGTGCGGGGAGGGAAGCTCGGGCCCGATATTTATGTTCCGGATGTAAAGTCGGAAAATCGTACCCAACATTCTCCCTCTAATCAGTAAAGCGGGTGACCTTTGATCTCGTGACTCGTGCCGGGCTCATCACGGCCTCGTGCCACTTGTCTGGCCCGAGGCTCGTTAGTGTGACGCCCGCTCGCGTGCCGCTGACCCCCGGTCCACCCTCACTCGGACGACCGAGTTCCGTACAGACGTTACCCGTACCTGATTGGAGACCGAGTAATACACAAAATTCTCCTCCTCCTTTCCAAAAAATACTATAGTTGGTCCGCGTTTCGGGCGCTCGACCTTCGACCTCTTTTATCTTTATTCACGAACTTCGCAAATTATTGCTTCTCGTCCTTATTAATAAGATCATTTTTTTTTCCCCCCTTGAGNCTTACTTTTGAAATAAATATTTTAAAATCTTAATAATAAACTTAAATAAAAAATACGTACAAAGTATAAAATGTGCTTTAATATAAAAAAGAATTTTTGTACATAAAATATAATAGTAACAATCTATAAAAATTTTATTGACAATTTATAATTTATGTAAAATCATCTAAATATTGAAGGACATCAAAATCAACTATTCTGTAAAATAAATAAATATATTAGAAACTAATTTTAAACTATAAATTCTGATGTTTTAACAAAAATACCTTCCAATATTTCTAATGAGGCTCAAACTGGCCAGGCATTTGTATTTTGGCAAACTAATTTCTTCTGGATGAGTAGAACATGCCAATAATTGCAGAGATTGTAGAGAAGCAATCTAAAAATTAATTTTTACACTGAAGTATCTAATTTATATTATATTGTTTCTAGTAAATTGTATATATATTGATAACAATAATTATTATTTGTAATATGGATTCAAATAATAATTTAAAAAATGATTACCTGAGAAAATATAATTGCCTTTGGAGGTGTTTTTTCCTCAATAATTGAATAAAATATAGCTAACATTCTTTCTAAAGGAAATGATTTTGGTCCAATCAAATGATTTGTAAGCTGAAAATATTTAATTTTCAATATTTAAAAGTTTAAATAATTTTATAAAAACTCAACACTAAATATAAATTTGTTCAAGTAAAAAAGTCATTAACATGTCAGTTGTGACTGATATACAAGTGTACTCTCTGTATATTAGTTGAATGGTGCATAGGCATGCAAGTACACTCATTGCTATACTAAATTCAAATTTTTCATATACCCTTAGCACTGATAAAAAAATGTAATTTTTCAGTGATGTAGAAAAACCTTAAATGAAACATAAAACAAGTTTCCACATTTTTAAAATAAGTTTATATGTCTGATATTAAAATTGGTCCATATAATAAGAATAAAAATTTAATCTGACAACCAATAAGCCAGAATGTCTGATAATCCATTACTGTCCGAAAAGTAGCTGAAAATTAATCTTAGATACTTTTCAGTGTGTGCCAGATGAAGCAGTTCTGCACTTCCATCACTGTTGTTTCAAGACTACAAGGACATTTAACTTTTATGCAGTATAATTCAATAAACTGTATGGGAGTAGTCCCAGAAGTACCAACCTAACAAAGAAGTCACACAAAATTTAGGAAAACATATCTTTATTTCTCAACATAGTCTCCTTGTAGCTCAATACACTTTTCCCAGCAATGTTCAATAGCTTAGATACCCTGTTTATAGTGAGAATTGTTGAGCTTCTCAAATAGCCATCAATTGCTGACTCCACCTCTTAATTGTTGGCAAATCTTTTACCACCGAGCCATTTTTTCAAGTTTTGAAAAAGAAAATAATCTGAGAAGGCTAAATTTGGCGAATAGGGTGCATGAAGAAGCAATTCGAACCTTAACTCAATGATTTTGGCCACATGGGTGATCTGGTGTGTTGTCTTGATGAAACAACACTTTCTTTTTCACCAAATGCAGCCTTTTTTTTTTCTTGATTTCATCACTCATATGCAGCAATAAGTTTGCATAATACTTGCTGTTGACTGTTTTTCCTTTTTGAAGATAATCAATGAAAATTATTCCATGCACATCCCAAAAACTGACGCCATGATCTTGCCAGCAGATAAAGCTGTCTTTGACTTCTTCAGAGCTAATTCTCCCCTTTCAGTCCATTGTTTCGACTGTTCTTTTGTCTCAGGTGTGAAGTGATGGACACATGTTTCATCCATGGTTATGAATTGACATAAAATCTCTGCTTTATTGCTGCGAAACATTGCCAAACACTCGAGTGAAACATCCTCACAACACTGTTTTTGTTCCATTGTGAGCACATGTGGCACCAATCTTATGCACAGCTTTCTCATGTCCAAATTTTCAGTCAAAATGCAATGTACAGCACTTTTTGAAATGCCTACCATGTCTGTTAGCTCTCACCTTTTGAGTCGACAGTCATCCAATACCATTTTGTGGATTTTCTTCACCATTTCTGGCATGGTCACCTCATTTGGTCAACCACTGCAATGTTTGTCTTGGCAGCTCATATGGCCTCGTTTAAACTCTGCCACCCAATATTTTATTGTTGTAAACGAGGGAGCAGACTCCCCAGAGTAGAATCTAGCTCAGCTTTGATATTGATTGGACTGAGACCTTTCAAATGAAAGTATTAAATCACATAACGATGGCCAATTTTTTCCATGTTTACAAATTCACTGAGATTGTTCACTATTGATGGCTGTCAAACAAATACTAAACAACATAACATCTTCAAACTTCGGTTTATAAGGTTGGTACTTTTGACCACAGTAATTTTTTCAAAGAACTACCGCCATCTATAAATCAGGTCAGGTACCTCTGTGACAATCCTCATACATAGTCATAGTCTACATTGTATTGTGTTGAACAAATATTGTTTTGTTACAGCTAGCATGTTTTGTTTTCAGCAATATGCATGAATAATGTATTTTCTTCCCAATGAGCCAATGCAAGGACAGCATGCATAAAACTAAGTTTCTCATACCTAGAGCATATCAATATGATACATGTGAATATGTATACAGTACATGTTGAGAAAATAATTATTATATGCACATGAATGATTGTGAATGTTGAGTTTGTGTAGTAATACATTCATTAATATTTTTGCAAACTTATCTGATTGACAAACTTACAATCTTAACATGGTATAGTCATGAACAAAGTGTATGCAAAAAAATCAAAATCATATAAATTGTGCTGATACAAAATATACACCAATGTATGCAACATTTGGGTCACATAACATCAAATTTTTTTAAAATACAAAAATATCCAGTAATCTAATATTTTCAATAACCCAGCACTATTTTGGTCCTAATAACAAATTTCTACTGTATTATCAAAACTTGAGAGTGAAGAAAGACATAATGTTTGCTGTCATTCTGATGATGACTTTTTTCATCATCTAGACTTTGATATAATAAAAAATATAAATTTAAACAAAGTGATATAAAATAAAATTAATTATTTTTTTAGTTTTAAAAAATTAGTTTTATATTATAAAGTTTTTAACTTGTATTTGATAAACGTATTAGTAATATTTTATTTAAAATATTGTAGTTACATATGTGTATCAACTATACTGAGTCACATAAATCACTGTACATGCAGTGAATATTAGTCTTAAAAATTATTAAGAACTATACATTATATATGTAATAATTACTTAAAATATGAAAATGCATCATATTAAGTAAATTGTAGTCAGTATCAATGTAAAAATAGAGCTTAATTTTGTAAAAATTATGAAAAGTTTTTTTAGTTTTCATTTTAACATACTATTTTCATAATTACAAAAAATATATTTCTCATAACTATATGGAAATCTGACATATTAAGTCTACATTTTTATTAATTTTATATGTCATGTTTTATGTCTATATATAGTATTTTTTCCACTTACTCGTTTTTCCCTCTTTATTCTCTTCCGGGAATGTTTTTCTTTTTTCTAGAAATAAATGTGATATTTAATAGTTATTAAGAAACATCATCCTATTACAGATACTTCTACTTTAAAATAAACCATATGTGCATATGAATATGACACAGAGTGAGTCAGGAAGAGAGGAAAATATCTTGGTTCACTGTAAGCAAAAACTTCATATGCACATGAGTATTATTCTCAATAGTTTCAGAGATATAGATATATGAAAGTTGCTTACAATACAACAATAATGAATAACATGCTACATTCAAAACAAATGTTCAAAACTTGAACCTCAATAAACTTTACAACTCGTGTCTGAACATCATGTGTTGTTTCTCTGACTTAGTGGTGATCATCACTGCTAACTCAAAAGCAAAATCCAAGTCTAATTGCAGCATTTGGAAACAGATGTTGGCCATGCTAATAGTGATAGGGATGTAAATCAAAGCAATGTAACTTGTTTGACTGACTCAATTGTAAAGTGTACTGTAGTTCAGAGTTCAAGTTTTAAACATTTGTTTTGAATGTAATACATATCATTCATTATTTCATACAACTGTATCTCTTATACTACTGAGTATAATATCTATATTCATACCAAGATTTTTACTTACAATGACTTGTACTATTGTCCCCAAGATATTTCCCTCTTCTCCTAATTTACCCTGTATTTTAATTTAATAAAAAAATTTATTATACTGCTTGACAATTGCTAGAGATCAATGAAACTTTTTGGCATAAATAGTAGCAGGCATTGAAGAAAAACTATATTTCATATGTAAATAGAGGAACTGTAATATCTTTATGACATAAATTGACAGACATTTCTTACTTTGGAAAGGAGCAGAACAACAAAAACAAGCAACATAGAGAGCATCATGCCTCAAGTTATCCAACAACTTGTTCACAATCGTATGCACTCAAATGACAATGTTCAGGCTACAGCAACTACCTATTTTGTCTTCAACTATTAATATTATATTTTATGATAAAATAAAAAACCTGAAAGATTTGTGAAATTACTAATGTGAAATTATTTAATAAGTATTTCACTTTAGGTAACTTTTTAGTGAGAAACTTTAAATATATTTAAATTTACTCAGCAAAAATAATAATGTAGAAAACATATTACAAAAAATTATCAATCATTAAAAATATTGAAAGTAATTTTTTGATCAGCAGTATTTAATAAACCAAATATAGTAGCAAATTCTGAAAAAAATGGATTTTTGCAATTTTTACATTACAATTGTATGTTTTTATATTAAAACTAAAGATTTGTTAAAACTAGATAGTACTTGTCAAAAACAACACACTTATTGCACTTAATATTTGACTTTCAGAATTTTTAAAAATAAAAATATTTTTAGGCATATTATGTAATATCAGATTATTACTTATAATATTTACACACATCAATGCCAGTTGAACAATCTGAACAACAATCACGTCAACTACAAGTATCCCTTGATTAATGCAGTTAATTAATCTTGCAATGTTGCTACATTAATCAAGTATAATAACCAATAAAAATAAAGTATGATCATGTGTTAGTGAGGCTCAAAATTTTTAAGTATATATAATATAATACTTTTATGAAAGAAATCAACAATAAATGTGAGTTTATTATTTATTGAACAGGTTAAAAAATGTTTATTTTTTACAGAAAAATTTATCAATGAAACATTTTCCAATGACATGAATTTTGATCATGTAATGTGATTTTGACTGATTTTAATAGAAGCATAAATGAACATGCATGATTTTATTAAAATCAGAGTCAAAATCCCTTAATTGATGCATGAGAGATTCTAAAGTATTAAACAATTTTACAAGTTTTATGATTTGTTTTAAGCTTTATGTCCTTTTATAACTATTCTTCTTTAAGCTCAATTCTAATAAGTCCTAAAACACTTAAGCAAGAATTGAACTAATGAAAACTAAGAAGTTTACAAGTTATTTTGATGTAATCTCCTTTAAAACATTTTTATCTTTACATTTCTTTGCTTCTTCTTCATACATGCATTGTTGTTCGATTTCCAGATGATCATCACTCAAGTCTGTTTCATGAAATTCCAATAGTTTATGAGCATTTCCCATATGTTCTTAAAACAAAGATCTTTACAACAGTAACTATTTCTTCTATGATACTGTCAGTATGTTCAAATCTATTAAAATCACTAGTGCATTTTGACAAAAGTTTCTTCCAAACAACTTAGCTCTCAACAATTGCAAGTTACTTCTTCCTGATTCAGGAATGTTTTTTATTGTATGTTTAATCAATTTTTTCCAAAATTCTTGAAGAGTAATAACATCTTGTTTCATTATAGCTTTAGCTGCTTGTAAAAAAGTTCTAATAAAATATGCTTTGAAAGATGCAATAATATCTGGTTGTATTTTGCAGTAAAATGGTAACAAGCACATTATCACACAAGTCATTAAGTGTGTTAGGATGACCAGGGTCATTCAAGTAGCAAATAGATCTTTGAAAGATAAATTATTAGCTTTATAATAAATTTTAACTGCTAGACAAAAATAAGAATTCAACCAGTCATCATACACAGAATGGGTGAACTACTCCTTTTTATTTGATTTCCAAATGACTGGCAGAGATTGTTTATTACACCCTCTTAAGGGAGTAGGGTTCTGGGTTTGATAAATTGATTTCTGGTCTTATATTTAAAGTCCACTTCAACACTGCCTTCAAGTAAGATGGTTATGCAATCTTTGGATGCTATATAGCCAGACTATAATTCTTTACTTTTTGCTAAAATGGAATTTTAGCAAAAAGTATTTTAGTAAAAAGAAAATTTCATCTAGAATTTTCTTCCCATATAGGCCAGTTTCATCCATGTTGAAAATTATCATAGTTAGTTTCTGTAAGTCAACAGGAAATTTAGATATTACATCTATGACTCACAGCTGTTACTTTAAGATTTGCATTTCTACTTTAGATTTAAATTTTTAAACTATCCTTTGTTCATTGTAAATGTTGCAGTAACCTCTTTGTATTTTGTTTCTTTCAGGTATGAAAATAAGCTAAGATCTTTAACCCTGATATTATTCATACCAATTGGAATTCACTTCAGATTACAGTCTTTCATCCCAATTATAACTGTACTTTGATACTGTGTATGCAGTATGCTTACTTAAAGATATAGATGAAATTTTACCTTTATCATAGCATCATCCACTTTGGCCAAAATAGTGTGTACTGTTGACTCATTGAAGCCTAGCCCTCTTCCAATGTTAGCTTTACTTTCATTATGTTCAAATCTTTTAATTACATCCAGTTTAATGTCTAAAGTAACCACTCCTTTTTCTTTTCATTTTCATCTGTAATGCCATTCTTTATCTTCAGTATAATGACAAGAGGTAAATATTTGTATACATAACCAAATAAAAAGTTTAGTAATTTGTTATTTGCAAACAGAATAAACATATCTGTTCTCTTTAAATGGTAACCGTGCAAGTACTGAGTCTTGTAGTGGATGAAAGGGAGTGAGAGAAGACCTGTGATAATCAAAATTTTGAATATGTAGTCCAAGAAATGATTGCAAATAATTTAATTGCATTAATTAAAAGTAATGTTGATCAAAACTATGTTAAACAAGAGATACCTGTATTATGCATGACTGTTTTGTTTTATTCACAGAAATATTAAAAATTTTTAAATAAAAAAAATCAATTTAAATATTAGTTAATGTTTCTACTTAATTAAATACCATTAAATACTTTATTTGAAATTAATTAATAAAGCTAAATAAAATCGCTGTATATGTTTTTTTTATATACAGTTGCTCCCTTATCTGTGGTTTCAGTTACCCATGGTCAATCATGTTTCAAAAATGTTAAAAGGAAAATACCAGAACTAAACAATTCATAAGTTTTAAATTGTACACTGTTCTGAATAGCATTATGAAATTTTGTGTTGTCCCACTTCATCCCACTCAGGTATAAATCACCTCAGTAACCTTAGTTTTATTCCAGTCAAGTTGTTCAAAAACATTCATTGTTTTTAAGATATTACTGTTATAAAACTAAGGTTACTGAGGTGATTTATATCTACACTTTTCCAGTTTTGATTTGTTTCTTTTTAAGCAGTAAATATTCCATTCAGAATATGAATCATCCCTTTGTCAAGCATGTCTATGTTGTAAATAGTAGTGATGTTGACAATTTAAACATTTCAGAAACCATAAAACTCTTTAAGAGAAAGGTGAAAGTTCTTGATATAATAGAAAAGAAAAACCTCATATACTGAGACCACATTTGCATAACTTTTTTACAGTATATCATTCTATTTTATTATTACTTATTGTGTTGATCTTCTGCTGTGCCTAATTTATGGATTAAATTTGGCACATTATCCTTTACCATAGGTATTTATAAGATATACTACAATAAAGAAGATAAGTATAGTTAAGAAAAAACATGGTATATATAGGGTTAAGTGCTATTTGTGATTTCAGACTGGGCATATCCTCCACAGGGCTACTGTATCGCATTTTTTGTTTATTAGATATTATTTTTCAAGTTGGCAAAGAATATTTTCTTTCATTTTTATATATCATTTTCAAGTGTTTTATAAGACCCCTAGATGAACTAAAATACAACTAATAATAGTCATTTGATGTAAAATACAATAATTCTTGAAAAACAAATAAATTATCATTTTTCACCATAAAAAAATGTCTTCCTAGTGTTTATATAATATGTAAATATATATTACATATAGCACTGTATAGCATGATAATTTTGACCTATCCACATTTGGTATCCACATAAGTCAAGAATATGATAGAAATAACACAATCTTTCTCATTGATCTAAAACTTTGACTTGTGAGATGTTCACTTTGAAAAGTGAAGATGCAAGAAGTAATACAAGAAGATTCTTTTCAGAAGAGGATAAAAATTAGAAAGTTTAAAAATNTTTTGATTGTTATTTTAAATTTATCCTCAAATAATTTTATCTGGTTTTTTGTATTAAAATAAAATAAAAATCAATACATGTAAAATGTGCAAAAACTAAACATTAAATTTTTCTTATATATAAGTGGTGCACAATGTCAGACTAGAAGTATTTCAAGTACAAGCAATAACACTTTCCACTTAAAATTTCTTAGCTAGAAGTACTGCTTTTATGAATTTAATCTGCAAATTGTCTGTGTTTAAAAAATGAATCTGAAAGGGGTGCAGTTTAAAATGTAATTACAAAATTATTCCTATGGAGCAATGGCTGCTCCCACAGGTATGGGATATATGATGGGATGATCTATGCAAAGATTTTATTTTTATTCTAACAAGTTTGTGGGTTACATGTCATCATGAATTAAGGCTCACCATATTTTTGTGCATATAACTAAAGTTACATAAAATATAAAAATTAAATATTTTTCAGTCTGTGCATTTTGAATAAATTAATTTTAACATTTGCCAACAAAGATTTTTTTAAAATATAAAACAAGCTATAATGTAATTTTTAAAAATATTAATTTATTCAACAATTCATATAAATTACAAATTCAGAAATTCATTAATATGAAATTTGATGAAAATGAAATATTTGTATAAATTAATATTTTTATTGATTAGATTTTCACTTAGATTTCCAATATTTAAAGAATACTGTAATTACAAAAGTATAATTTTCAATATCCCTTTATAGCGATATTTAGCAAAACCAAAAAAATTATTATTATAGAGAGAGTTTTTTTGCATTACTTGATAAAAATGACATTTTATTATCACCATCATTAATCTTACATATTCTGTTATTTGTTTTTGTAAAACATTTAAATATTATATAAATTAAAAATCTGTAATATGAAATTAATGAGATACAATTTTCTTATTAAATGTTCTCATTTTCAAATTTGCCCTAGTTCTATTATCTCACACGTCTGAAGATATTATACACAATTACAAAATACTTTTTTTAAGGAAAGTTTTTTCATCTTTGTTACGTCTTTAAAATATTTGTTTTAAATTAAAATTAAAACAAAACAGCACAAGAGACATTTGTACCCAAAAGTTTTGCCAGACATGAAAATCTATCTTTTTGTAACCAGGTTTTCAGTTATAGAATAGGATCACTTCAATATAATGTCATTTATGTTTCTGTATAAAAAAAATACTAATTAGGTAGGAAATAAGCATTTTTGTCTGTTAACAATCATTACAGCTAGAACATCTAGGCACCAAAAATCATATAAGTAGTAATAAAAATCATAATTTATATGATTTTTAGTACCTGTGTGTCTTAGCTCTATAATCAAAAAATACCATAATTTCTAGTATTTTAATATACTATATAGTATATAGGACAGTTCAGTATATTACATAACAGTATACTTAATGTACTATATGCAAATTTTATATGATAGGAAATGTCTCAAAAATATACAATAATTCTTAACTGAAAATAAAATTTAATATAGGTTCTTTTTTTGTGGATACAAAATGTAGTAATAATCAATCAGTCCACCTTTGATCTTAATAATAACAATTGCTTTCTCATGCATGAAGTCAAATTATTTTTTAATACAAATAAATGAAGAATATGTAAAAGTATATTTTAATAATGATTTCTTGCAGCTTAATGATCAACTATTCCAGCAGATTAGACTTAGCATGTAGAAAACACAATTTTTTATAATAGTTTATGAAAAATATGACATTGCAAATTTTGTAATATTTTTGTTTGCCAGTTGTATGTAAAAAAAAAATACGTGTGTTATGATTATGTTAAAATTCAACAATTTAACAAACACCAATTTGGTAAAATTGCGTACTAAGAGAGTTGGATGAGTTAAGATAAAAATAATGTTAGTAAAAAATATATATTTTATAATTTCTAAACTGTTGCAAATTTATGAACTTTAATTAAAATTATTTTGCATATAATTTTATAAATTATTATTATTAATATAAACATTTTTTTGTTTCATTTATTTACATATAGTATATAAAACAAGACAAGTAGTAAAATTTTGTGACATGTAATTATTAAATCTGCAAGACAAAAAATTATTTTTGAGCTATGTTAGTAAAAATTATTCTTAAAACATCATTATATCATAATAAATTAAAATTAAATTTTAAAACAAATGTAAATATTTAAAATACAAATAAAAATCATCATAAATACCTTGAAACTTCTCTTATATAAACAGTATTTAGTGAATTCTTTAAATGTGGTTCAATATTTTTCCACAGTTTATGAACATCTGTTGTGCTTGCTTAAAAAGCAATGTTAAATCTCAGGTTATTATTATAACAATCACAGATCTGTAAATTTTGAATTTAAAAATACATGATAATATTTGTTTAAATTTATATTAGTATATATACTTTGAATAGTCTAAACACTTTTGATTTTCATTTTTGTGTACATTTTATTAAAATATGTGATAGAGTCAAAAATAAACTAAATTTTTTACTCTGGTACTCATAAATAAAAGTTATGTTAATAGTCCAAATATTAATATTTACAGATGAATACATTCAAATAAGCACCTTCTATAGCTACATACTTCTGCCAATGTTCTTAAAACAGTCTCACAAATCATTCTGCATTACCTTGCATGTAATGACTGCAATCATCATAGCACTTTTCACTTCTGCTGATTTGAAACCATCAATCTTCAGCATGGCTTTCATTTTGGTGAAGAGAAAAAATAAGTGAGTAAGGAGGCTCTGGTTGTACAGTTATCTGTTATTTTGTCAGATATTCACTAACTAGAAAAGTATGATATACTAAAATAATGTTGTGATGAAGAACACAATGTTTTGCACATCAGAAACAAAACTATTTTTGTCTCATTCATCGCTGAGATGACTATAGAATATCAATGTAAGACTTTTTGTTAATGGGTTTACTGTTGGAAACAAACATGTAATGCATTAAGCTTACAACAAATGAAATGAAAAGATGCTGAGATGACTGCACTCAAGGAGGTAACACAGAATGGGCCACAAGACTGTTTTAAAGGGTACAAGTGGTATGAACATTGACAGGAGTGTATATTTGCAGAAGATAATCTGCAAATACCCGAGAATTATTATGTTAATTAATAGTGTATAAAAAGTTCCATTTATTTTTGATTCTACTACATATATAGCATTCACTGTAAAACTTTTTTCACTATAAAACAAGAAAGCATTATTTCATTATTTTCCATATTTAATTCATTAATCAAATCATTGACTGAATTTTGAATTAAAAGAAATGTTCATTAAAATTAGACACAATGTGAGTTGTTTACAGCTAGCAATTTTAATTATTTAAAACAAATGAGTGACCACTGAAAATCTACATTCCTATATCTACATATATTAAAAGCAAAATATTCCATCACCGCAAACCAAAACTGAAACCAAACACTTTACAAAGTGCTATAAATAGAGACTCAACTCTGACTGTCTTGATAACCAAATCAAGTACTTTATCCACACTTTCCAAAATATTGTTTCAATTTATTTGATTTTAATTAATTAATTTATTTTATTTTTAACTTTAGTTTCAGTTTTGGTGAAAAGGCCAGAGTTTTAATTATTATCTTTAATTTTCATTAACTGGCTACCTAGTTTGTTTAAAATCAATACAATAATAAACAAGAACTTCAAAAATTATACTGTATATGTACTTAAAAAAAAACTTACTACTCACCTTCATCTAAATTAATATATTCAATGTATTTAGGAAAATTTAAATTTGCCTAAAGAAAAAAAAAATTAGATTTATATGCATGATTATACAATTCACAAGTCCTATATATCTGCAATTTTTAGAAAAAGTACAAGCAAAGTTTAAAAATTTTTGAAATATTTTATTGTTTGATTATTATACTTCTAGTAAAATTACAGGTGACCAGAGATATTTAGGATACAATTTATAAACCATTATTAAAAATTATTAAAAAATTTTTTGGATTTATTAAATGTAAAGATAGCAAAACTGTTAAAATTATTTTCATAAACATTTATGGAGATTAATAAAATGATTGAGCTTGAATACTGTAAGCTTTCTTCCTGAAATTGAATCTTACTAAATTTTATTATTAAATCTTTCGTGTTAAATTACAATCTTCTTTTTTTCTATAAAAATGTCTACATTAATTTTCTTAGAAATATGATCATCATATAAAAAATAAGCAAAATTTCTTCTGATTAGTATTTCTTCTGATAAATACTAATCAGAAGAAATTTTGCTTATTTTTTTATACGATGATCATATTTCTAAGAGAATTAATGTAGGCATTTTTATAGAAAAAAAAGAAGATTGTAATTAAAAAAAATTAGTACCTTAAAGAAGAAAAGAAGATTGTAATTTAAAAAAATTTTTATAGAAAAAAAGAAGATTGTAATTAAAAAAAAATTAGTACCTTAATCTTACTGGTTCTTCATTTTATTGAAAAACATATAATTTAAAAATACTTCAATTTATTGATTCCACATAAAAATGCAATTTGTCACTTGTACCATTTTATTTAGACACACATGCATAATTAAAATTGCTACTAGTTAATTACACACATACGTATATGTAATTAACTAGTGGCAATTTAATATTTAGAAAATGACAAAATGAAAATGGAAACTTACTAAATATTGTAGTTCTTTCAAGTTTCTTGTAACTATATAAAATACTCCTAAAACCATTTTCAGGTACCCTCTGTAAAGTTCTTCAGAAATATCTGGTGGACATTGAAGAGCCATGATATTTAGAAGCTCATCTGAAAAATATTTTGTTGACAAAACATAATTTGTTACAAAACGTAATTTTATTTATTTTAAATTTAGTATACAAATAGAACTTACATTTCATCTGATATGTTACAAATGAAAATAAAAAATATTAGTTTTACCAAAAATGAATTTTCTCTTAGTGGAGTAAAGATTTCTCACTGTATTTTCATAATTATAAGAAAGCTTAGATAAAAGACTAGAATTTTAACATTAATATTTTAAATATATATTTATAGGCAATGATTATATGCATAAATGCACTAAAAATAACTATAATCATAGAAACTTTTATGAAAAAATGCATTGATAACCAAAACATTACCAACCAATAATTATCAAACATTAAAAAACATACAATATCATAATAAAAAATTTAGCATTTTTTTTATTAATTTATAATCAAATTTTAAAAAATCAAATAATTTTAATTAAATAAATAGCATAAAATTTTTAAGTTTTCAAACTAAAACACATATAATAAATCATCCTTTCTCAAAGTGGGCAATAATGCCCCTTGTGGGTGCTGGAGGCTCTCAGGGGGACAGTAGAAGGCTCAGTGATTAAATATGAGTTTTATTTCTTCTCATTGAAATATTCTTTGATCTTAGAAATAGGATATGGGTCACATCCTATCTATCCTATCCATATAATAATGCATGTTTAATTTAAACTTATATTTGCAATAACTGTTTTTAAGATATGCAACAGATGGTAATGTAAAAAGGTAAATTAAAAANTTAGTACCTTAATCTTACTGGTTCTTCATTTTATTGAAAAACATATAATTTAAAAATACTTCAATTTATTGATTCCACATAAAAATGCAATTTGTCACTTGTACCATTTTATTTAGACACACATGCATAATTAAAATTGCTACTAGTTAATTACACACATACGTATATGTAATTAACTAGTGGCAATTTAATATTTAGAAAATGACAAAATGAAAATGGAAACTTACTAAATATTGTAGTTCTTTCAAGTTTCTTGTAACTATATAAAATACTCCTAAAACCATTTTCAGGTACCCTCTGTAAAGTTCTTCAGAAATATCTGGTGGACATTGAAGAGCCATGATATTTAGAAGCTCATCTGAAAAATATTTTGTTGACAAAACATAATTTGTTACAAAACGTAATTTTATTTATTTTAAATTTAGTATACAAATAGAACTTACATTTCATCTGATATGTTACAAATGAAAATAAAAAATATTAGTTTTACCAAAAATGAATTTTCTCTTAGTGGAGTAAAGATTTCTCACTGTATTTTCATAATTATAAGAAAGCTTAGATAAAAGACTAGAATTTTAACATTAATATTTTAAATATATATTTATAGGCAATGATTATATGCATAAATGCACTAAAAATAACTATAATCATAGAAACTTTTATGAAAAAATGCATTGATAACCAAAACATTACCAACCAATAATTATCAAACATTAAAAAACATACAATATCATAATAAAAAATTTAGCATTTTTTTTATTAATTTATAATCAAATTTTAAAAAATCAAATAATTTTAATTAAATAAATAGCATAAAATTTTTAAGTTTTCAAACTAAAACACATATAATAAATCATCCTTTCTCAAAGTGGGCAATAATGCCCCTTGTGGGTGCTGGAGGCTCTCAGGGGGACAGTAGAAGGCTCAGTGATTAAATATGAGTTTTATTTCTTCTCATTGAAATATTCTTTGATCTTAGAAATAGGATATGGGTCACATCCTATCTATCCTATCCATATAATAATGCATGTTTAATTTAAACTTATATTTGCAATAACTGTTTTTAAGATATGCAACAGATGGTAATGTAAAAAGGTAAATTAAAAAATATGGGGCACTAGATTTTTTTTTTATCTCAAAGTGGGCGGTAATTGAAATAAGTTTGAGAACCTGTGTAATAAATCAATGACACTAACTAGTGTTCTCATTAAAATATATGCAAGTTTTGAGTAAACTTATCTGACATTTACAGATATTCCTCATACAACATGGTTTCCGGTTTCACTCTAACACAGTTTGAGAATTCAGGAAATTGTCTGTACAAAATTTCACAATTTTTTAATTGAAAACTCCTCCATTATTCAATATTTTTTTATTCAAATAAGCATACACATTGTCTCAAATTTGCTCATGAATTTTACAATATTGAAATTTTCAATTTGTTTTATGCATGAAGTTTACTTTAGTGAAAACTGATAGAATAATTTTCTCCCTCCTGTCCTAGCTTTCCTATCAACCAAGTATTGTTAATGTTGCTTTCAGAAATTAGCATTTAAGACTGTTACCATGTTTTGGTTTTATAGATTACTCTTTGTATTTAGTAAAGTTTATTTAAAGATTTTTAGGTAAGTGTTACTTACTTATGATTAAAAATAGATTAATACAGTAGAGCATCAATTATCTGAAACAATTCAGGGTTGAGGTTGTTCAGATAACTGATCATGAATGAAAAAATATATTAACCTATACCATGTTGAAATTTTTCTCCATTGCATGTCGCTTCACATTGAATTTTCATCAATGTTAAGCCTAACAAAATTTTTTTTAAAATAATAATCATGGTTATTGTATCGTTAAAAATTATTTCTTTATTTTTCACAAACAAAATAAATATATTGAAAAATATAAAAACAAAAAAAATGATACTTTAGAAGTTAATCTAGTATCAAAAACATTCGATTCAGCACNTTTTTAAATAATAATCATGGTTATTGTATTGTTAAAAATTATTTCTTTATTTTTCACAAACAAAATAAATATATTGAAAAATATAAAAACAAAAAAAATTATATTTTGGAAGTTAATCTAGTATCAAAAAATGTTCTGATTCAGCATGACGCATGTCCCGACAACACAGTCCTCAGAAAAACACCACACAAAACAAGAAAAACTCTTTTTTTTGGGTTTATCTGGAGATGTCAGCTGCTTGGGCTATATTCTCCAATGAGCTGAAGCAAAATACACCACTCACGATGGGGAAAAAAACTTCATTCAAATACTGGTGCATCCTTAAACATCCTCTTGACATGTGTCGTGCTGAATTGGAATGTTTTTGATACTATATTAACTTCCGAAATATAACTTTTTGGTTTTATATTTTTCAATATATTTATTTTGTTTGTGCAAAATAAAGAAATAATTTTTAATGATACAATATGGTCGTGCAGGTGCAGCCAGCTAAAACACACACACCAACAAAAATAATATTGGAGTAGCCCAAGACATAGCCAAATATTGCAGTGCCACAGCACTAGCAGAAATTTGAATTTGCCGACTGAATCACTTTCGGTTATCTGATGTTTAGGTTGATTAGTATTCAAATAGTTGATGCTCTAATGTAATCATTTGTAAAAATGACAAGTGAAATACAAAGGTTTATTGGTACTCAAACAATTCAATATTCAAATACAAATTCTGGTGAAAAATCACACAGTGCTTAAATGAACAAACAAGGGCCCCCTAAAACAAATTTTTGATTAATAACATATTTTTATTTTGTCATATATAAAAATTTTTTATGATAAAAATAAGAAAAATGAAGATGTTACTAATATTTCTGATCAACAACAATAAAAAAGCTCAGATAACAATACTTTGTAAAGAAATCACCCTTGTTTAACTAAAATTAATATTAATGCATAATACAGTACTTTTAATTGTAATTGTTAGTTAATTATTAATTGGAAATAGATTGTTGATTGCTTTAATAAACATATTTTTCTTAGTAAAGAAAAAGAATAGTATACTTTTGTTAATTTTTGGAACCTAACCTCATGTTTTGTATTAGTCCTTTGTTTTGTATAGCATGGATTTGCATAACATGGCACTTTTTTGGAACATAACTAGTCTTATATGAGGGATACTTGTATCTGGTCAGAATCACAATAAATTTGTCCAAAATCATAGTGAATTTATTAATAAATATAATTAAGAATTCTGTTGGAAATATTACCCATCCTTAATTAATCAATTTAAATATTAGTTAATGTTTCTACTTAATTAAATACCATTAAATACTTTATTTGAAATTAATTAATAAAGCTAAATAAAATCGCTGTATATGTTTTTTTTATATACAGTTGCTCCCTTATCTGTGGTTTCAGTTACCCATGGTCAATCATGTTTCAAAAATGTTAAAAGGAAAATACCAGAACTAAACAATTCATAAGTTTTAAATTGTACACTGTTCTGAATAGCATTATGAAATTTTGTGTTGTCCCACTTCATCCCACTCAGGTATAAATCACCTCAGTAACCTTAGTTTTATTCCAGTCAAGTTGTTCAAAAACGTTCATTGTTTTTAAGATATTACTGTTATAAAACTAAGGTTACTGAGGTGATTTATATCTACACTTTTCCAGTTTTGATTTGTTTCTTTTTAAGCAGTAAATATTCCATTCAGAATATGAATCATCCCTTTGTCAAGCATGTCTATGTTGTAAATAGTAGTGATGTTGACAATTTAAACATTTCAGAAACCATAAAACTCTTTAAGAGAAAGGTGAAAGTTCTTGATATAATAGAAAAGAAAAACCTCATATACTGAGACCACATTTGCATAACTTTTTTACAGTATATCATTCTATTTTATTATTACTTATTGTGTTGATCTTCTGCTGTGCCTAATTTATGGATTAAATTTGGCACATTATCCTTTACCATAGGTATTTATAAGATATACTACAATAAAGAAGATAAGTATAGTTAAGAAAAAACATGGTATATATAGGGTTAAGTGCTATTTGTGATTTCAGACTGGGCATATCCTCCACAGGGCTACTGTATCGCATTTTTTGTTTATTAGATATTATTTTTCAAGTTGGCAAAGAATATTTTCTTTTATTTTTATATATCATTTTCAAGTGTTTTATAAGACCCCTAGATGAACTAAAATACAACTAATAATAGTCATTTGATGTAAAATACAATAATTCTTGAAAAACAAATAAATTATCATTTTTCACCATAAAAAAATGTCTTCCTAGTGTTTATATAATATGTAAATATATATTACATATAGCACTGTATAGCATGATAATTTTGACCTATCCACATTTGGTATCCACATAAGTCAAGAATATGATAGAAATAACACAATCTTTCTCATTGATCTAAAACTTTGACTTGTGAGATGTTCACTTTGAAAAGTGAAGATGCAAGAAGTAATACAAGAAGATTCTTTTCAGAAGAGGATAAAAATTAGAAAGTTTAAAAATTTCCATTTCTAACATTAAGGAACAATAGTGTTACAAGAAAGAAAAAACTATAAGAAGAGTTTCTTCAAAAAACTATATGACAAACAAAAATGAGGACACTTCACTATCTATGATCATGTATAAAATAAATAATGCAATAAAAACATACTGTAGCATATTACACAATAAAAAACTAATAATCATTAATTATTACTCTGATTGAATAATAACACTAGATTTTAAAATAGTTCTGTGCAGTAATTCTTAATAAATCTTACGATAAAATTAGTAACTGCATTCAATAAATTGATTTACAACAAACCTTTATTGTAATCAGGAAAATGAATAATATATGGTTCATATGTAGTTGTACTCTGTTGAAATTTTTCCCAAACAATTTCTGAGATTAAAATTACACATACATTCAAGTTAACCTAACAAAAAACAAAATTTTTTAGTATTAAATGTTATGTTAAATTTAATTTTTTATTAAAAATTTATTAAAATATTTAAATTTTTAAAGTCCTCTGTTAATCTTAATTTGTTAAACCATCTTTCTATCATAATTATTTACAATTATCTGTATACATAATAAAGCAAAACCAAAATGTATTGATCCCAGATTATCACTTTCCCAGAAACACTGTTAAATTTCTACAGTCCTTGAATAAATCCTAATTAAACTATAAACCCACATCAATAGTTCTACAATTTATCATTCTTCTGCATTTATTGGTCAGAATTTCTAATACTGAAGAATGTTAATCTAAATTTAAATCTAAGACCGATCATTTTAAGAAAGATCATCACATAAATATATTCATATGAATTGGCAGTATAACAGCAGTTTATGTTTTTTTTGAGTGGGGTGTAGCAAGATGTAATTTAGATTCTGTACAGTTATGTACAGAATCCATTAATCCTTTCTATTTGATACTGCAAGCATCTTATCTTCTAGCTTGTCATCTGGATGGTGTTGAGATCCTAGTCCAGCTGGAAAAACCTGTGTGTGCATGTTACCAGATCTTAATGCTTTTTGATGACAAAATGTTATGAAGTTTTCAATTACTGTAATAGAGATTTAACAACTTTCTATATTCCCTTTAGTGATAAAAATAATTATTATTGTTGATATAGGAATTTTCTTAGTTTTGCTTTGGTATTTGATGATTTTGTGAATTTTGGATACTGCCTGTGTGAATCATTTCATTTCACATTTTTGCCTAATTCAGTACATAATATGTGGTTCAACCTGTGTTCAATTCTTTATAGTGCTTGATATTATTTTTTAATCTAATTTTTCTGCCATATGGTGTTTCTTATGAAATAAGTTCAGATTCTAGAAGAATGACTGTGCATTATGTAAGAGAAAAACCCATGTAGCTAAGTGACTAAGCATGCCATCATCAACCCTAAATTCAATTACTGCAAAATAAAAATAAATAAATAAAAATCAGAAAGTAGACTGATAACTGTGGTATATCAGCCAAGAAGAGGAAGACAGTTAAGAATTAACTTCCTCTTCTTGGCTGATATACCACAGTTATCAGTCTTGATGATGGCATGCTTAGTCACTTAGCTACATGGATTTTTCTCTTACATAATGTACAGTCATTCTTCTAGAATCTGAACTTATTTCATAAAAAGCTGGAAAGTTTATTTTTGCTTCGTACTGTAGCTGCTCTGAGCATCAGGTATTCTTGCTGATGCTTCAGGAAAATTCTATCAAAATAGATGCAACAATGGGAATTAAAATATATTTTATGCTTTAAATGAATGTATCACACATTTCTACCAATGCCACAGCCTGGTGTAATTTCTTCCTACAATTTCTCTTCAACAGCTTTTGGGAGCCTGTACATTTTATATCCTTTACTTCAAAATTTCCCAAACAAAACTTTCAAAATCACATTTGACACATTCAAAGTTTAGAAGCATCTTCCCCATACACATTATGAGTATTTTTTACTGTTTGTAAAGCATATCCTTTGTAAAACTTAAATAGCATGAAAAATATGCTCAATGTGCATTTTATATGCAGACATTTCAACTTGATTTTATTCAAACAAAATTTGATGTAAAAAAGTTTAAAATAAGCTTCAAAACAAAGAATACAATCTCACATAAAAAATAAAGTGTTAAAATTCAGAATTTATAATTACATCACATACTTATGTTAAGTGAAATCAGCTGCTAATAAAAATATGCAAAAACTTTCTGATTAAATTCCAATAAAATTACTGTAATAAAGTAGTCATACTTTGCTATTCTGTATTGCGTATGTGTATTTTTTAAACTTTTTTTATGATTTATACATGCTAGGTTTGTAAACTTTTTGTTAAATTTGTATTAAGTTGGATAAAGATACTGATTTTTCTGTTATACTGCCCGATTTTCTTTTCTGTTTCCGTGTTAAACAGGTTCTGCAATATACAGGTTAATTTACATTAAATTTTGCAAAAAATTCAAGGGACCAAAGAAACTTTCCATTAATGGCAGGTTTTTGCTATATACAGGTTTCGTTAAAGGTTTGACTCTATTTGCATTTCAACATTGTTTTGCAAGGAGGATGCATTTTTTTGTTTTATTTTAAAGCATTATATGTAATTATTGAATAAATAATAATAAAGAATAGCACAATACATCATGATAATTCAGTATCAATATCAATATGCTTTACTAATTCTGCTGCAGTAAATATCTGTGCAATAGTTTATATATTTATAAAAATAATATTAATCTTTATGAAATTGTTAAATGTTACTTAGTAAGTTATTGTTGTTTCCTGATACATCTCACTTTTTTGTTGTAAATTATAATCAATTTAAGAATTATAAGAAAATATTTTCTTTCTTGAAATATTAATTTTTTTTCTTATGAGGGTAATAAATAAATTTTACATACAAGTACGTAAATTTGAATCATGTAAAAATTCAAATTGGTTTGTCACAATAGAATCAAAAATCTTAGAATATATTGGGTTGTTCGGAAAGTAATTTCGTTTTTTTTCCGTGGAAAAAACACACTGTTTTTATAATAAATAAATATTTTATTGAATTATATATCGACCATTTTGGTCAAATACCTGTTGTCATCGTTTCTGGTAGTAGCATGATTTCACATTCATAAAAGTTTTGATCGTTGCTTACAAAAAACTGATTCAAGTGATTTTTGACATTGTCATTTCAAGTAAATGTCTTACAGTTAAAAAAAATTTGTATAGACCGGAACAAGTAATAATCTGAGGGTGCTCAATCTGGCGAATTTGGTTGGTGTGATAGCATGTTCCATCTAAGTTATAACAGTTTCTGACGAGTTACCAAACTTTTGTGAAATTTGACATTATCATGGTAAAACACTACACCTGTTTTGTTGATCAATTCTGGCGGCCTTTTCTGTTTGATGATATTACTCAATTTGTTTACTTGATGGCAGTACACTTTCGAATCAATTGTTAAATTGTCTGGTAAAAGCTCCAAAAAAAAATTTCCTTAAAATCCCACCAAAGAAAGCATCTCTCTTTAAGAACATGTGGAACCAATATATCAAGCTTTGAAATGAAACCAATTTGTTTCAAGTAATCATAAATAGTTCAATTTGACAAATTTCACCTCTTAGTGATTTCACGTGTTGTTATTTGGCAGTTTGCTTTAACCAGTACCTTTATTTTGTTCTCATTGGCTTCAACTGGCCATCCAGAACGTGGTGCATCTTCAATATTGAAATTGCCAGAACGAAATTTTGTAAACCAGTCAATACATCTTCTCCATACACATCACACAATTTTTTTCTCGCTTGAACAGCATTCTTACCTTTTCGGTAATAAAAGAGTAAAAAATTTTTTACAAATAAGCCTTAAAATGCTAGTTGTCAAAATATATAATGATAATATGGTTTAGAATGAAAATGGCGGAAAAAATACAACTAATCTGTCTAGTGGTAAAAAAAAAACGAAATTACTTTCCGAACAACCAAATATGTTCTTAATATCATCTTCCAGTATAGAATACTTAATTAAAAATTTTACTTACTAATTCTTGAAGTTTAAGAAAAGACGACAAAATTGAATGATTAAAATTTCTAAGAATTTCTGCTTTATCTAAAATCTGTAAATTAAAAATGTTTGAATTAATACATATAAAATATAATTAATAATTAAAACTATAAATAATTTAATACAAAATTTTTATATACAATATTAAAAGTTTACTTCTTCAAATCTTTCTAATCAACCTTTTTCTGTTCTCTTAGAGTATTGTATCATCTATGTATGTTTAATCTAAGTACTTTTGGCTTCTCAGACCATTATCAGAGACAAAAAGTTGTGAAAAATTGCAATATCAAATTCAATCACCATCAGCTTTTAAATTCATATTGTTCCAAGACAATGTTCTCTTCACAAACAAATGCTACAATTCTATGCTTCCTGCCAAAAAGTATTTTACAATCTTTCTATTAAACTAATTTAAATTACTGAATCAGTTTTTATGATTTCTTTAATCTAACTAGTTTCTTATTATCAATCTTTCCAAAGCAGGTACCAAAGAATCCTCCTCCTTAGTATTAACCATGTTCAACACTACATCATTCTTGCATATCCATATTTTCTCTACACTACAATCAAATGCATATAATGCAAAATATGGATATACAAAGGAATTTAATATTGGCTGTTCAAATTTAATACAGCAAATTTTTATAGCACTTTTTACTTCTCACAATGGACTGGGAAGCCTAAAAGTACTTAAACAAAATACATGAGTGGACTCCAAAAAAGAAAAAAAGAAAAACCAAAAAAGATAGATTGTTAGATACAATATTCTCTCTTTTGATAAATATTTAGTTTATATGATGGTTTTAATTGGTTAGTTTAAATTAATTATGTAATAAATAAATGAATAACAATCTTTAATATTTTAATAAATAAATTTTATTATTATTCCTTTTAAAAACATCTGTTATTAATTTTATTATTTCTTATTTGGTACATATTCATTTTATTAATAAACTAGTAGCTCGGGAGCCCCCTAGTGGGCATTCTTTACAAATTTCCATGAGGCACGGTTCCTTTGACTTTTTTGTTCCTATCAATATGCTCTACAGCTCTGTTAAAATCCGAATGGTAAGATTTACCCTCCGAATGAAGAGGTGGCGACCCCCCAAACCATAGACCCTGTACTAACAATAAAGTCAAAGGAACCATATCCCTACTCGCGACCCTTCGGCCAAATGAATAATAAAAATTTATATTGTTAATTTAAATAAGAATTAAAATTGTTAATTTGAATGTTTGAAATATGACACACGATAGGGGCGCCTCTAGTGTCCGTTATCAAATGGTTACGGGACAGACAGACGGATACCCGTTGAATGGATTATATATATAGATATGTAAAAATAATCTAATATTTAACATATTATTTACAATATAATTATCTAATATAAGCAAAAATGTAAAATTCATTCTAGTTTTGATGTTGAAATATTTCAATTAATNAAAAAAAAAAAAAAAAAAAAAAAAAAAAATCACATTCCTTATAAACAATAAATATATTTTTAACTTTTTAAATAATAATATTAAATAAACATAATAATAACTTACTATATACAAAGTATCAGTGCAGTTTGGTATTAATGTTTTCAATTTATATAAAAAATCACACATATCATCACAATGAAAAAATTGAAAGTTTTTTTCACAATTCAATAATTTTGAAACTGCTTTCAAAACACCTTCAAACAAATATCGTGGTGTATGCATTTCTATGCAATTTATCCAAATATGAGAAAGCTGAAAAAAATTTTTTGAATTAATTAACTGTTCAATTTCAAAGTAAAGCATTTGATTTTCTTAGTATACTTAACTATCAAAAAAATATTCTTAGCTTATAATTTGTTCCATTACTTAATAGATTACTATAACATTATCATTCTTTATATATATCAAATTACAATAATCTATATATATATCATTGAAGTTTCATTGCAATAAAAAGAGTTCTTAAAGAGTTCACATATTACAAGAAACATAAAGCACACTCTAAACCTTCATACAAAGTTGGGTCAAATGTTTAATTTGAGTAATAAAAAAAAAAAATGATTAAAATTATATTTAATCCATTCCTCACCCCCATGAGACAACCTGGCAGTAAATATCCAATTAACTGGGCTATTGAGATGAATGAGGATGGGCTACAGTTATAGAATTAACCAACCATAATGGATCTCTTTATTAGTTAAAACTTTTATTTAATTTATTATTAAATAAAATAAAATTTTATGCACTTTTTGTTGTGTTTTTACTCTAAGTGAAAAGAAATAATAATGTGAAGAAATACTAAGAAAGGAAACAAATACATTATTTAATGGATATCTGCCATTGTGTATTTGATGACAATTTTCTGGTCAGAGGCTCATAATTAGTGGTCCTTAAAACTTTTCATGACAGCTTTAGGATCCTAATTTCACATTTAATACACAAAGTTTTGAAATTATAAAATATTTTTTATAACTTAAAAAATCCTAACTATTTTCTAAACATTCAATGCAGATAGATCAAAATCATTGTCTTCATTAGAGAACAAAAACAAGTTAAAACAAGCTTTAGGTTAGATTTTTATAATTTACTTGATTAAACTATCTTAAAATAAGCCACATGAATTATTAACATACTAATAAAGAAATATAATTTATAAAAAAAAAATATAATTGTCCTTAGGGAGATGATGATAAATTTATTTTTTCTAACTACATTTTGGAGAGAGAGATAGATAATATTGCTATCTTGAAATGATTAATTTAAAAGTCAATTAAAAAGATTATGAATAAAAACTTCAATAAGACTAGTTTATATTTAGATAAGGTTTTCTAATCAATGATATTTTAAACTGAAAATTATTCAGTTTAAAAAGACATATAAAATAATTTATTTAAATAAAACTTTAAAAATACCTGTAATTGCTGCATAATAGTTTTAACTAGCAGTGTTTTACCAGTAGCTGCATGTCCATAAATAAAAATACTCTGCGTAGCAAAAGTACTGGGCTGAAACAACATTAAAACAAATATTCATAAATAGTTTGATTAGCAAGTTTTTTTTTTTTTTTTTTTTTTGAAAAATAAAAAAAACAATGACAATGTCATTAATTTTCATTACTTAAAATGTTATATGGCATAATACTTTAATTCCNTTCTTTTTTTTTTTTTTTTTTTTTGAAAAATAAAAAAAACAATGACAATGTCATTAATTTTCATTACTTAAAATGTTATATGGCATAATACTTTAATTCCTTGATCCTAAAATGCAGTATTCTAAGTTTGGGATTAAATTTTACAACTTTTTCGCATATGAAAGAAAAATTTTTTAAATAATCAATTTTACGAGCTTAGTTTAACAATAAGTTTAAAAAAAATTGGATTTTATTCTAGATAAATAGGTTGTAGAGAAATAATATTTCATAAAATCACCTGAATCTGTAAAGGCAGATGCACACATGTGGCACAGAAGCAAAAAGTGGCAACCAAAATCACAGAAGAAAAGCCATACTTGTGGCTAACCACTTCTTAATTTTCTAAACATATGAGTAAAAAGTAAAACAGATATCCAAGAAGGACAAAGGCAATTTCCATAGTTATTTAAATGTCATATTTTTAAATTACAGTAGAGTCCCGAAAACTCGGGACTCGATAACCCAGCAGTCCGGATAACTTGGCCACACCCTGGTAGGGCAAAAAAACCCCTAGTAAATTTTCATTATAGACAGCTTTATGCCTCATAAAGTATTTTTCTGAGATCTGTCTTATCAGGTAAATTACTGTACACTGTGTATTCATTAATTTTCATTTTCATGTAGTAAAGGCTTTGCCTTCATAATGTACTTTTCCTTTGTTTAAGGGTATTTGGGCAGTTTATTCTCTGTTGTATTCTCATGCAAACTACATACAAATACAGTACAGTATTTTCTGAGGAAACACTCGTACTTATTCTTTTTTAACCCTATTCCCAATAACCTGGCATTTTCACAAACTTGGCCACCCTTTGGTCCACATTAGGCCAAATTTTCGGGACTCTACTGTATTTTATTTCATTAAGGAAAAAATAATTTAAGCAATTAATACATGTTTATGGACTATTTTCAAGTTTTCTATATGAAGATCTATTTTTGGATTTTCCCCCATGTTAAAAAATCATGTGATATTAATTCAAAATGTCCATTCACATGAAGTGAATTGGTATTACTAGTGGCTGCTGGAAGTGCATTAATGCTGCAAATGCTGAAAAAGTTGGATTGGAGTCTATTTTCACCAAACTGTCAAGCAGCACAACTAATGCTAATCATTGCCACAAACTTGCCGTTTTTCTTGACATACCACATTTGTGCATCCACTTAACGTCTGATTAATATGTAATATATAAAACTTACAGGACCAAATAATTTTAATAAAATTTCTGTTTGTTTCCTTCTTGCAATAACTTTTTTAAAAATATGCATTAATTTATCTTCATTGTAGCTCTTCATATCTTTTTTATATTCCATTGTAAATCTGAAATTATAATTATTAGTGAAACATCATTTTACTTAACTTATGTAATAACTATGTTAAAATTTATTACATAATATAACTTTTAAACTAAGCTTTAATAAACTACAGTGTTTCAAGTTTGATTTTTTTCACAATTGAATGATTAAACTAAAAAGCAATTAAAGCCAAATTAACAGGCTAGAAGCAGCTATAATAATAATAATAATAACACAGTTGGCTGCTACATATTCTACACATGTACAAAATACATCCATCACTCATTGCATTCTTCGAAAACACTATGCAGCACTGGAGAACAACACTACATCTCAGGGTTAGTAACACTTCCATACAAACAAACGAAATATTCATTAGGCGAGGAATTTTTCAAGGAGATTCCTTGAGTCCTCTCTGGTTCTGCCTAGCCCTGAATCCATTATCCAACATGTTAAACAACACGCAATACGGCTACAATATCAGACACGAAAAAACAACACAGTTTACACTCTCACATCTCATGTACATGGACGACATAAAACTTTATGCATCCACACAAAAACAACTTCATCAACTCCTACAAATCACACATTCATACACTAAGGACATACAAATGGAGTTTGGCTTAGACAAATGCAAAACACTTCACATAGAAAAAGGAATCCTGAAGAAAGAAGATTTTGCACTTGGAAATGGAGACGTTATTGAATCCATGGAAGAGGGCGAGTTCTACAAGTACTTAGGATTCCAACAGGCCAAACTAACAGAACATACACAAATAAAGCAACGATTAATTAAAGAATACCAAAGTAGGTTAAACGCTATACTTAGAACACAGTTAAATGCAAAACACACAGTTAAAGCAATAAACACATATGTCATCCCAGTACTCACATACTCTTTTGGAGTTATACATTGGACTCACACAGATCTCGAGCAACTCCAAAGGAAAACAAGAACAACACTTACTAAGCATAAACAACATCATCCTAAATCCGCCACAGAAAGATTAACCCTTCCACGTAAAGAAGGCGGACGTGGCCTGATTGACATAGTTAACCTTCACTACAAACAAATACAGTCACTGCGAGAGTTTTTCTACAAGAAACAAGAAACATCACAGTTACATAAAGCAGTAACTCTAGCAGACTCAAATAACACACCATTAAACTTACACTCACAACATACAGACATGACACAACATATAAAAAGCATAGACAACATTAAGCAATCATGGGCTCAAAAGGCTCTCCATGGCAGGCATCCTTACGACCTGGCCCAGGATTTTGTTGACAAAACTGCGTCAAACAGCTGGTTAGATCGGGGATGCCTCTTTGGGGAGACGGAAGGATTCATGATTGCCATACAGGATCAGGTCATAAATACTAAAAACTACAGAAAACACATACTCAAAGATACAACACTCACAAATGACACATGCAGAAAATGTCACATCATGCCAGAAACTATACAACACATCACTTCTGGTTGCAAGCTCTTGGCACAGACAGATTACTTACATAGACACAATCAAGTAGCAAATATAATACACCAAGAGCTTGCAAAGAAACACAAATTGGCAGACATCCACGAACCATACTACAAGTATATTCCACAGACAGTATTGGAAAATAACACGCACAAAATGTATTACGACAGAGCCATAATCACAGATAAAACAATTTACCACAACAGACCAGACATCACACTCATTGACAAACACAATAAAATCACATACATTATAGACATAGCCATTCCAAACACTCACAATGTACAAAACACATGCACTGAAAAAATTAGCAAGTACACAGAACTCGCCCAGGAAATCAGGCATCTGTGGAGGATGGATAGGGTGCTTACTGTACCTGTCGTTCTTTCCTGTACAGGTGTGATACCACACACGCTACACAAAAGCCTGGGAACATTATAATTGAGTAGAAATACATACATCACACTACAGAAGGCTACTATATTGAATACATGCCATATTGTTAGGAAATTCCTTAATACAGACACTGACACTGACAGACATTTAATTTTAGTTTTGTTTTGGTTGCTATGCCTTGACTCTGGTCCGGCATAGTACACAGCCACTGGTGTGTACCGAGTATAACCCACTAAACCCAACACATAATAATAATAATTCAAGATAATTTGTTATTAGAGTTAGGCGTATAGTAAGTTAGAAAAGAATCAGCCAAGAGCGAGACTCAAACCCACTCAGAGCCGATTCTTTTCTTCCAGTTAGTTCTAAATTTATTTAAATTATAATTATTAAATTTAGCATGGGATGGTGACTAACACCTAACTCTAATAACAAATTATCTTAAATTATTATTATTATTATAGCCACTTCTAGCCCACTAATTCGGCTTTGGTTGCTTTAATGTTTATCGGGTTAGCTGTTTGTTTATATAGATTTAACTATAAACTAACTATTGACAAATGCACACAGGCTACAAAATTATGATAGCAATTAAATGTTAACAGTTGATTCAATCAATTATTAACATTGATTCTGACAATTACCACAGACAATTAGTCGAGCCTATAACTGATTCTTGTTGTCATCTCAAGTTTGTTATTCATGAGCATCAGTCTGGTATTATTTTGTTAATATGCTAGAATCCACTAATTGTAATCATTTTGAAACTTGACTATATTGATAACATACTGAAAACAACTTTTTCATATTAAAAATAATTAACTATAGTGGATGATCAGTTAACGAACAAATCGGATAATGAACACTTTCGTGAAAGATTTTTATGTTCAGACAATGAATACTTCATCGGATAATGAATACTTCACAGAACAAACATGAGAAGAAGCGATGTTCATTAACTGATCACCCACTGTATATACGTTTAATATTTTCCACTAGATTTTATTACAGAGATTCTGTCATTATATAAAGAAATAAATTTATAAATTTAAGATTTCACATTTGCTGTTTGTTTTTAGTGAAAACATCAATTATTACAAAAATATTTAATGTAATTGATGTAACAAATTTTCTGCAACACAACACCTACCTCTAGACAAATTAATTAGTTTCTAATCATTAACTTGGCCATATAATAAGACCAATAATTTGGTAAATTGTTTGATTTAACTAATAAATTGGGTTTAGAGAAGATGTTGAATATATATCACTCAAGAGTATTAATCTATGACAATCACTTGCTCCTTGCATAAAAAGAATTAGAAATTAATATGTGTATAAAAAAATATTACAATACTTCAAAGCACTAAATCTTCATTTTGAAGAAACGCTTTGCCTTCTGTCCTTCTCATACCTTCAGGAACAAACATTTTAATACTTTGTATTAATTGCAATATATTTTAAAAAATAATTTATTGCAATCAGGCCACCATCTAGGAACCGTATTTTAAAAGTTTCTACATACCGAGGCAGACAAGAAGCATCGATAAAAAGGACAACTCCGCCTGCGGAGAAAGTACGTTCCTGAAGGGAAGGCAAAGAATTTCTCCAAAATTAAGATTTGCTTCAAAATATTGTAATATTGTTTTATATACACATAATTATTATCCTGGCCTGTTTTAATACTTTCTATTAATTATAATATATTTTAAAAAATAATAATAATTATGCCCCTAGTGCTAGCAACCTCGGACATCTTCACTTCGACCTCACCATATCTCGAAAACAAAATTACGGATCCCCAATTTTTATTACATTTTTAGTTTCCTCGTATCGTATTATGTANCAGAATGAATCAATCAAATTCCCATAAAAACCTGGGTAAATTGATAATCGGTTAATGAACAATTTGGATAGCAAACAAAGTCTTGAAATGGATTACATGAGAAGAATGCAAACATGAGAAGAAGCGATGTTCATTAACTGATCACCCACTGTATATACGTTTAATATTTTCCACTAGATTTTATTACAGAGATTCTGTCATTATATAAAGAAATAAATTTATAAATTTAAGATTTCACATTTGCTGTTTGTTTTTAGTGAAAACATCAATTATTACAAAAATATTTAATGTAATTGATGTAACAAATTTTCTGCAACACAACACCTACCTCTAGACAAATTAATTAGTTTCTAATCATTAACTTGGCCATATAATAAGACCAATAATTTGGTAAATTGTTTGATTTAACTAATAAATTGGGTTTAGAGAAGATGTTGAATATATATCACTCAAGAGTAATAATCTATGACAATCACTTGCTCCTTGCATAAAAAGAATTAGAAATTAATATGTGTATAAAAAAATATTACAATACTTCAAAGCACTAAATCTTCATTTTGAAGAAACGCTTTGCCTTCTGTCCTTCTCATACCTTCAGGAACAAACATTTTAATACTTTGTATTAATTGCAATATATTTTAAAAAATAATTTATTGCAATCAGGCCACCATCTAGGAACCGTATTTTAAAAGTTTCTACATACCGAGGCAGACAAGAAGCATCGATAAAAAGGACAACTCCGCCTGCGGAGAAAGTACGTTCCTGAAGGGAAGGCAAAGAATTTCTCCAAAATTAAGATTTGCTTCAAAATATTGTAATATTGTTTTATATACACATAATTATTATCCTGGCCTGTTTTAATACTTTCTATTAATTATAATATATTTTAAAAAATAATAATAATTATGCCCCTAGTGCTAGCAACCTCGGACATCTTCACTCCGACCTCACCATATCTCGAAAACAAAATTACGGATCCCCAATTTTTATTACATTTTTAGTTTCCTCGTATCGTATTACGTAAAATGATGGACTTAATCAAAATCGATCAATCAAATTTTGATTGGTCGATAGACTCGGATTGGCAGATAGAAGCTTCGCTAACGCTCCGCCTAAATAAAGTAACTTTACCCAGTTGCCATGTATTTGTATCATTATCTGTCAAGTAGATATAGAAGATCATGTATTAACTAGTGAACTATTATTTACACAACACGATCACAGCATAACTTATTATATAATTTACGCGTAAAAGAACTGAAAATGGTTTAAACATTTTTTACCATAATTACACTTTAAAAATAACTCGATATAATAAACTTTCCAAGTAAAGTAACTTTCGCTTTAAAAAACCGCCTCTAAAAACGTGAATAGCGCCATCTACGTTCTTAATATGTTGTAATTATAAAAAAAACACCCGACATAATTATATCGAAACTTTTATAAGGCGATATAATAAAATAAATATGAACTTTTGTTGATCGCGTGTTAATAAAATAACTATTTTCAATATAAGTAACCTACAAATTATTTCTATAAAGTTACTATTATTTTTATTTTATTCATTTTTGATTCTTTCAGCCTGTGGGTACTGAAACAGTCTTTTTAATCATACCAATCATGGTTTCGGCCTGGTCTCAAATAGGAGTAACCGGATAATGAGGAACGGGAACCGAATATCCGGGACAGAACGTTAGGGAAAAATTCCTAGCATTACTCATTCGGATTCGATTCTGGGGTCCCCAGATCGGTAAGCTGGCACATGACGCCTAAAACGCCTCGGCCGTGCAGTCATCATATGTAAAGATTGTACAGTACATTACATATACTAGCTATACATAAGCACTATTATACATACAAGTTCTTAAAAATGACTATATAGAAGAGTGCTTCCAAAATTACTTGATGTGAAGGCCGGATTTCCGAGCGGTCAAGGTGGCAGCCTACCGCTCTGGGGGGCACGGGATCGATTACCCAGAAATATTTCGGGGGTTGGTCCTACCGGATATGTCGGCTTCCGTCCTTCACCAACCGGCTGCCCCATGGTGGGCCTGGCTGAACTCATAATGGGCTAAAAGAGACCCTCTCAGTGTACCGGGCGGAGAGTTAAAAAAAACTATTTAAGGTAGATGATTAATTAATATTTTTTAAATGCGCTACATACCACTGTACTATTATCTACTTCATATCAACACACAGCTTATATGAATAATTAAATAAAAGAATAACATAGTGCAAAGAAAAGAACTTTTTATAAATGGGTAAGGGGTAATGGATAGGATTTGATTGATTGGGTAAGACAATGCAACACGAGGGCAATCTGCTAGGGGGTGCCTTTCAAGAGGACGTTATATGGGAAACTGGCTGCTATTTAGGTGTTACACATGTGAAGAAAATTCGGAAAACTCGAAGTGACCAGCCCGTTGATAATACGCGAATATGTAACCCGGCATTTCCCAAAGTATTTGTTTATAACTATTTTTAAGCGCGCAGCTATTTATTTATTTGAGTCGGCAGTTCACCTCAACACGGTAGTTGCCATTTGCCCTGATCAGAGTCGGTAGATTAACTACCGACTCTGCCCTGATCAAGCATCATATGTACAGTACAATTGCTATTTCATTGAATGATAAAAATAAAATACAGTATAAATAATTGTTTATTAATAAATATACCAATGTCCTATCATTCGGTCTTGGTCGATAGTAATACAGTATTAGAAATAAAATTATTAAAATGGACGTAACATCTTTTAAAATATCATTAAAAAGATTTTCCCTGGTTGTTACGAGGTATTTTAAAAAATTAAGAATTATTTATAGATACAGTATTTCTAAATATTTTTGAAAAATCTGGAACTTGATATTTATTAATAATTTTATTTCTTATTGCAGACTGGCAACCCTCCTTCAGCTGGAACGATTATTAGTCACATGGGTTGGGTGATAACTCTACATGTTCGAAGTTATCTGGATAGAAGAACCGATTTAGCAGTTTTATTGCATTAGATGTAAGCACTGTTTATTGACCTTTGCCCAGAGTGACAGCAGAATCGATAATATATATATTTCTTAATTGTATATACTATATTTTTAAGCATTGTTTATGTATATACAGGGAAGGATAAGTAGATATACAGTTGTGAATCTGAGAAATACAGATGTTTGCACATTTTTTTTAATAATTTATTTCATATCTTTGGTTAATGTCCAGATACGTGGACCGTCATGGCGGCACTTCCTGTTTCAGCCTCGAAACCAGACCGGTTTGCAGACGATGTGTCACGTGACGACGCGAGCGAACGTCGGCGGCTGTCATGGCGCCTCATCGCTGATCCCAGCAAAGAAAAGGACACAGTGGGGACGCACGTTCTAATCTAACCTAACCTATTCTAATAATATAATTGGTAATAATTATGCTAATTTATTAGAATAGGTTAGGTTAGGTTAGAACGTGCGTCGGTGCGTCACGTGACACGTCTGCAAACCGTCTGGTTTCGAGGCTGAAACAGGAAGTGCCGCCATGACGGTCCACGTATCTGGACATTAACCATATCTTTTATTATCGATTGACCACAAACTGTTGATGAAATGATTCAGTTTATAACAGAAGCAAATTGATGACAACAAAGAACTACGTAGGAACTAGACTACAGGAATGTATGAATATTGAAGGCTGGCAATTTGAATACTTGAGAGACTGTACTTAGTTGCAACTTGTATGTTATGCTTATTGTGACTTAATAAAGCTATTTAATAATAATAACTTTGTAATCATCTGCATGTGTTTCTCCATGATAAAAACTGGGTACAACTGTAGCTCTAAATGAGATGGTTGGGACCTTATCAGAACTGTAGACCACACAAATATGAAAAAATCAAAGGAACCATACATTACATGTGACCTTTCACAAGATATGTTCCCTGAAATCAGCCTATGAGGGAATTTTGGAGACCCTCAAAAATTGGATAAAATTTTAGAACTATTTCTCAAAACTATGCTAAAAATAGACTGTTTTTGACCTTACTAGAGATAGCTAAAAGTTCACAAAACACAAAAATTCTGACTACTACTATGGTGCAATCAGAGTAACACTGTATGCGCCACTAAACCTATCACATAATTAACATTCAGCCTGGTGGTCTGATATTCTAATGATATAGGTATAGGTAATAAATAAAAAAATGTCCTATTAGAGATTTAAGCAATGTTTCACCAACTGTTCATGGGCATTGAATAGACCACTTGACTCTTCATGGAGCACTTGATGTTTTACAGTTGGATGTGTGAAAACTTGCCACCACCTGTTTGTTGAGGTGTAAGCCACAGCAAGCACCAAAGAGATGACTAAATGTAGAATGGAGGTCATGGTGAATGTCAGGGAACATGAAGAATAGGCAGTAGTACTGAAAACTTTGGAGGGGAATATTCCCAAAGAGTTGTATGTACAGATGTGGTTCCATTGACCTTTTTGCTCATCTAGGGGAGTTGCAAACTCCTTATTTGCAGCAGCAATCTTATCAAAAACAGTATACCTACTTTTGCACCACCTGTATATATGTATTAAATTTATTCTATAAAAAAATTAGTTTTACAATATCCTTTTTCATTTCAAATAAATAAAGATTAATTTATAAAATAATAATCTCCTGAAACTCTGGTTTTAAGTTTTACATTTTTTTTCCTATTTTACATCAATAAAATAAATACTATTTATGGCAGCAAATTTCAAGCAGGAAAATGAGTTTACGAAAGGCTCTTTACCTGCTAAATATTTTGTCTACAAGAAGAACAGCAATTTTCAAAATGCTCTTCTCTAGCTCTACTTCTGCACTCAATACTTTGGATTTGCATAAGTTACATTATAGGAAAATGTATGAAGGTATGAAAGTATTACATGAGTTTACTAATATTTTCCTCTAATACTTTGAAAAAAACAAAATTATATATTGATAGAATGGTAGAATTTTCATGTAGAATTTTCATATAGAACATATCTATAAAATAATTCATGAATGCATATAGATATAATAACAAAGTAATAAATATATATATAGTCATAATAATTTGTAATTTTCAATTTTTTCACTATGAATTACATATTAAATTTATTATAATATATATAAAGTGTTACATGCATATTTGTTTACAGATTTAGATTATAAAGTATCTAAATTTCGTTAGATCTAAATCTATATAATTTATTTTTGAACTTTGAAAAACAAATATCAAAAATAATAAATTTGTGGATATCAATATGAAACTGTAGGTTTTATAACAATCTTTAAGCTAAAAATATTTTTCATTTAATGATCATCAAATAAGCAATTCATTTCAATGTTAAGATATATAATCATCTTTTATTAACAAACTAGATAATGATTTAAAGGAGCATAAAAATTCATAAAGGAACAAAAATAATGGTTAAAAAGCTATGTCAGTTACAATATGTCATCGATACCATAGAGATTTTGTTTGTTTTTATGCTTCTACTTCCATAGCAACAAAATTCTTTTATTGCTTTAGTGACGATGAACAGTTAATCTTGAAAGTCTCAAACAGTTAGTTTGTTTTATGCATTATTTACCTTAATATATTTTTGTGAAGTTTAGTTTGTATATTTTTTAAAAATAATTTTGTTGCTACTTTTTTCTTATGAGGAAAAAACCTGACTTTTATTAGCCTTTGTAGTTAGCTTGTGCTTTTTTTTTCAAAGATATATCTCTAATTTAANTGCTGGGAAAGTTAAGCAAGTCATTACTGGATTTTTTGAACAAAAATCAGAAGAAAAATGGATAAAATTTGCTAATTTACAATTATACATTTAATATGTGCTGTTAAAACTGTTGTACACTGTATTACTTAATTATTATGTCAATTAGTAAATTTCCTTTTATCCATAATATGAATAATCAGGAATTTTGTTGATATGATATCTGTTTTTCTTTATCAACAATCAATAAATTTGATAAACACTTGCAATTATATATATATTAAAAAAAAAAGATTTGAAATAAGATAATTCTAACAGAAAAAAAGGGGGATTTAGTTTATGAAATTGTTATGATTTACTAGAATTACAGATCATGCATGCATAATTTTTTTCTTTAACTCTTTCTACCTTCTGGATATTAAAAAAAGAGCCTTTCTTTTAACAAGCCCATTGTGGGCTGGAGTCCCACTTTGGGCAAATTATTTTCTTTCAATTTAATCTAAATTATTTAATAAAAATTATAATTATCAGACATAAATTTAATTAATGTTTAAGATGATTTGATTCAAAAGATAGATTTACTACTAATTATCTGTGAGAATTTCATTAATTAATTTGGATTGACTGATTTAAATTTTTAAAAATTTTGATAAAAGAAATTTATAACTTTATATTATCTGAAGACTTAGGATTAGATCACGTTATTGTGACAAATCACTGATATTAATGAAATGTTTTAATGAAGGAATAGGTCCTACATATATTGCTATTATTGCTATTATGACTATTTACAAAGATGTATAAATTTAACTAGAAAATAAAGTATAAATTCAAATGTGTAATATGTAAATATTACAAATTTGAATTTACAATATATCTTTGTAAACTGCAATATACAAATTTTCCCTTTTCATTTAATTTTATGTAAGCATTATAATGTGTAAATTATACAATAATTAATTTTTTTTCTGAATAATAAAGTGTGGATTAAATATTAATTTTAATTATTATGATTTAAAATTTTTACAGTGAGTGAAGTTGAAAAAGCTTTTTCCATGATGCCAGATAAATTTCAAAACAAATATGGTATTTCATTTCCAAGTAAAAGTGATTCACAGTTAGTATTTAGCTGTCGATCTGGTCGGAGAGCAACTATGGCTGTACAACAAATTCAGAAAATGGGATTTTCACAGTGAGTTTGTAAATTTTGAAATGATTTTATCAAATACTATTATTAAAGATTAAAAACTTAGATTAAAAAGAATTTATTTACAAAATAATATTTCAGAAATAACATTATTTTGAAACTCAGAGATTGTTTATATTAGTTTTATACATAAAATTTATTTTAAAAATTTATTTAATTTCTATTTATCTTTTAAGTCTGTATGAAAGTCTAAATAGTCTGTATGAAAGTGAATTAATCGATGAGTAAATAAAAACTAATTTAAAATATTTTGGCAGTAAACAGCTAACTTACAGTGCAAGACAAAAATTTAAGACCACTTATGATTTTTCTCAGTAAAATTTTTTAGGTGAGTTATAACTAAATGACTAGACAGAACATGCAAATATAAGTTTATTTTAATAAGTTACCATTTGTAATTAAATTAACCAATTCAAGTTGAATATGCACCATTTATAGGTTCATTATCTTATTAAAATATAGTTTTCATAGCTTATCTCATAACAACATAAATGTGAATCGAGGGGGTATAGCGGCAAGCTTGTCCCCACTTATCAGCTTCGTTGTCAGGGATGGCGATGGTTAAGTGAGAGGGAGGGGTAATGAAGTCGTGACGAGGTGTTGGTCGTACTCAAAGATGACACAATATTAAAATTAAGAATAACATATCTAATTTATAACAAATGGTACAAATACATGCAGTTACATTCTAAACTCAAACAAGAGAAAAATAGCAATAATGATATTAGTAATATATCCGTGTCGTGACAATATTAGACTGCCAATGTCTGTCTTTCCTGTCGGCGGGACCATCGAAGGTCCATTACCCGTGAGTTTTCTAAGAACTAATCTAAAACTGAGAAAAAGAAGTGAAATTTTTCTAAGTCTAGCCTAAACCGAGATAGAAAATTTTTACTTCCCTCTCTCTCGGTTTAGCAGGGACTTAGAAAATATTCACTTCTAAGTCTTTACCTCGTTTGCAGTGGCGATCAGAAACTGCAAAGTTCCCAAAGGTAGAGAAGGCTGGAAGGTTTCGGTCCTGGTGCTTCTTCCCGGTGATCGCCTGGAGGTGCAGGAGTAATCCCCTTTTATACCCGATTAGCGTGGGAAATATCTGGGATTTTTTTTGACGTAATTGTATTTGCAGTATATGTTGTTTACTTGAATTTGACAGTTCTTCAGATTTATTACCGTCTCTGCCGTCATGTGTGACAAAGTTGTGACCATCATCGTCACCCCAGTTGACCAGTCAGCATTAAAGTCGTCATCACTTGGGGTAATGACTGGCCATCCTCAGTAACATGATATAGTTTCTCACCGTACGGTCTACCCTTGCAGGTGACCTTTTTGTTCGCCCTCTATATAGTAACCTATGTTCATTGTTTCTAATTGGTTATTTACTTGAACATCGCAGATACTTTAGAATCGAGTGATACCCTGGGAAGAGGGGAGATCTGTCTCGGTCGTTTATGACGACTTTGCCCATCTAGGAGGTCACCTTTTGAATTGATGCAGTACACGGAGGGGTCAAAAGGTCTATTCCCCGGGCAAAGGGTGAAAAGGGGAGAAAGAAGGGAAATAATGATGAAAGAACACAACTCTATGTTTATTATAAAATCACATTCCTTCATCACAATTTTAGCATTTAAAACTTCCAAAAGAGAGTCTGATTTCTCACATAAATAATTTCCAGGAATGTTTCAGTCATCCAATAGTCATCAATAGTTTGATCTTGGGGAAACAAATTAAACTTTGGTTTTGTTTGTGCTTGTAGAATCATTTGGTATTGTAACTGAGCCTGTACTTTCTGAACTCATCAAGAAAAAAACTGTGAGTCATTTTGTAGGTCATGCCAGAAACAATTAAGCATATCAGGACAATCAATATTAAATTTTTTGTCACCATTAAAGATGAAATTTTCCAAAAATTCACTGTTTGAACATTCATCTTTGCAAAAGTGAGTGGCTAGCAAATATTTTTTTTTTCCAGTTCTGGTTATGTTTTCATTTTCACATACTGAAGATTATCTGGTGTTACATTACTCTAAGAGTAGTTCTTGAGCTAACTGGAAACTATAATTGCATTGTAATATTTCTAGCACACACATTCATGATGCTTGCACATCTCAAAATCATCCATTTTTCCCTGATGGATAGATGATCACCCTGTGCATGATTTCTTTCCATAACTGTCAGAATCATTTAAATAATTGTATGTAACTGTTTTGAATCTATTTAATAATTTTGTAATTTTACATTCTGATATTCTATCTTGATGGTATGTTAATTTGTTTCTTTTCATAATTGTTAAGTTTTACTAGTACCCATTTTTAAATAAACAAACAAAAAGAATTAAATTATATATAAATTAATTATTACAAATAAACACTGTACGTTTTGTATTAAAAATATACAAAAACTTTGTTCCACCCAATTTGTTATTAACCATGGCATCTGAGAAGTGTGTGGAAGCAACAAAATTAAGAGGAAGATTATATTGACATGAAAAAGGAATTGATTGCAAAGCATGAAAGCAGTGAATGTATGGTAGATCTAGTGGCCATTTTTAAGAAGCTGAATTGACTGTGTGCAAACAGTAAATGCATTTTTCATTTTACTGTCCCAGCTCTGTTATATATATAACAGAAGGAAAGTATGGCGATTGGTCAAAAAATGACCCCTTAAGATTTTTACATTTTTGTACTCAGGATCTTGAAACATTGAGAAATGCAAAAAATTTCTGGGATTTTTTCTATATGTATGGGTGTTAATATGTGTGGGGTGCACGATTTTGTTCACCCTATTTGAAGCTTAATAACGCCTGTACTTTTTGTCAAAAATTTCTGAAATTT